ACCCTTACCGGCGTAGGGGCCATACTGGCTACCATAGCCGTATTGCTGGTTGTGCTGCTGCTGCTGCTGCTGCTGCATGTAGTGATCCTCATACCGGCGAGCATCATCGTATCTCGGGCGGTTACCACCACCATACTGCTGTTGCTGCTGTTGCTGCTGCTGCTGGCCCATCTGATTCATGTACGAAGCGTAGTGGGGGTTGTTGTAGTAGTTAGGGTATTGGTAGCCATAGGCGTGCTGCTGCGCACTTTGGCCAGGCATATGCTGAGCAGTGGGGGTCTGTTGAGTGGCGCCGGGGATGGTAGGGTTGGGAGTGTTGTGTCCGCTGTTAGTGGCGTCAACAGGCCCGTAGCGGTTGGGAGGCTGCGTGGTGGGAATCTGAGCTTGGGCCTCAGCACCAGAGACACCAAATCCAGCTCCAGCGCGGGGACCGGTAGGGGCATCCTGGCTCTGGCCGTAAGAGCCGTAGGAGGCGTAGTAGGGGAAACGCTGCTGCTCGGCGGCGTAGAAAGGAGAATACTCGCTGCCGGTTGTGGCAGTAGGCTGAACAGGAGCCTGATTGGCGAATGGCTCGGGAATCTGCGGCTGCGGCTGGGTCACCTGTTGGGTGAAGGGATCAAAAGGCTTCTGTTGGGGCTCAGAGTAACGAGCGAAGTCGGTAAAGGAGTCGGCGGAAGCGCCCTGGGGGACCGGAGGCAAACCAGGGGCAGGACGCCCAGCGGCACCAGTCTCCATAGAGTGTGGTGCCTGGGTCGTGGGTGGAAGTGAGGCACGGGGAGCGACGGGGGAGTGTTGCGGGGGCTGAGCACGGGTCTCAGCCTCCTCGCGGTTCTCATCAATATCGATAGCGTCACCGTTCAGTCCCATGCTACCAAATTGAACAGCAGCACGATCCACTGCGTGGTTGCCAGGCATAACCACAGCCTGCTGTTGTTCCATCACACGACGTTGAAGACCTGGGGTACGGCCCTGCTTGGTAGCACTGGGAGGGTAGGCAGACGAGGGGAAGCGGGAGGGAGTAGCAGCAGCGGCGGCTGCCGCCGCAACCGCGGGGTCGATACCACTGCCAACAGTGCTTGCGGCGGTGGCGGTAGGAGCGGGAGCGGATACATCGGGAATCTGTTCGAGGTTGGTCTCGGTCAAATCGCCCTTGGGAGGGTTAACAGCGGTGGTTGGAATGGCAGGGATCACGGGATGGGTGGGCTTGGCGATGGGTGTCTTCTGGGAGGCAGCGGGCGCGGTCACGGTCACAGGTTCAGGAGCGGGGGGAGATGGCTCGGCCACAGGCTCGGCGGGCTTCTCAGCGGCGGGAACAGGAGGAGGGGCCTGGGGCTTCTTCTGCACCGGAGGAGGGGGTGGTTTGGCGAAAAGACTCGCCCACCCCTTCTTTGCGCCCTCAGGAATCACACTGCTCTTAGGCTCGGTCGATTCCAATTCGCCTTCGGCTGAAGGCTTTGCAACGGTCTCCTCTGCCTTGGGCGTAGCCCACTCCGATGTGATAGCAGGAATAGCAGTAGGCGCCGGAGTCTCTACAGTAGTAGACACTACGCGAGTTCCATTTGTAGCTGCTCCTGCACGGCCTCCACGACCGCCACGGCCTCGGTCTGCGCGAACACGTCCACGACCCTCTATTCCGCCGCGACCACGGGTTCCACGAGCGGAAGCTGCAATCGTCTCGGTCGAAGCACTCTGGGCCTCCTTGGGCTTAGGGCGAGTTCGGTCTGTGGTCTTCTTCTTGACCTCACCCCACTGGGAAACATTACCTGTAAAGCCAGTCAGTTACGGCCCTCGAATCATAAGATTCGATTGATTTCAAGTCAGGAAGATTTGGGTTGACGGGGACTCGACCTTCACTGATGCGCTCAATTGCCTCCAAGAGCTCGCCGTTCGAATCTTCTAGTGCAAACACCAGATCTTCGTCCTTCCAGTCTGGGAACATTTCCTTAAGAGTTGGGAGAGTGTCGGAGTACTTCTTCTTCATCTGTCCAATTTCACCCTCCTCGAAGGATGAGATGTCTGAAGTGTCATTTGCAGATCTGTTTCCACCACGACCACCTCTAGAGCTGAAACCGCCACGGCCACCACGGGCGGATACTCTACCCCGCGAGGCGGAGGACCGGTTCTGAATGTCGGACATGTTGATTGTTGAAGATGTGTGAGATGGAGAGAAGTATTGGGGAGGAAGGAGGTCACGATTCGCAGGGAAAGGCTAATGAAATGGAGCACCCTCGCAAAAGAGGAACAGCACCAGAACCACAGGCACAGGGGCCAGAAGAGACGGAGAAAAAAGAGGTAAAATCAAAGAGATTAATTGGGAGGGAGGATGCGTTAGGAGATGACAAGATTGAAGAAAGGATCAAAAGCTAACGGGATCTGAGTTGCTTCCCTTCAAGTCTTGGCGTTGCCTGGCTTTTAGCGAGTGGCGCTTATTGGATGCTGGGGGGACATTTACAGTAACAAAGGGAGATCTTTTACTATTCTTTTACAATTTTTGATATATTTTGATATATAATAAATAGTTTTTATTATGTTGAACCAAATTTATAGATTCAATATTTAATCCTATTTCATTAATTGAATGTAAACAATTTTTGTAAATTGTTTCGTCTCAGTGTGGTTGATTTCTTCTACTCGTCATTCACCTATTTTTTTCACCCTTTGGAAGGGGGAGTGAGAGAGTAAGGTCTGGTTTCACCGCCTTCGTCGATCCTCCCCTCTTTACCTTGAACGTCCAACATACACACCTGCAGTACTACATACATCATACCATTTTGAGAACTTTGAAACTCACCATCATGAAGGGTACATCCATTTTCCAGTTCAAGTCCTGGCCTAAGATTCATCAACCCTTACCTCGTACTCCACGAGAGTCTCAACAACTGTTAAATGCCCTCACATCTTCCTTTCGTCGCCAATTAGATGGGGCTTATCCCGCATCAGGCAATAACCATGGCCGACCCCTCTCGAACCCCGAATCATCGGCACATGCAACCGATCAACATTTGCAGAACATCCTGGATAACCCTCTTTTCCGTATCATTCCGACCAGACCCATCTCACAAGAACCCACCACATTGCAAAGCATCGAGGGCCAGCGACGACTAGCCGAAGAACCCATGGCAGTATTTGATCAAATGGCTGCAGCTGGCTCAGTCACTGCACTTACAATCAATGATTGTCTAAAGTCTCAACTCCTCCTTTCTAGGTCCCCGGCCGATATGAAAACATCTCGGGCGGCATCAAGGATTGTTGATTGGTATTGGGCATCAGATGGCACATCAAGGCAAATGCTTCTGCGTTTGCGGTCAGCAACTACGTCGTTGACCAAGTTCATGGTGGCAGAGGGATTGCACAGTACTGTCATGCAGTGGTTGCAAATGCTCATGAGCCATGACCTAGGTAGTCAGAATGGTCGGATGACGGAAGGGCTCGCACGGCAGACCTTCAATCATCTCCTAGTTGATTTTATAGATGCAGAAGCCTGCTTTGGAAATGGCTTCGACTCAGCAATGGCACATTATCTGCGGGTATGCGAGATGCATTTCCAAAGTGCATCTTCCCATAAGTCAAGGAAACCGATGCTCCTGGCTGCAGCCGCTCATCTGAGCCGTATGGCTATGGAGTACAAGCCATCGGGCGAGCAGGTACCAACGTTAGTATATGATCAGTTCAGAGATACAGTTTCTGTGCTATCTCCTCGGTCCTTACTGGTAGCATCCGTTGCTATCTGTCACCCAACAAATCCCGATCCACGCCCATTTCTCCAATTCGTGGCAAATCTCTCACCAAGTAAATTCCAGGCTTGGAATGAAATTAGGCGTGATGCTTTCTTCGAGATAGGTTCAGAGGCTCTTCGCGTCCTCGTTGACCGGAAGAGGTTCCGTGACATCTCCCGGCTGGAGCAACATATTTCAGAACTGCTACCGGAACAGCCAGCAGCTCCAGTCGCGGAAAAGTTACATACATCGGCTGAAGAGGAACATATCGGTCGTTTGAACTGGGGTTTTACATGATCCTCTAGTCTTAAGTTTATTTGAACAACTACTCTACTCTCGCACATGGCTGGGGTTTTTGAAGAGCATACAAGCCAACACCGATACTCAAGAGGCACACAAATTTGTCTATGTTTCTACCCTAAGAGACGATCATGGTCATAATTACTGCAGCTATGACAGCACACTACTAGGATACAATTTCCATCCGCATTCATTGTGTATAATTACACAAGTGAAGCTACTTCAGCCTGGCTGCACGGTTCAACAAGCCTGCATTTTCTGAATTTCTGAATCACCACACAAAGGAAATCCAATGCCGATACTCCACTTCGAGTTTGAGCCTCATCTTCTTGGCGGTCGTACATATGAACAATATAAGGGATTTCAGTTGCCAGCCCTGGAGGAAGTCTTGGCTGAACCGGGATTTAGAGAGGTGTGTGAAGCGCCTGAATACTATCAAGCATCCATTACACCAAATATACGAAACCCCTCCTTTTTCTGATATATATATATATATATATAACCCATTGTCAATAGTGGCTCAGCCAGTTTCTTAGACAAGCTCTTTGCGCTGAGTGAAAAACATAAACCTAGCATCCATACATGATTCTCTAACTAGTGATAAGTAAGATTTACAGCCTTTGTGACCGAATACTCACCTCCTAACAAACACGTGATCATCGCAGCTATTTCCAGTGGAGAATATTGCGCGGCAATTATAATTCTGGAGCTGGTGAGGCTGTGCGACAGAATGCCGTGGAGAGTTAGAGGGCTGAAGCAGCGAATCAGCCAGGGGTAGCGTCTCCAGTGCTCTCAACTACGTCACCGCACGACCTCACCTCATGCTTCCCCAAATTAACCGACTTCTCTTTACTTCTTTTTTCCTCGTACAAACTCATCAGAGCAAGGATTGCAGTCGCATTGCTTTTGCGAATACCTTCCTACTCAATCTTTGCAAATTTACATACAACAGGTTATCCGGGGATCTGACATCATCGATCCACAATGACCACTGAAGGAGCCCCCGTGCAGAGCAATGCAGCTTCAGGTACGTTGTTTATCTTAAAAATACACTACTGCAGAACCCAAGGGGTAATTGATCTGAGAGGCCATATTATTTTCCCAAAGTAGGGTTGCAGGTCAATGTTTCTTTGCTTAACCGTTGCTTGTAAAATGCACACCAGATGCTAATTAAGGGATATAACAGACCAGGACACTGCCCAGCTAGTCAAAGAACACTCGCAAGCATTCCAGAACAGATTAAACACCATTCAAACGGATAGCGAGCCTGATATTGAAACAACAAAGTCCGATATAGACAATGACCAGCTTAAGGCAGAGTCAGGGCTTCAAACACCCAAGCCTGCTCCAGGCACCGAGCCGCCTGTGACAGAGTCAGGTGGATCTCCTCTCGGTAGTATCCCCATTGCTCGTGAGTCGCAGATTCCAGTAGGACCGAGGGATGAAACAGTGGCAGGCGAGAAGCGTGACATTGATTCAACTGTGACGCCCACTCTGGCCCTGGCTGGGGACGAGGAGCAACGAAAGCCCGAACCGTCGGATGAGCCTGATACCAAGAAGCTGAAGACAGACGACAAGTCTGCCCCAGATTCCAATGGCACCGCTGGTACTCCCTCCCACACAGACAACGGAGGCCAGAAGAAGGATAGTCGAACCAAGAAGGAGAAGATCAAGGATGCCGTGAAGAGGGTTACTCCGGGAGATGGAATTGGTAGTCGGACTCGCAGCCGGACCAAGGCCGCTTGAATAGACTAGCCATTATATTTGCAGTTTTGCTGTGTTACTTCCATCCGATCATGTTTGCTCCAACTTTGAACCGTGTTTATTCATGCCAGGGTCTTCTCATGGATGGTTGTTGTGGCTGTACACGCGCTGCAATAAGATGAATATCCTTTCCCTGACAAAAGTTTGGGTGGGAATTATCCTCAATAAAGAACTACCGAAGTTGTTCGCAATATATTCCTGGTCTTGTACGACATTTTCAGTTGTTTGTACTTAACTAGTACTAGTATGTAGTAGACATCTGCACTGCTCTATAATTTCCGATTGATATGATCCTGTTACTGCTTACTCCCCAATTTATCCTTGTCAAGCCTCTTTCTATATACCTTTTTAAATACTTTCCTGAATAACATTGAATACATAAAACCACGACTCTTTCGGAGGTTTCAGTTTCAGATGGCCGATAATCGGGACTGAGTCATTTCTCGGAGCGGAATAACCATTTCCATCCCCGCTTATTGGAGGGGAGTCATTATTGGTGATAGAGGAATTGATTTGATTGATTTCTTTTTCCCCCTTCATCACATTCTAATTCTCTACTTTCAAAATGGCCGGACAAAAGATTTGGCTGCGCGCTGAAACCAAGCCCGCTGAGGCGCGGTCTGCGTGTGAGCAGCTTCAGCCCACAATGGTGGGGAAGGACTTGGCTAATACATCACCTAGTGACCCCAACTACCTGCAAGGCATTGATTGATGCTGGATATGACGTGACTGTCGAGCGGTCCACCCAGCGCATCTTCGAAGGTATGTCCAATTTCCCATACACCCCTCACCCTGTTGAGCTCAATGACTGATTCTGCTTTATAGACGAGGAATTCGCCAAGGTATGCTTTACTCGATAATATAGCTCGAATCTGGTCTAAACACCGTCAATTGATATAGATCGGTGCGCCTTTGGTCGAGGAGGGATCCTGGGTTCAGGATGCGCCTAAGGATGCCATCATTCTGGGTCTCAAGGAGCTGCCGGAGGATGACTTCCCTCTGGAACACGTCCACGTCACTTTCGCACACTGCTTCAAGCAGCAGGGTGGCTGGGAGAAAGTCCTTAGCCGTTGGTCTCGTGGCAAGGGCACATTGCTCGACTTGGAATTCTTGACTGATGATTCCGGGCGCCGAGTTGCTGGTAAGACCCATGCCCCAGAGTGTTCTTATTTTGATTCAATTGATTAACTTCTTGTTTATTAGCCTTCGGATGGTCCGCCGGTTACGCAGGTATATATACGTGAAGCTCGTTGCCCGAAATAATCAATACTAAGACGTGGAACAGGATCTGCTTTGGCTGTGAAGAACTGGGCTTGGCAATTGACACACCCTAACGAGACCTTGCCTGGTGAGGTTCCCTATGCCAACCAAGACCGTCTGGTCGAGTCTGTTAAGGAGGCACTCGAGGCAGGCAAGAAGGTCGCTGGCAGGGCACCCAAGATCCTTGTTATTGGAGCTGTGAGTCTTGTGCGGACCTACAGAAAGTAATATACATATTGACAATGCTATAGCTCGGACGCTGTGGCAGCGGTGCCGTGCAGCTCGCCAAGGATGTTGGTATCCCCGAGTCCAACATCATCCAGTGGGATATGGCAGAGACTGCGCGAGGTAAGTCATTACAATCTCCATTCTCTTCAATCTAGCCTAAGCTCACAGTCTAATGTTTGCAGGTGGTCCTTTCAAGGAAATCTCACATGAGGTGGATATCTTCGTGAACTGCATCTACCTTTCGGCCAAGATTCCAGGTAATTTTATGCATGTATCCTCTGATCTCGACTCAATTGACTGATATCTTTTCTCTCCGATTAGCCTTCGTGAACGTGGAGTCACTCTCTGCCCCCAACCGAACCTTGTCTGTTATCTGCGACGTCAGCGCCGACACGTGAGTCATCGGATATAAACTATGCTAGAGAGCGCACGGCTAATACTCAAAAGCTCCAACCCCTTGAACCCCATTCCTTTGTACGACATTACGACCACTTTTGATAAGCCAACAGTTCCCGTCTCCGGGCTGGAGGCCGGAGGTCTACCCCTCAGCGTGATCAGCATTGATCACCTTCCATCTCTCCTTCCCCGTGAGAGCTCTGAGATGTTCAGCGAGGCTCTTCTGCCTAGCCTTCTCACGCTGAACGACCGGGCCAACTCTCGGGTCTGGAAGCAGGCTGAGCAGCTCTTCGATGAGAAGGTTGCTACTCTGCCCAAGTCGCTTCAGAGCTAAGTCTGTTGCGCTGGTAGGCGTATATGTGGAGGTATTTACATGATTATGTGCATTTTGATAGAAATAGTTCCAGATAAGGAATCCTACAAAAGTTGCAAGTTCAGACATAACAGATGTTGAAGATATTACGTATCATTCTTGGTTTCCTTCTAGAACAACCGTAGAAGCTCTGTGGTATCTCTTCGGACATCGCGTGGTAGTCGTGAACCCAAATCAGGTTACAGTCCTGCACTTTCTTGACAATAGCCTTTACGAAAAATAAAAAAACAAGGGCTGACTCCTGTACGGAGTACCGGGAGACAGTTGGGGGTCAATTTCGTAGATGGGATCATTCCATTTGTTTTCAACCGAATCACTTGACATTGTGGCTGAGATGACTTGTCTGAAAGTTTATATTGCTTTGAAAGCCCTCAACCCATATTTTCGATAGATATTCAGTCGTTCCTTACATTCTTGACATTCCCAAGCTTGTCCTCCAGGCAAGACGTGGCTCATCTTACCCCAGACTATATGTAACCGCGGTCAACCTCCTTATATGCGGGGATATGTAAGACGGATATCCGGAGAATCCGTCCGTGGGGCTCTAACCCGCTACAACGGCACTTGGGCCAAGAGGAATGCCCCAGCCATTGGATGAAACAAGAGTTTCGCGAGAACGAAGAAAGGAATGTGCTCAAGTTCATCTTTTGAGTCGGGATGATTGTGGAGTTTGCCCCGTTTGACTCTGGCTAACTTAATTTCGGGCTCCGGACGAAAATGCTCAATTGTTTCTTTCTCCGCATAAACCGCATCGCTCCACTCTCGCCTGTTCTCCCCTCTTCCCCAAACATATTCGATTCTGCACTTAAAATTGATCTGTCAGCTTATGAACCTTGGAGGACCCTGACCCACATTGGACGTCTTTTGTGATCGACCCTCCTAGGACATTCAGCGCCCTTACCTATTATCCGGGCCAATCCGAGAATGGGGCAATGAGATATAAGTCTGCCTGTTTCGATACCCATACGAACGCCGAACCTTCCTGCCTCTATAACACACTGCTTGATGCAAGAAAAGCCGACAACAGTCGCCGCCTATGCGGCTGGGGCTTCGCTCGCTGCCGTTGCCCTGTTCTACGTCTTCGGGCCGAACTACACAATCGACGGAGATGAGTCAAACGACAGCAATCGCAAGAAGAGCATCGTGGGTCTGTCCAACCCGGCCAATGATTGCTTTATCAATTCGGTGCTACAGGCATTAGCCGGGTTGGGGGATCTGCGGGTCTACCTGATCCACGAGCTGCACCGGCGCGAACTGGATGGACCAGAAATATACCACACACTGCCGAGCGAGGATGAAATTTCGCCGGCACGGTCGGACAAGTTGCGGGAATTGCAACAGGGGATAATCACGCGGGCATTAAAGGATATGTTGAACAGGTTAAACGAGCGCCCTATCTATAAGAAAACGATCTCAGCCCGCGACTTCATCCAGGCTCTGGAATACGCATTCCGCACGCGCATCAGCCGCAATCAGCAGGATGCGCAGGAATTCTTGCAGATTGTTCTGGAACGACTCTGCGATGAGTACCATGCTGGTGTGCGCGCACGTCAACGAGCACTGGATGCCGTTGGTGCAACTGCTTCCAGCACGACAGGCGAAGAGGGCAGACCCCAAGAAAGCTCGTCCGAGGTGGAGGTGCGGATCGATGATGGATCGGCCAATGGACTGCCCGCCATCATCGACACGAAACTGAAGCAAATCGACAAGGAGTCTGGGTTCCCCTTTGAAGGCAAAATGGAGTCGCAGATTGAGTGCCAGTTCTGCCATTACCAATACAAGCCGAATCAGACGGCTTTCGTCAATTTGACACTACAGGTACCGCAGAAGAGCTCCACTACGCTCAACTCTTGCTTCGACGGCCTCCTCAAGACTGAATATATCGAGGATTTCCGCTGCGATCGATGCCGCCTGCAGCATGCTGTGGATGTGAAGACCACCGAGCTAGCACGTGCTCGAACACAAGGTGATCGAGATCGGTTGAGCCAGGAGATTTCGCGCATTCGCGAGGCTCTGGAGACAGATCCTGAGGCCGAGCTGGAGGGTATCGTATTCCCTCCGCCAGAGACTGCCCCCAAGCGCAGGATTGCACGGCATATGCGCATCACGGCGTTTCCAAAGGTCATCGCTATCCACTTGTCGCGGTCAATCTTCGATCAGAGTAGCTCGAGCAAGAATGCTGCTAAAGTCTCGTTCCCGGAGCGGCTCCCCTTGGGAAGCATCTTAAGCCAGAAGTGGTACAAGCTGCTTGCGATTGTCTGCCACAAAGGTAGCCACCATAGCGGACACTACGAGTCCTTCCGACGGAATCACATCTACCCGCCATTTTCGACCCCCGAGGTCTTCAGCTCCTATGCACAGAGTCGCAGCGCTAGTCAGAACACCTCCGCGGCGCCTAGTCCCCGGATTGTACCACGTAGTAGCCCGGATGTCAACGGCGATGGAAGCATTTCGAGAGCAGGCTCGTCAGCTTCGCTGTCTCCAGCCTCGGCCTCAACTTCAGCGGTCCAACTCACTCCTCCTCAGCAGCGGCCTACAACTTCTGGCTCACGTCGTTCTTTCCAGAGCAACACGTCTCATTCTTCCAAACTGACGTTATCCCCAGTGTCGGATAGCAGCAGCCCGACGACGGACCAGGATCGGTGGAATCCGTCTGCCCCGCGATCCTCTCGCGGCACACCCGGCTCTTCCCAGGATATCCCCACGGGGGTCAGTTCGCGGCTTCGGCGCCGTCGCAAACCGAACGATCGCTGGTGGCGCATCTCCGACGAGAAAATCAAGGAATGTAAGACCTCGGACGTGCTAGGCATGCAGAGAGAGGTCTACCTCTTGTTCTACGAGTTGGAGAAGCCCGATACTGAGGGGCATAGATAGTATACTTTCTTTTCCTTTTTTAGAGTCCAGTACATACACATACCCCCGTACTTCTGTACAGATGAGATCTAGAATCGAATTAAAAGGGGGGGTTTTACTTAGAAAGATGTACTAAATCAGACCAATGCTTTTGAAAATACCCAACAGAATAGTCGGAGATCCCAATGAAAGGGGGAAGGGAAAATAGTAACTTCCGATAAACGGCGAAGATGATGTCACTTGACTTTCTGCAGCTCTACTACAATTGTAAGGAGTACCAGTATCGTACAACATATGATGTACTTTGTACATTATTGCTTATTTTTATTTTACAGCTTTTAGTTGTAGATAAGGAAAATGAGTATCCTTAGTATATAATACTATAAACCGGAATATGAGGGACAGTGGAAATACGGCGAATGGCCTCGAACTCCTCGGCTGCTCCCCCGCCACGAACAAAATGCGGATTCTTGATTCTCCGATTTTTAAAGAATTGAATGGTCATTTTATAGCTATTATAGCTATTATAGCTGTCATAACTATCATAGATGGTATAACTGTAATCATTAAAGAACATAGGAGAAACAATCTCCTGATATAGGTGGAATAATTCCCTCATTCCTTATAAGCTCCTAATAGCTCTCCCGGATATCTCAATGGCAACGTCGGGCCATCACGGGGAAGGTCGGGAAGCACACAGTGGACTGGCCATACATAAAGATCTCATTACTTTTCTCTTTCTGTTCTTCTTGTTCTCTCTTGAAATCACACTGACCTCACTTCAGTTCCACTCAATCTCCACCACCGGTGAGTCCAACCCTGTCTCTCCCTTCACCGATGACGCTTGCCCCTCCTCTACCTTTTGCCCCTCTTCCCTATTTAACTCTGCCCGCTTTCAGCTCCCGGTAAGGAGCTTCGCTTTAATACTTTATTAGATCTAATTTCCTTCTTTCTCTTCTTCAGATTTCTACAAACCAAAATCTTTGTACAAACTTCATAATGGGTGTCCTTGAGCAACTTAGCCGCAAGTCCGGCGTCATTGTCGGTGACGATGTCCTCCGTCTCTTTGAGTACGCTAAGCAGAACGGCTTCGCCATTCCCGCCATTGTGAGTTCTCATGTCTTCTGAGTGTTATGTGTGAACCTATACTGATTCCCACCAGAACGTCACCTCCTCTTCCACTGTTGTCGCTTCCCTCGAGGCTGCTCGTGACCAGCAGTGCCCTGTTATTCTGCAGTGCTCCCAGGGTGGTGCCGCTTACTTCGCCGGTAAGGGTGTGAGCAACGAGGGCCAGAAGGCCTCCATTGCTGGTGCCATCGCCGCTGCCCACTACATCCGTAGCGTGGCCCCCGCCTACGGCATCCCCGTCATCCTTCACACTGATCACTGCGCCAAGAAGCTCCTCCCTTGGCTCGATGGCATGCTCGATGCCGACGAGGCTTACTTCAAGCTGCACAACGAGCCTCTCTTCTCCTCCCACATGATTGATTTGTCCGAGGAGCCCGTCGACTACAACATCAACACCACCGCCGCCTACCTTAAGCGCGCTGCCCCCATGAAGCAGTGGCTCGAGATGGTATGTCAACTCACAAAAAAAAAGCATATTACAACATTCATACAGTGCTAACCACTTCCATAGGAGATCGGTATCACCGGTGGTGAGGAGGACGGTGTCAACAACGAGTCTGTTGACAACAACTCCCTCTACACCCAGCCCGAGGACATCCTGGCCATCCGTAACGCCCTTGCCCCCATCAGCCCCTACTTCTCCATTGCCGCTGGCTTCGGTAACTGCCACGGTGTCTACAAGCCCGGCAACGTCAAGCTCCACCCCGAGCTCCTCTCCAAGCACCAGAAGTACGTCAAGGAGCAGATCGGCTCTTCCGACGACAAGCCCGTCTTCTTCGTCTTCCACGGTGGCTCCGGCTCCTCCAAGGCCGAGTTCAAGGAGGCCATCAGCTACGGTGTCGTCAAGGTCAACGTCGACACTGACATGCAGTACGCTTACCTCACTGGTGTCCGTGACTTCGTCCTCAACAAGAAGGACTACCTCATGTCCCCGGTTGGTAACCCCGACGGTGCTGATAAGCCCAACAAGAAGTTCTTCGATCCCCGCGTCTGGGTTCGCGAGGGTGAGAAGACCATGGTGCTGCGTGTTAAGGAGGCCCTTGAGGACTTCAACACTGCTGGCCAGCTGTAAATGTTGACCTTGTGTGATGTCTCATATTTTATTCCCTTTCTTTACCCTTTTTGATTACCCTCATATCCTCTCTTCATGCGGCCGAAAAAGCGTTGGATGTGCCTGGGGATGTGGCCGTCCAGGTTGTATGTAGCGTTGTATGCTGACACGCTGTAATGAATGTCCATATCACGGTCCTTATGACCGCTCCTTTGGAATATGAACTGTTAACGTTCTGTTTGATAATTGTATTTCAAGACCAATCTCCGATGTAGTTACCAGCCAGGTCTTGTATTGTTCCTCAGACCTTGCCAATATGTGTCTGTATACTTGGGTCTATCCACTACTAACTTCAATTTATAAACAAGTATAGGTTATCTCATCCATAGATGTTGGTGGAATGCTACCCATGTATATGTGCTTACTGTTTGCTCCCAAGGTTGTCTCCTACCACCGCCGTTGTAATCCAATCTCGAAACCTAACCCCGATAACACGATGTAGCTCACTCGATTGGCAAACATGAGGCTTCTCTTCTCATGTCTTCTCAGTTCCCTCTTATTATCTCACAGATTTTCGTCAGGGTGATTGGCCATCATATTCCTTTTTTCATACCTCATCCTCCATCAACCTCCATAACCCAAAAAGACATCGGTATGAACCCTAGCTTCTCCTACCCTTTATTTCCATCTCATACTAGTAAGCCTCTATCAAATAGAGCCCATACCAATCACAAACCAACATGTTCCCTACGCGATTGATCCGCACTCCACAACCGGTACATATACCAAAATCCAAGCATAGTCCTCTCTACTAACAAATCTAATACGAAAACAGGTCCTAGACCTCGGCAGCGACCTAGAAGAACTGGTCTACATCAAGACAGCAATTGGAATCTACGACCGAACCATGCTATCAATCATCGGCTCGGCAATCACACCCGCACAGCTCAATCTCAACCGCGGGTCCTGGCTACGGGCCAAGTCGAAAGTGGCATCTTTGCACCGGAGCATCGTGTCAGATTTCAATCGGCTGCCGCGTCAAATGAAACGCACCTTTGTGCGGGCCAATCGCTTGACTCTGATCGAGCATGGGTTTAAGCCATCCGCTGATAGCTTGCAGATTACTCGTCCAGGTAGTAGACGGGTTGTCATTGTGCTTTGAAATGGGAGAATGGGATACATACTGGTATGTTGTTGCGTGCGAGATTATCTGCTCTTGTGTATCGTTGTTAACTGGGTTGTTCTGTTAGAGAAGTTGTAGTTCGACTCTTCGTCTCTAAGGAGGGGGGTGGTGATGGTGGCTGTCCATAACACTTTGATTCCTGTTGGGATGCTCAAATGCTTGGACAGCTGATGGGAGGATGACCTTTCATGCTAATAGCAAATCGATGCTCAGGATTAATATTTCACAAACACATTACAGTGATTCTTTAGTGATAGTTATGGTTCTGTTGTAGTGAGGTCAACCAACATTTGATCATGCTGAGATCCTCATGAATAAACGGTTACTAGTTAGCTGGACCGAGAAGACAATAATGCACTAGACATAACAACTAACATCTACAGAAAATAATGTCTTCTCTGGCGGAACCTGCAAAGAGAAAATATATAAAATCGTTAGTCCACACTACAGCCAAGCTATACGGGTTCAGGAGGAGAAACCAAAGCAGTGAGATCAAATTTCGCATTGAGAAATTTACAAGAATAACATGACAACGTCTCAGTCATAAGCGGGTTGACTCTCAGATAGGGATAACTCCAATCTATGATGCGGCCAAGATTCCAAACATGCAACCATCTTGCACACCCAGTTCCAGGGCAGCAGCATACTTAACAGGAAGAGATATTTTTGATAGAGCAGCCGATTCTAGAATTAGAGCATAGTAACCCTATCAACAAGCATGCTTGCGAGTCCACTCCCGTGCAATTTCCTCATAGCGCATCCGGTCGTTTTTGTACTGCTCTGCGATCCGCCCCTCGACGGCGTCGTCAGGCATCGGCTCGGCTAGTAGCTGTCTGGCGAACTGGAGGACTGCGGCGATCTTCGAGCTGGGTTTCCATTCGTCGGCTCGGAGCATGCCTAGGCACATACTTCCCTTGTCATCGTTTGTAACGTTCGGGTGATAAATTTTTGTTGCGAAGGAGACTGTCGGGGGCTTGAATGGGTATTCCGTGGGTAGGGAGAGCTTGACTAGGAACTTGCCATCCTGTGTTGTTTGCCAATAGGTTAGAAACGTAGTTTGTTAGACTGTGTGGTTCGAGTTTGGGGAGGGTCCCGTTGGAGACCTTATTGGGAGATGACGAGGCGAAAGGCGGGAGTTTTGACATACGTGAAATGGGGAGCCTTCTGGCCCATCCATGATGACCCTCCACTCGTACACATTCGACTCATCGACCAGTTCAACCGTGATCCCTTCCGGAGGGGATTGGGTGAGCTCGGTCAGCTCCTATAATTGGAATAGATAGTTAGTACGCTGGCGGATACAATGGTTATGTGGAAACATAAGCATTTACCTTGGATATGCGCTTGATGCTGCCCATTGTGGTGGTCAGTTGTGGATTTGGCGGGGCGATAAGAGCGGGGAGGTCAAGGAAGGGGAAACGCGTTAGTGCAAGACGCGTTTCACGAGGTTGAGTCGGCAAATAAATAGAGCTCGGGGAATTTATTAAGTAATATGGAAAAGATTTTATGTGCGACAAGAGCCAGGAGAACAAAGGGGGCTTTTAGGTCGAAGCTAGAAGCTCTTAGTGGGGTGTGCGGCAAAAGACGTCAGCGGAGAAGTTGGATATGTTCGCCGTCCGCCGCTCAAGCTTGGAACACTATAATTGACACTATATCCATTGATACTCCCTGTAATAGTAATAATATTTGATGCATTGGGTTCCATTTCTACCATTTAACAAATCTATATTTTGTGCATTATTCCCTCTGGATCATTACCATCAGTCCCATAAGTCCCAGCATCACTGTCTTGAGCCAGGGGTGTTCACTGAGCATGATAGTAACGTATCCAACCATGGGTATGTAGCCACGAACGCTGCCGACGATATCCTCCGCCCGGTCGAGATAATCCTGGCCTAGCCTAATGTCAGCAACCTTCTCAAGTAGCCTTCTTCAAGCTTGTCTCGCTTACCTTCAGCGTACAGTTCAGTATCGTCTGCTGAATTGTTGTCACCCTAGCAAGCTGTTAAAAGATTTCCTAGGTCAGCCAAATTGTTGTCGCCTACCTTGGTGAGGAGCATATGAGACTTGGGTGTTGTGTCCCTAGAACCACGTTAGCAAAAAGAAGCAGGCAAATGAAAATTGCTGGGTAATGGGCGAGGACATACACTGTAATTTCTTTCACTTTCTTTGTGCTTGCACGTCCTTCTACCTCAGGGAAGGTACGGACAACCCTGTGGACGATCGGAATGGACTTTCCTCTAACATTATAAACGAGAACTTCTCCGATCTCCGCCCTCGTGTTTCGATTCCAGAGAAAGAGAAGGTCACCACGCTGAAATGCGGGCTCCATTGATCCTACGGAGAGGGGATGTGAGCTGTGTTCAGACCGTCTTGGAATAGCTTTGTTTACCGGATAAAACCACAACTATTGGAGAGCTTGATGCAGACACGACCGAGAGGCCTTTCCACAGCATAAAAGCCGTGGAAAGAACCAGTGCAAAGTTCAGCACCTGTGCGATTGATTGTCGAGCATTTGTGATGCTGGAGGAGAGGGAGGATAACATGGTGGGCGGTTCGCGATCAACGGATAGACGGGAGAGTTGGGATAGGTCGCTCTAATAGTGACTGCTGTTGGTCAGAAATATTGCCGGGTGTGTTTTTTCTTCTTTTTTTCTTCTCTCCTGCAGGAAGGTAGATAAAGACGATACCTATTATGTTCAGCTGGCTGGGCTGACTGGGCTGTCGTGTTTTGATAGAGCTAGAGAATGCGGAGAGGTGGCCTCGTCGGAGATCGCCTTGGCACAGATCCACTGGCTTTCCGCCTTGTAGGTATAAACACGGTGCATATTGGAGCACCGTACATCAGATTTTAGCTGAAAATTAAGATATTCAATTATAGTATAGTATTTAGTTCTATATATGGTAATCTGCCTAAATACCGGTGGACTCCGTTTGATCGCAACAAACGGCTTATTGGACTTGGGTGCTTTGTATGTGTGAAAGATGCTTCACCATAGAAAGATGTGTTTAACTACAATATCAGATTAACGTAACCAGAGCCCATAGCCTGAAGTATTAGTGAGGTCTGCGTGCTCGCTTCGGAGCTCTTCATGGGTTTGACGAACCTGGTGATCCGAAATTGCTGCAGATTGGTTGAAAGGCTTGTTGGCAACTTTAACGTTAAAAGTGTGCTGAAATAATGGAATATTTTAGTGAATCAAGGCTGTTAGCTTGCTTAATATGTATTAATGTCGCCTTATATCTGTTTTAGCGTAGAACCATTCAATCGGGCAACCATATATAGCAGATCATGCTCAAGATATTCTTGTTTCTCACGCTATATAGCCTTGGCTGTTGATCCATTCGAAAATGATATTTGCTATGTTAGATTTAATCAAAGATACACAAATACTAGGACCTCGCAGACTACATATACAAGAACAGGTCACGTTCCGTCTCCCTGGGCACCCTTGGACGTCATTGATCAAAGCTTGCTCCTTTTTCTAAGATATAGTCGCAGCTCGTTTGATATCCATCATAGGAAGTAGATACATAGCTTGTCATCATAAATAGATAATTCCTTTTATTCATGGTCCCCTGGTTCTTCCCAGAGCTTCACCTTTTAAGGTGCTCGGAGGAATCACCATGAAGAATGTTGAAAATAGTAGCTATCCCTGGAAAATATGTCACTAGATTGATTATGTCTCATGGCTAGGACTCTGGTCATTCTCCATGTTATATAAACAGCCAATCATATAGATAATAGTGATACTCCTGGTATAGGCTTGAGTTCAAAACATATAGCTTGACTTACTTACCACCCTTCAGCTAACCCACCTGTCGGCAGGTAAGAATTCAGTCGATAGCAAGATTCCTGAGGGAACTCTAGGTAACTAACGCGTTGTATGTATGTATCGCCAACTGACCTCCCACAACCTCCACTGTGCAGATCGCAAGGGGTTCCATTCCTCGGGGCAAGGTTTGAATAAAAATGCCCGAGCAGGAGCATTTGCAAAGATGATACATAAAAGCTGGAATCCCACTCTAGAAGATCAGCCTCATCCAGGCCTGATGCATTGTTGGTAACGATAACTCGGTCAAACATTCGTTGTAATCATCTCTATATGGTTTACGCCACGGTTGCCCAATATGCAGTTTGTCTCCTCAGAATCGACCTTATCGACAGACGAGCACAAAGCTTCAACCGTTGAGCTCCTGCATGATCACTATCTTGAGCTTACCCCGGATGGGAAATATGTGCGATGGTTGCGAAATCACCCCAGGCATCCTCGAAATTGGTCTGGTCTACGAAAGACTTACGATATTGTCCTTATCTGTCTCTTGGATCTTTTTATGTATGACCAGACTAAATCCCAACCTTTTGTCAATAGGCTAACAATCATCTCAGAACAGCTTCCAGCACCGCAGGTGTGAGTGTATATAGTTATTGACCTACAAAATTGCCGAGCTAACGCCCTAGTCTTTCCTAGTCGGCAGCTGCTGCACAAGCTAAAAATGAATACAATATCAGTGAAACACTTTCTACCTTCATATTTGTCACAATGTGAGATCAGCTGGTCTTGGTCTACTTGCGTATCTGACATTGATCAGATTTCTTCTCGGCCAGGTTGCAGGCACCATCTTATTTCCTCCGTGGTCAGAGACATTTGGGCGCAAGAACATGTACATTGTCAGCAGTGGTCTCAGCGCCATTTGCTGTATGATAATCGGTCTTGTGCATTTAATGCCGGTTATTATCATCATGCGCATTACTGCCGGAATTCTTTCCGCGATCCCTTATACCATCGTCGGCGGCAGCATCGAAGACATGTTCAACTCGCATGCTCGGATATGGGCCATGTTTTATTGGACAGTTGCTTCAAACATTGGTCTCATTCTTGGACCCATCATGAGCAGCCATATTATTGCAGGTCTTGATTGGTACGTAGCCCCCAACTACGGTCTATGTAAATTTCTCACAACTACCCAGGAGATGGAACTTCTATATTTTTGCCATCATTATTGCTGCAATTACAGGTGGCCTCTGCTTTATTCGAGAATCTCGACCTTCCTTGTTACTGACCTACGAGGTGAAACTGGTCACCGATATGACTACTATGAAATCAATTCCACCGCCACTCAATCACGACCATATTCCAAGTCTCAATCAATTTGTAAAAGAAGCCCTCTTTCGCCCAGTCCAGCTCTTTTTTCGAGAACCCATCATTTTCGTCATCGCCATGATGATCTCCATTGCCATGTCCCTAATCTACATCTTCACAGAAGCACTCCAACCCATGTACGAGTCAATGGGTTTCGCAAAAACCGATGCTTCACTGGTATTCATCGCCATCGGCCTGGGAATTTGTCTTAGCACATTAACCCGCGTGCTAGACAGCTACATTCTCAACTATTTTCACAGGCAGGGACGCCCTATTAAGCCGGAATACAAGCTCGTCGGGCTAGGCCTTGGTGGTCCATGCCTAGCGATTGGTCTATGGTGGTTTGCCTGGACTATTCCACCCGAGACCCAGACTCCATGGGTTGTGCCAACAATTTCCCTCGTTCTGGTCGGTTATGCGCTGACTGAAATGGATACCGTGCTGTATGGATATATATCCGACGCTTATCTGAGCTATTCGGCCAGTGCCACCGCTGCTGTTGCATTCATGCGAGCGCTGCTGTCGGGTGCCTTTCCGCTGTTTACAACGCAGATGTTTGATCGATTGGGAAATAATAATGCCATGTCTGTGCTCGCTGCTGTAGCAACTGCATTTTGTATAGTACCGCCTGTTTTTATCTGTTATGGAGAGCGGATTCGTCGGGCGAGCAAGTTTGCTCGATATAGTTGGGAAATTCAGGAGGAGCTAGGTAAAGAAAAAGAAGATTGGTGAACTGTGGGCTATTCTTGTTTGATACGTATATCTGTGATTTGCAAGGGAATATTCTCTCAAGCATGCGAAATACAAATGGTATGAGGACCAGATAAACAAGAGCAAAAAGTAGGTAACTGCTGGAAATCAAAGAAAGAAGCGAATATATGGCCACAGACCGACACAAAATGTGATCATACCCCCTGGGTGGGTTTAGCAGTAATGTACTCTCTCCGAGTTGGACCTGCGTCCCAATACTTCTCTTTCTTGCCGCGATTAACGATCAGTCCGTAAATATCAAAGGGGTCAACGAGAGTCTGGAGCCAATGACGGGGATCATCATAGCCAGGGCCCTCAATCTCCGTGACACCATCTTCAGCGAGATAAATCTTGTTTGACCGCGGAAGCCAGTGCATAGGATGAAAGACATTCAGCAAAGTGGTATTGCTGTACATGAACACAACCTCAAAAAACCAGAAGAACCACTCCTGTTTCAACACAGGACTGATATGCTCGAGGTCGGCATAAGCATTCAGACTCGCAGCAGTAAAGTATTCCACGGTGCGATAGATGGTACGGATTGTAATGAGGGTACAGCTGCAGTATAGCACTAGTAACGCATGTTTGATCTTGTGGTTCAATACGCCTCCTCGGGAGCAGTTAAAGTGGAATCGGCCGGCCAAAGCCACAAAGCCTGCCATCAGCACGATCTGCATGATAAGCGCCGCCTTCAGTAGAGCCTTTCCAGTGTTTTGCGAGCTGATGCTAGAGTCTGCACTTGCAACTCGGGCCGCTCCGTTCGCCGTAATGCTCTCAATGGCCACACCCAAGGCGACGAAAGTCGTGAATACGCGGCCAGGGTGAATGGGAGAGTGGTATGGGATATAGTAGAGTATGCGACCCAAAATGAAGAAGTTGGCACCCTCATACACTGGTCTAAAATAATCGAAGATCAGTTGTCAGTGGCATATCTTATGATGGGATAGAAACTCCTCACGGTCCGGCGAGGAGAAGCACTGTGCTTGCGATATAGACGCCGATATTTGCCCACTGCCTGAATGCTCCAATAGTTCGCATGATAAAACCAGCCGTGAACAAGAGGGCAGACCATGGAAGAAGGCCGGTGACTTTCCAAGACTTATATTTGCTGTAATATCTGGTTAATTTGAGGATCCACAATGAGTAAAGGTCACATACAAGCATTGATATCCATGGATGCCGCCAGATACAGCAAAGAGAATCGCAAAAGCAATTGCAGCACCTTTATTTGGTGCATAGAACCACAAACTTCCCTCCTCTTTGTTTTATCAGAGAAACCATTGATCAAGGTTTACTTAATAGACGACTTACGATATGATGACCTTGCCTCAACCATGTTGTATATCCTCCAAATATAAGTATATTGCTTAGTTCGAACAATCAAGTTTGCGCAAAAACACTCTGTGTAGTCGATGCAATCAATTGCAAGTGAGAGACCATGAGTATTTTGCTAAGACTTATAGACTATAGTAGTGCAGGTTGGATATATATATTACAAGATTCAGGTCCCATGCTTCGGGCGGCTGATCCCTTGTGATTTAGGAAGTGTTCACTTTAGGCAATTTCGTATTCATTTAACCTTCCAGCACCTTATAATTTTCATTTTGGCCAGTTTCTTAACTTGCTAGATCCACAAATAATAGTCATTTATCGAGGGCCACTGGTTCATCGTACAAAATAGCGGATCGAGGCTTGGGCTTGAAAGGACCTCGTATTTACCTCTGCGCCCTGCTGAGCCGCGCCTAATACGAACATTGACTGCCATAGATCCTTGACTTGGAAATGATTCGCCAACTTTCTTGTCACGCTAGTCCAACCCAAGTAACTCGTTTTCGCTTGTTTTGAGTGCATGGGATATAGCCCCAGCGTCATCAATTTACTTCAACATCAATTAACATATGTGTACAAAGTAGGGAGGTTTATAATAATGGGCAGAGAGCTTGGGGAGACTACTCTATGCGAAAAAGCAATAACAACAGCCCTTCAATCACAGAAATTGCTATACAGGAGGCCCACTTAAGCAGACATGGGTGTATATTTACCTGTTCCACTACGTCCTATCTGGAAACATTATCTTCATAGCCACGGCCTGTTTATAACGTCACCGGGCTCGGGCGCTGCACAAGCTGCAAGTGAATAGGAAAATGGGAAGCTAGCAATGCACTCGTCGTTCCGTCTTCCTGTGTAGTTGGTAGTTAACGCAGGGCCCGAGCCGGAGGACACCGTAAACCATGATGTAGTGCGGAAATGGGCCATCATCATGAAGAAATTGACACTCATCCTGGAGGGGAAAAGCTTTCACTGGGGGCATGTTTCAGCACTGGGATGGAAGACTAAGGAGGAGTTTCGGGGAATTTATATGGCTTGGGGTTATAGTTGCGCAAAAAAAAAAAAAAAAAGACATATAACAAAGACTACAGGAAGACAGCTGAAAAAAAGACTTTGAAAGTTAAAAGAACACAAGTTCATTCGATCCGACTTGAGGATCATGTCTAACTATGTAGGTCATGGGTACCTCCATGATAAAGCTGCCATGACCAAGATGAGATAATTGCGTGCTAGTAGTGCGCCGCATCTAACATGAATGATTTCGAGAATATAGCGATATAGTAATATCCATGGATATCCGAAGCAATGAAAGGGCAAATAAATAATATCAGAATAGGCCCGGAGGGTATAGCTGCACGTGATATAACTGTTGTCAGGGTAACTGACGACCAAAAGGGGGTAAGCGCAATGTTGATCTGTGGCCGTTCTGGACTTCGCATTGACGCAGGTACTCAACCATTTTGCATTTAGTTGCATTCCGACACGGCTTCAAAGGTTCAATCACGCCTGCACTTGTGTTGGCTACATACCCACGAGTCACCCAAAATGCCGCCCAAACAGCCCCAGACATCGCTGTTCCAAGTTTACCTTCGGTTACGGCCGCCGATGGCCCAAAAGCCCAATGAATCTGACCGTTTTTTGACTGTTGAGTCGCCAGAGGCTTCCCAGGAGGACACAGAGATCGTATCACTGGGATCAACACATGTTACTCTTCAACCGCCAAATGACACAAGAAAGCGCGCCGTTGAGAGGTTTGGTTTCACAAAGGTCTTTGAGGAGGCTGCCTCGCAACTGGACGTCTTCCATGACACTGGGATGGAGCCCATCATACGTGGAGTGCTGAAGGAGAACCGAGATGGGCTAGTTGCTACCCTGGGTGTCACAGGCAGCGGAAAGGTCTGGCCCCGAAGCTTAAAGTATTGCGATAACCAAGCTAATGGGTTATATGCACAGAGCCACACGATTCTAGGATCTAAGACGGAGCGAGGAATGACCCAAATGGCACTTGACGTTATCTTTCGTTCCCTAGAGCCAACAACTAAGACCGACGATTACAGCATTACCCCCGTAATGCTTGCCTCCTTGGCCGCCGCAGACGCTTCTGAAGCCCAATTGTTCTCCGCCCAGACATTTTTAGAAGCTGTATATGGCGAGCCAAATGGACGTACGTCGAGAGCGCAAACACCCATGAGCCCGTCTCGTGCCAATACCCCTCTGATGGTACGAACCCCCTTTACCCTGAATTCCCCCCAAGGATCCCCCATCCCGCGGCCACGCACCCCTGGATCGTTTCTCCCAAGGCTGAGTTCTAAACCTGGAAGCCCCAGTAAGGCGGATTTGTCTTCTATCACCAGTCCCAATGGTGTTGCTGGAGCAGGCTCTGGCCAGTGCTTGACTGAGTCCTCTGGATGGATCACCCCGGGGTTTTCTAATCCTACCCCCTACACCCACTCCAATCTATTTGAGCCCAAATCAGCTAAATCTCGACTTTATGTTATTAAGGAACCGACCCCTGCACTGAACTTCCCCCGCCGGCACATACGTGAACGACCATGCGCCCTTCCTAGGCTACCTGATATGAGCCACCTTACTGTGGATATGGACTCAAATTCCGACTATGTCGTTTTGGTGTCGATGTATGAGGTATACAATGACCGAATTTTCGATCTTCTCTCCCCCTCTATTGTCTCAGGTCAGGGCAACATGTCCCGCGGAAATAATCAAAAGGATCGGCGACGTCCCTTGCTCTTTAAACCTACCGAAGGCTCACCAGACCGGAAACTGGTCGCCGGCCTACGCAAAATTGCTTGCGGCAGCTACGAGGAAGCACTGGCTATCTTGGACGTTGGTTTGACTGAACGTAAGGTAACTGGTACTGGGATGAATAGCGTGAGCTCGCGAAGCCACGGCTTCTTTTCCCTAGAAGTCAAGAAGCGGACATATTCAAAGCGAACTGGTGAACACAACTGGACTGGAAACGCACTCACTGTTGTGGATCTTGCTGGTAAGTAAGTTGTATTCTTGCCTTGGGGCTGTCGCTAATTAATCTAGGCTCCGAGCGTGCGAGAACAGCAAAGACAGCCGGAGCCACACTCGCTGAGGCTGGAAAGATCAATGAAAGCTTGATGTATCTCGGCCAGTGCCTGCAGATGCAAAGCAACATACAGGATGGACTGAAGGTGTGTTTTGAACTCATCGTTGATATGCTTCTTTTTGGCGGCTGCTAACCTACACAGACCGCGCTTGTTCCTTATCGGCAGTGCAAATTGACCGAGCTTCTGTTTTCAAACTCATTCCCATCATCTCACCAGATGTCTAGAGGCCAATATCCCCAAAAGGCTATCATGATCGTCACCGCTGACCCTCTGGGTGATTTCAACGCCACTTCCCAAATTTTGCGTTACTCCGCGTTGGCGCGTGAGGTTACGGTTGCCCGAATCCCCTCTGTCTGTGAATCTATTTTGTCCGTCGCTTCTGGTAGCCACCGCTCAGTCAGTGGCTGCACTTCGCCAAATTTCGATCCAACCGAAGAGTTCGAGAGAGCTGCTGCTGAGATTACACGCCTCACACGCGACTGCCATGGTCTTGCTGTCAAACTAGCTGAAGAAGAGATTGCACGGTCTGACGTCGAAATGAGACTTAGAGCTGCCGAAGAAAGATGCCTCATAATTGAGCAAGATGTCCGAGAAGAATGCTGGGCAGAGATGGATGAGAAATCGGAAGAAGAAAGGCGACGCTGGCAAAGGGCATGGGACGAACAGGTTCGTAGCCCCGGACCGGCTGAAACTTGCCAAATGTTAATAATTCCCAGATCGGTCGCAATGACGAGCACATCGACAGGAAGGTTGAGCTTGTATCGCGTGGATTCCAAAGTGAGTTGACACACGAGGAGCGAGATATAGGAACTCTTGAACTAACCTTTATCTCCAGTCTTTGAAGATTCAGGTTCGAAGGAACGAATGGAAGAGCTGGAGCAAGAAAATGACCAGCTTCGCCGCAAGCTTGCCGCTCTTGAGCGTGAGATGCACAATCAATCCCCGACAAGAAAGCACAGACCCAAGAATGTCACGCCCGCGCGGTCTAATCTGCTCGGCCGTGAGAGCGATATTGAGAATGCGTTGCAACGCATGGACCAACTGAAGCTCGCAGATACCATGTTTGCTCCTCCATCGCCAGGAGCCTCTCCTATCAAGAAGACGAGAAAGATGGGAACTCGGAAATGGGACCTCGCCCCCGAGGACCAGATCTAACCCGTCTCATTTCCTCTACTTCGTCATGACTCACGATTCATTTTTCTCACGTTGCTCGAGATACTAGACCTTTTAATTCCCTCTTTTTTTGGTTAATATGGAATGATATCCCTTGGCTAAGGCGTTCGGGGGCAATCGATCCTTTGTTTCATAATTGTTGATATTTCTTCTTCCAATTGAAAATCCCAGATTTGAATTTTGTGCATACATATTGTACATACTAGCTCGTAAGCCAATTAAGCAACCTGTCTCAACGCCACCCTGTAGTTTCTTCTTTTAAAAAAATGCTTTCTTGGAAAGAACACCCCATGTGCTCCATGAACGAAAAGAAACAAAGAAAGCAAGCCCCCGGCTTGGATGTATAGCAGATTCATTAGGACTCGGAGGGCGTGATGTCCATGGCATCTTGCTCGCCGGTATCGCGCTTGTCAGCGACATGCTCAGTCTCAGTATCGTTGGCAGACTGATCAGCAGTGAGAATCTCCTTCTCTTCTTTGTCTTCTTCCTCCAACTTTGTTTCCTCATCCTGCATCTCCTCATCATCATATCCCTCACCCTCAGTCACACCATGATCACCGTCACCATCACCCTCTCCTTCTTCACCTTCATTCTCATGGCCACCCTCATCATCCTCACCATCCCCTTCATCCGCACCTTCATCACCAGTCCCACCTTCCTCTGCATCAGTAACATGAGGGAAAAGTGCTGAGGTCCCCTCATCACCTAGCTTCGTGTCCTCATTCTCGCTCATCTCCGTCTCGTCAGCACTATCATGCTCATCTCTCTGCTCAGCCGAGCCATCACCAGCAGCAGAAGCCTGCCTGGCTGAGCCACGAGGTGCAGAACTCTGTCCCACAGTAGTTGACCCAACGTCCTGTGGGTTGGCAGGTGGCTCTGTCTCGCCTGCAGCGGCCATTTTACTCGCCACGGCCCGAGGAGCAAGCTTCGTGTTCACGATTGTGTCGGCGCGTTTCTGGATGTCTCGGCGGGCGATGCCCTTTGTCCGGCCGCGGGGTGCCGGGGCATCAGATGCTGGGACAGACGTTGGGGGGGGTTGAGGTCTCGGGAAGGCTATCGCCCACCATGAGGACGTGATCGACTTTCATCTTTTCTTTGTTTTCCTCAGTTGCTTGTTCGACCAGGTGAGGCGTGTTGATCTCGTAGAGTCGAGCGTATAGGTCGGCGATCAGGTCTTCAAACATCGTGATTTTCATGAGGTTGTTGTTAAGTTTCTTTAGCTCCAGGGCATCTCGGAGTAGTTCTAAAATGGCCTGGCTATCTGCTCCCAGGTGAGGTAGGCTTTCCAAGCGAGCTGTCTTGGTAGAGAACTCTTCCCACCCGATTGGTTTAAATATGCTTTCTTCATGACCTTCGTTAATCTTGGCTGCACGGCGGATGATTTTTGCATAAGTTAGGCAAATGTCTTCCCATAGCTTGGTGTGGTTGAAGAAATCGCCTTGCTTCTTTCTGACACGGCGCAAAAGTTGATCCAAGCTTGCGCGATCGTCAAGCTGGTCAAGCAGGCCAACAAAAAAGTACACGTAGCGGGTCGTGTAAACGAAATGACGACCCGGGCGTTCAAACTCTGGCCGCCAGACTTGGATCGTAAGTGTCTTGGTGAATATTTGGGAAAGTTCCTGCTTGGCAGCAATGGCAGCAGTTGCATTTTGCTGGTCGTCATAAATGAGATGCGCAGCCTAGGGGTTGTAAGTAGTGCGAAAAAAAACCAAAAAAAAAAAAAAAAAAATCAAGCTGCGGACGATATACCTTTACACCCATGCGATGATGCCAGTTGGACTTATCGGCGCTCTTGTACTTGCGAAGGACTTCGAGTATATATGGGTTCCATCCCTCCAAATTCTCAGGGGGCTCGATCTTACGGGCCCAAGGAGTCGCAAGGAGGGTCTTGCTTCCTTCGGCAGGCTGATGTTGCTGTCAGAATGAGGTCTTTATATCAGGAGCGAACACAACTTACCGTCATGTTTCCTCGAAGAACAAGCTTGTGTACAAAAGAGAAGAGTTTGAAATGGGGTTCAAAGATCGGATCAGAACGCGAGTCTCTTCGCTGCGGAAGTGCAGCAATAGCATCGAGAACAGCATTTATTACCTCTTGCGCCTCGACCTTTTTGGAAGTCGTTCTCAAAGAATCATCGCTAGTGAACATTTTCCAAAGACACTTGCCAAGCGTGTAGTGAGTCCTATTAATGTGTTAGTACCCTTTCAAATGTCAAGTCTCATTTAAATCACTTACATCCATCGCTTAGACTTGTCGACAGCTGCCCGTTTGAGAAGATTGCTAGCGAAGTTCCATGTTGAATAAGCCGACATTTCCTTGAAAGGTGTACCCTTGTACATTTGCTGGCTTTCCTCGCTGCTGAAGTGACGAGGGAAATCTGCAACACTGAAGGCTCCCATGGATAGCGGCTCGCGAGAGGACGAGTAAAGGCGGATGCCAAAGTCTGAATAAAGATCTGACATCGCTTCTCTGGTCTCTGCCGTTGGCTCTGCAGTCCTGATTGCTGTTGAAACAGCCATGGCATAGCAATGAATGGCATTTCGCTGTAGTGCTGCTAAGTCCGAACGGTTGTTATTGATCTTATCAGCTGTCCATGTAATGTCTTCATCGAGCTTCGAGTCATAGGTTTGGGCGAGCCTATACCAAGTTTCCCACCTCCCTGTTCCATGATCTAAGTCTTGTCTGAAGAACCCGATGGCATCATCAAGCTCGCTTGTTGGACCAGGGCTGAGGCGCTTCTGGGCTCGGAATTTGGTGAGTGCAGCATGGCCAAGGAGGAAGAACCACCCCTTCGAAGCGATCTTTGCATTCTCGGTGGGAACTATTGTGGTCGAAAGTTCCGTAATTCCCTGAACGGCGCGGAGCAGATTAGCTGGGTTGAGTGCGGTCTTAAGATATGCATTCACAAGGCGACGATTGAAAGTTAGCTGAGGTGTCTGCGAAGAGGCCTTAGCAGGGCCAATCGCTTGCTGCATCTTCTCAATAGTAGTCTTCAATTCTGACTTTGACAAGTCCTTCATATTCATCTTGTTTGCTTGTTGCAGAACAAAGTCGATCATCATGATCGCTGTAGGGCGATCTAATTTCTCGGGAGGGCATCCATGGTCCACAGTCCCATCGAATGCAGAGAATTTGATACCATGGAGATCGAGAAGTATTTGACACATGTCAAATTCATAATCACCCTTGGTTTCAAGACCAAAGAGCTCCGCTTTCAGAAGCTTCAAGAACCTCTTTTGAGAATATCTGCACATCGATCGAACACCCAATGCATTATGAACGGAGCGGAGGAAATGAATACGGTCTTCAAACGGATCATCGAAAAGCTCCTTGTTCTGGGCAATCGCTTCTATGAAGAGGGTGTATTGTAAGATCCAGCAGCGAACATATAACTCTCGCATTCTTTCTTTCATGTTTTCTAGCGATTTCGCCAACGAGCCTCGGAAATCGCGACCGGAAATCTGGCCCACTCGTACCGAGTCTTCGTAAAGGATAAAGCTGTGCAAAAGCCTCACGAGGCGGGCTATAGCACACATTGAGCTTTGCAAATGCTCCATGTCGAAACAGTCAAATGCTTGTTCTGAATCTTCAAGAATAAGCACTATAGCTTTGGCCACAATGCCATCGAGGGCTTTGAGCCAGCCCAGCAGAGCTACCTGGCGATTTTGGCTTGTTTCTTCGCTGTGTTTCGCTGCCTCGAGTTCTGCCATTACCACTTCGATGCTTCGTAAATAGCAAGAGACAACTTTAGGCGGGTAGTCAATGGCTTGGTATGCCTCCTGGAGTCGGCGCCAGAGAAATAGTCGTAATGTAGCATCTCCTCTATCGAGGAAGGCAGCCATTTCACCGAGATGTGACGTAGGATGATTCATGTCATTCTCCATTGGCATTCCAGCATGCTCAATCGATGAGGGTTCAAGAATTGGCTCTATTGCTTCGATGAGAGACACAGGATCCTCAGAGTCCGAGTTGAATACCTTGGCAAAAAAGTCCATGCATTTGAGCTTCAAGACCTCCTGGTCTATCACAGCAGCGGACAATTCTGACATCGTAGCATTGTTGATGAGATTGACACTTGGGTTACCAAGGGACTGAAGTATTTGCTTCAGATCTTGAAGACAGAGCAGGATGTGTTCCCGCTGCGCGTCCCCAGCCAGATTGACATGGAATGCCGACGCCCACAAATGGCGCAGAGTGAGGTTTGATTGGGATTCGCCGGATGGGCCGTGGATGACAAAATGATCTATAGATGACCGGACTAGCATACCCCACCGAGCCAGCCGATCACGCTGTGCGAGTCTTGTCTCCTCGACCGTCTCACTGCCAAGACTCTCAACCGAAGCGAAAACATCCAAATGAAGCTCATATATTGTTTGTATCATCTCAAGTTCGAAGAAGTCTTTAGCCTTATATTCAAATGGAGCCCCATTGCTTGAGCCAAGAATCCGGACTTCAAGATTCGCGATCAATTCGCTGCACGCCCGGTAAATGAATTCATCCTCTCGAACTAAGAGTTCTAGCACTGTCTTCTTTAGATCTTTTGGCCACAGAAAACAGGAGTAAGTTGACTTTGCTATCGACCAGCTTGAAGACTCTCGGCCGAAATCCGGCATGAGAAGGCACTTCAGCCATTCGAACGAAGTCTCATGGGGATGTAGCCAATCAGAGTTGATGGCATTGGAAAAATTATAAAGTTGCTCTCCAGAAGGAATTTCTTCCTCAATAACTGGCTTTCGGGCACTTTTTCTTGAGTGCTCAAGGAAAACAGCCAATCCCGACTTGCTTGTACCACGGATTTCTTTCAGAGGAGACAAATTGTCTTTCTGCTGCATCAATCGAGACTTTTCGTCATCCCATGTCTTGATGAGGCTTCGGAAATCGTGAAACAATCGGGTCTCAAGATCTTGTGGTGTATCGGTTGAATCATTCCCAGAGCACTTTTCTCTCAGACCTTCGATGCTACCCAGTGAATCGATACCGACTTTCGAGAAGAGAGAGTCGACAGTGCTGAACATCCAATCATCGGCATTGACAAATACTTCAAGGCGGTCTTCGTAATACTTGTCTTGGTCGAATGCAACTTCTTCAGGTGGTACGAGAGTGTCGGCATTTGACTCTCGGGCTCGAGTCCGTCTGCTTTTCATGCGGCCACCCTCTGGTTCTTCGTTCGCAGCTGACGCAGACGATCTTTTGCGAATATCCACTGCAGAATTCGTGTCAACTTCTTCTGCGTGGGTCCCATCTTGTCCAGCCTGTTGCTCTTGTGGCTGCGTCGATTGACGTTCCAAGGATTCCATCAATTGCTTTTCAGCACTTTGATCGATGGATGAATGTTCCTCGCCTGGCTCAGAGTGATCTTTCGTTTGTTGCGGTGAGTTTTGCTCAGGCTTCGCAAAATTTTCGGTTGTCTCGATCATGTCCACGTCGGCAACCTCATCGCCGCCCCTGTTTCCGCGCCTCTCCGTATCTATGACCATTTCCGTGTCTTCTGCATTTTGAATCGGTGTACTCGGAGCCTGGGAACTCCTAGATGGTAAGATAATACTAATAGACTGAGTAGGGGCAGCGGCGAGCGAGTTATCATCTTCTTCGTCAAGTGCTTGGAGAAGCGCCTTGCCAACTGACTCCCAGGTTGGGTCAGCAGGCGTTATCTCTCGGCGGGAAGCGTGTAAGGCAAGAGGACCCTTTGACGGATCTAAGTAGCGCAAATCAGCAGGAAGGGCGGGCAGGCTGGGATATGGATCCTCATGCTGTTTGAGGTATTTCAATAAAGCTTTCTTTGGCCTCTGGACGGGGATTTGCGAGGCAGATAATTTGTCAAAGAGGGATTGCAGTGTGCTTCGCAGGCGTTGCTCCGCGAATATCTCCTCTAAACCAAGCTGCTCTGGCCGTAATTCCAAGCGGTTTTCATCGTCCGCTAGGACACTCTCCAAACAATACCGAGACAAGCGGTAGCTGTTCAAGGAACTGCTGAGTCTTGCACTCTGCCTCCAGAGGTTGAGATCTGAATCGTCTCGTTCTAAGGCATCCCCGAAAGACGTTAAAGCTTTCCTGGATGCCTCCGTCAACTTCCTTTGTGTTTTCTGCTCGGATTCGGGGGTTGGCGCTGTTCGTAAAGAGTCTTGCACCGAATCGAGGACAAATTTCCCGTAGTTTTTATAGGACAGATAAAGCGTTTGGAATAGACTTGAAGTAGAGTCGTTAACGTTGAATTCGGCGATCGATTCTGTAACAATTTCATCGTGCGCATCATCGAATGCACCCCTTTTGAAATCGGAGATAGACTCTGGGTATTTGAAGATCTCCGAATTGAGAAGAGCTCCATAGGCCTCGGCAGCCTGGGAATAGTGCTCTGGCCCTTGTGAGTGTAGCTTCAAGGCACTGTGGTAAAGCTTCAAAGCTTCCTCGATCTGAAGCTCCTTGGTATCGTCAACTTCCTCTTCAACAGCCTCATCAGGCTCAACGTTCAATGCGACCCAGCTCGACATGGCGTGAGCTCCACGCGGGTCCCTCAAATATTAGATGGAAAAGAGAAACCAGGCGACAGCATCGGGCAGGATACCGAGACCCTAGATGCGGGCAGCAATAATGAGCAATTGGTTATCGCGGGCGGACACACGTTATCACGCGTTGCACCAATCGGGAAAAGTGTTTTGGGCCTGAGTGCCTGAGTGCCTAGATGTATGGGTGCCTGGACGTATGGGTGCCTTGTGGCCTGGAGCCGTTTTCTTGGATGAGTACGTATTGACAGTTGGAGTATTCCTAGATCACTCTTCACTTTCCCCTCAGTGCAACCCCTGAAACGTCTTACGATTCCCACAGAATTCATTAATTAAGATACCCTCATCTTTCATTCCACCGCGCTTGTGCAGGCGCCATGGTCGCGCCCGCTGTCCCTGAGTACGTGCTCCTATCCCCGTTTACGTGTTCCCCGGGTTGCGTATGCACCCATGGATAGCCATTGTTCGAGATTGTCAACAGTTGCCACTACAATAATTGCAAGAGTTGTGCCTAACATTGAGAGCATCATTCAGGATCCATGAGGAGGAAGATATCTATGTTGCGGTTGATGCGCGAACGGAGTCCTTGCAGAGCTTGCGAGAACTAGGCCCTCCAGACCTAGTCTATTTGGTGAAGCAGCCTAAAGCCAATTCGACTCGCCAGGTAAGATATACAATACCAATTCATTCCATGACATAACCCCCCATGTGTGAATAATTGATTAATTTCTATCGCAGACCGGACTCTATCATCATGTCACCGGAATTGATGCCTCCTCGTCTGCTAGCTTAGCCGCCTACGTTAATACCCTCACATTCTCTCCCCTCGACAAGACGCATAAAGTGGTGTCGGGGATCTACTGGTTAGAACTTATGTTGATACTGTGTTCGATTCACGTGCTGATAATCTCTATTCAGTTGCTACAATGCATTCTCCCATCTTGATATGCGCGTCGAAGTTAAAATCCCCGGAAGCTTGGAAAGCTACTGTATTGATGAGCGAGGTGACAAGCGAGTTGCTACCGAGGCTCTTTGGCTTGAGACATTCCTTTGCGCCGTTCTGAGGGCTTATCACTATGCGGATGATGGAAGTGGAGATTCCGTCAAGAGGATTGTTGGAGTCCGACGATTCAACCCTGTGACAAACACAGAGATGGAGCACAAATTCTTGGATGCTGCCGAGAAGCTTTTCTTCTTGGGTATGGAGCTTGAACCAATTTGCCTATTATGTCTGTGACTAACAACCTTTTAGGACGCCAATTGAGCTCTGACCCCGAAACCCAAGTCCCTAACACTGTGAGCAACCATCTCACATCCGGCATCCTCAAATACATCCATACGACTGGCCGCTATACCTCTGGAATCAACTTGTTTGAGAAGCTCCGTACAAAGGATGTAGAGGTTTCGTCCCTCCTGGCTCGTGTACAGATTATGGCAGATGAGGAGGTGCAAGCGGTACGCCTCATGTACGACGCTTTACAAGATGTTCCAATGGACTATGCTCTGCTTGATTGCCAGGCCAGCTTCTGTCAAAGCAAAGGAGAAAGCGAAATGGCACTTGAGTGCGCTAAGCGTGCAGTTACTGCGGCTCCTAGCGAATTCAGTACATGGGCTCGCCTCGCAGAGGTATATGTCAGTATGGAACAATGGGACTTGGCGCTTCTGACTCTCAACTCTTGCCCTATGTTCACCTATCAAGACAAAGATACCCCTCGCATGCCACAACCGTCACGCATCATGCTTCCAATTCTTGCTGAAAGTATTCTCGATGAAATCGACGAAGGCCAGCCAAAGCAGGGAGACCCTCACGACTATGTTCACCCTTCGCTTCGAAAGATTCATGCTGCTAGTTACCAAGGTACTTTCTTGAAGGCCTACAATCTTCTGACAAAAATCGCTGCTGCCATTGGATGGGATCAGCTACTCAAGGCTCGCAGCCAGGTTTTCGTGATGGAAGAAGAATACCGTGTTGAGCGGCAGCATGTTCCTAAGCCTGCTCCATCATTGGCAGCAGAGACCAACGGCAACAACCCCGACAACGAAGATGACTCTGGCTCTGTGGCTGGCCCTGACGCGACCAAGCCATCTTCGGAAGGAACTGCCAATGGGGATGTGGGTGACAGCCACCCTGAAAGCCCTCTCGAGCGACCGGAGCAAACAGTAGCATCCGAAGTTGTCAAGTCTGGCAGCGAAGATGTATGTTGCACACCCATCAGGGATGTATAATATATATATGCTAACTATCTATTTCTTAGCCCGACCCATCTCACGCCTCATACACGCAATTCCGAAACAAACGACTCTGTGAAAGATGGCTAGATAACTTGTTCATGGTGCTTTACGAGGACCTGCGCATCTACACTATCTGGCGGACTGAAATGGCCCAGTTCCGTCAGCAAGCCATGGAATACAAGAAGTCTGCTACCGAGTGGGAAATCCTTGGTGAGCTTGCGCAGCGGCTGCACCATTTTGATGAAAGCATTGAGGCATACCAAAGCTGTCTAGCCACTCGGTTCTCGCCCAAGGCTATGCGTGGAGTGTTAAAGTTGTACGAACAGCGAAATGACACCAGAGGCATGCTCGGCGCGTTGATCCGCCTCATCGCCTGGCAATATCGCTGGTACTCCGAGGTATGCTCCCTTCCCTAGCTAGATATCGCTTTGACCACTATAGCTAATAAACCATCAGTTCTCCCCCGAGCTCTTGTTCATGGTTCGTAAGCTCATTGAGGACGAGGGTGCTGTCAAGGTCCGCAGCATTGTCCAAGCGACAAATCTGCCTCAAGCCGTCCTTGACCTCACACACCAGTACTGCCAACTGTGTGCCACTTTCCGCAGCAGCGGTAGCGACACTTAGATATGCTGGCGATTATCAGACACAAACTGAGTTGGAAGACAGTTTTATGCTTCCCCTGGATATCGAGATAGAAAGCGGGGCGCAGGCAGGGCTAATGACCATCCTTGATGACACCTCTTTTTTTTTACACTTTCTCTTGGTCCAATTGTTAGGTAGTTCTCTTAGATCGTATATATATTTTATGTTCCGTATCTAGTGTGCGCTATATCTGGGGTTGTCCATTTAGGTCTCGACTTCCTCCTCCAATCACTGCCCAATACTAGTCTATTTTAGGATCTACGTTAGAACCCGCTGGGGTGGAGAGAACTATAGGGCTTGGCCAGTAGATGAGCTAGAACAGCGATTTATATGCACGTCATCTCCGAGTCTCCGAGAGGACAGCGAGGATTGGCTACTTCCATGAACTAGTTCGATATCCCTGGATTTATACCTATAGGCTAGAGCTTACTTCCAAATCACAGCACTCTACATTCTTAGCATCTTGGTTGTATACAGGGAGCTATCACAGCAAAGCAATCCAATCACTCATCCAAGGGCGAATTCCATTTTACTTCAACATAAAATTCCCGCGAAGAGGTCAAATTCTCGATCGCAAAATCACTGCTCTTCCTCAGCTACCTCCTCAATTTCAGGCAGATTCGACTCCTTAGGAACAACACCCCCCTTATTCTGAGCAGCTGCGGCAGCTGGACCACTCTTCGTGGCGGTCTCAGCGACACTCTCTTCCACGCCTTCCTCCTCAACACGCTCCTCGTCCTCGTCTTTTTCGCCATTTGCGCCGTTCTCGGTATCCTCGTCATCTTCGACAACAATCGGCCCAGTCTTCTGCTTCTTGGCTGCTGGGGCGCCTGGGCAGGGGTTTGTATTAGCATGGGACGGGTCAAGGGATGAGGGCAAAACGTACCTTCGTCTTTGTCTTTGGCTTCTGCTTTCGGTTCTGCTTGTGCCTCTTCTCCTTCCTCGTCTTCGTCAGACTCAGACTCTCCCTCCACCTCCTCCTGTTCGCCCTCATCGCTTCCTTCCTCTACATCGGGCTCGGAGTCTTCATATCTAATTCACCGCGCCATCGGGTTAGCAAAGGTTAATTATGTTTGAGAGGTTCCGCGCAATATATTTCAATTCATCGCAGTTTTGGGATCGTGTCGTAACCAGCGCGCAGCTAGTACAGTCGTGCATCATTGTAATACTGGAATGATGCGCATGACACTGGCGCAAGGATGGGAAGAAACATTGAAGGGATAATTCATAATGGAAGGAAACAACTCACTCTTCCTCCTCTTCGCTTTCATCGCTAGGAAGGGCCTGAAGCTCCTCCTCGGCTTCTTGCTTTCTCTTGCGGGTAGTCATAGTAAGAAAATAGGGGGTTTGGTGAGAATTAACTAAGTATAGAGGGAAGAGAAGGGTGAAATTATGGGGTGAGAGAGAGAAAGTTTTGGATTGGCAAAAGTCCCAAGGGGCGGACGGGAATTATAGAGGAAAACAGATGTAGTTATAGGAAGAAGGGGGGAAAACCCAAGGGCATAAGCGGGAGGTGACGGTGACGACATGGGAGTGACAAGACGTTAGGGTTAAAGGTCCACCACGGGTTGATAGCTTACACTCCGGTTCTGGGGATGTGCGTGGTCCATAACAGAAGAGTGCGTGTCGCCAATAGAGAAACCCTGGATTCTCGCTATTTACATTCCGTGCCCATCTAGTGTGGTATTCAAATGTTCCAACTATTGATGTCCAATGTTTGGGTCGAGCCCTGCCTTTTGGGACCTTTATAGTCATTGTGTTAGAAAGTCAAAATCTGCCATGCTCGGATCTAGCAGATTCTCATCAAGACCAAATCCGTATGTGCCGACCATGCCATAGATCAGATCTGGCGGGGGGAATCCCTGTGCCATGGCGTTGGCTCCCCCAGGGACCTCGCGGCCTTCCACCGCAGTATCATTGTTTTGGAATTGCCAAGCAGCCTCCCAAGAATCAAAACGCTCAAGCATCTTGCCTAATCCACGTGCAATATGCCGAGTAAGATGTCGCTCGCCTGCAGAGACACAATTCATCAATTCTATCACACGCTCAACTAGCCGTCGTACTTGGCGGGCGTTGATGCTAAGGTAAGCTGTGTTCCAATTGATTGCAACTTTGAGTAGGAAAACAGCGGAGAATGTAACCATAGTGTGGGTGAAGATCGGAACGCCAACGATTGCGTCTCGAATATCAGGCTCCTCAAGAACCATATTGAGGCATGCCATCGCCGAGGAAATTGCGATGTTGGCCGATTCCTTGCGGTCCAGAGAGAAGATAGGTGTGTTGGATGGTGAGAGCGCACGAAGAGAAAGCGAGTTCAATTGGAACTTTGCGAAATGGTAGTGCAGAACCACCCCTTTGGATGGATAAGTCCTCACATATGCGCTATCAGCTGTAATGCGTTCCAAGGTATGTTAGAACCGAGAGTTGCCGAGAATCAAATTGAATCACTCACCAGATCGAGGTTGCCAGAGAAGCCGCCATTGATCTACTGCGACATTGTATACGCGCAACTGTCCAAAATCCTCGTCGGTCAATGCTTGTTCAGTATCGCTACCAAACATTCGATATGCCTCGGTCAAAATCATAAAGAGAGCAACTTGAGCTAAAAGTCGAATGTCTCCGGGAACGATCATCGGTAGAGCGAGAAAGGTCTCGTAGTTGCGGATCACCACATCCTCGTGGATGACAGGTGGCCGCCCATAAGCGATACTGAAGTGATGATCGCACACATAAAGCAGATACCAGAGCTGGGCGCGTTCATACTGATCCGTGTGTCCACGGGTCAGGCGCTGATAACTTTGATGGAGGCCCATCTCGGTCGCAATTCGTACTGCATGCCCAGACAACTTCCAGCTCAATTCTGATAGCCAGAAAGCCCCCACGCAGAGGCCTCGGATGTCATCCAGAGTGTGGGCCCGCGTGAGGGCCATGTTGGATACGAGCGATACATACTCGCTGTAGCATCGGTTCAGGGTTTCGGTGCGGTTCGGAATATGAAGTGCCGCGACAGTCAAAACTGCGGCAGAAAGAAGCGTCGATGCGCGCCGAACGGATGTTAAATCGCGGTGTACGAGAATTATTCCACCCCATAGTAATTGGTTCATAGTGCGACTAAAGTACGCGTATAATTCCTCTGCTTCATGAAGGGAGATCAATCGTCGCGAGATAAAATCCTCTTCTAGTAACGTCTGTTTCGGCGCCTCAACATGATTGTTTCTCAGGTTCCGTAATTTAGTGACCTCGTATAGACTGCGCATAGGGGCAGGAACCAAATCTGGGTCTTGGAGATCTTGTTCCGGCGACGGCTCCCGGGTGACATCCATCACAACGCCCAGTCCTTCCTGGTGACTGGTTTGTGTCTGCGACCGGTCGACGGAGGAATGATGGCCATGATACGACTCAGCGGGGCTAGGACCATTGAGAGTGTCCCCGGGAGCATAAGTTGAGAGCTCAGGCAGGCCTCCTTGTCGCAATAAATGCGAAACAGCCGCCTGCAGCTGGTGCATAGTCGCATTGGCCTGTGATTTCCATCTATACCAGAGCCATTGGATTAGCGCAGCCCCCGATAGCTCCAAAACTCACCAAAAGGCCGGGGCGGGGTCACACGTACATCCCATCATCATCAACGAATTTCTGTGAAAAGTCGTTTACAACACACTTAATCCCGCTACGGGTACATTTTGTACAAGTTGACTCTCCTGGTCGAAATTCACAGCGAATTTTATGGCGCTTGCATTCTGCGCCTGCCCTCCCCGTTAATGGGTGGATATTGGGTGATGCGGGGAAAACTCACAGGCACGAGCTTTGGAGATCTTAGGGACAGAACGTGTCTTGTTCTCTCGGGGCAACTCCAATCCAGCGTCATCAGGAGACCGCTTCAGTGGAGTAGTTGTATCCATGATGTGATGCTAATCTGGAGTGTGAGAAGTCGGTGATACTCCGGCATGCGGGTTAGGGGCGAAATCTTCTCCGGAGTGTGGGGGAGAAAGGGTCGGAGTAAAGCGAGTTGAAATGACACGAGCACGCAGAGGAGGCAGAGATAGATTTCAGTTATATTTTAGTAGGGGTGTTATGGCCAATGGGGGTATCAAAAGAAAAGAAGAGAAACAAAAACCAACTTGTGTGACTTGGACCCCCGCGGACTCGACTTTCCCGCAATCCACACATAACATTGACATTATTCTATACAACATTGAATGTTGTTAGGTTTTCAATATCATGGCTTTTACAATTTGCACAATTGAATATACTCCATGAATAGAGTATAGTATACAGCCCATGTCTTTGACTTTGAACCGCTAGTCACTCACAGAACAAAGCATTTCCCCCGGATTCAACCACCAATTGAGGATCCTGAACAAAAGAGGGCCCTGAAGGGCCCTGAAAGACGAACTCAAAGGCGATTCGCGCACAGCAGTCCCACAGCAGATCCACTTGGAAATTGTTGTGCCGGCCCAAGTCCGGTGCGGAGGACCACCCAAAGATCGCCTCGGACTTGATGCGAATGCGGAGAGGAACTAAACCTACATATTGAGATACCCTTCCGGGGTTTTATTCCATATTCCATTTTATTGATTATTCTCGAGAAAATGCATATACTTATCACTGGCGCTGCCGGTTTCATCGGCCAATTGCTTGCGAAGGAGCTGTTAAATGACCCAGCCTATCGCGTCACTCTGACAGATATACATCAACCTCCGATTCCTGCGGGTGTTCGCTATCCCCAATCCGCAACCGCAATCAAGGCCGATCTCTTGACACAAGCCAAAGATATTGTCGATGCTTCCTTGGACGCCGTCTATGCCTTCCACGGCATCATGTCATCCGGCTCCGAAGCCAACTTCGATCTGGGCATGAGCGTCAACATCGATGCAACACGCAATCTGCTAGATGCGCTCCGACACACCTGCCCGGGAGTGCGAGTCATTTATTCTTCTAGTCAGGCCGTATACGGCCAACCGTTGCCAGAGATTGTGACCGATAGTGTGATCCCGACTCCAGAGTCCTCCTACGGCGCGGAAAAAATCGTGTGCGAAACACTAGTGAACGAATACACTCGCCGCAAATTCATTACTGGCTTCACTCTGCGGTTCCCTACTATCTCTGTCCGACCGGGTGCGCCTACTGCTGCAGCTTCGTCCTTCCTCTCGGGCATGATCCGGGAGCCCCTCGATGGCAAAAAATGTGTGATTCCCATTGAAGATCGACAATTCAAGTCGTGGCTATGCTCGCCTAAGACACTTGTGGAAAACCTTCTTCTCACTCTCCGTCTTCCTGCCGACTCTGTTCCCCTGCACATTCGCCAGATTAATGTGCCTGGAATCTGCGTTACAGTCCAGGGCATGATGGATGCATTGGAAGCAGTGGGTGGCACAGATAAATTGGCTCTCCTTACAGAAAAGGAGGATTCGGCACTGGTACCAATTCTGAAGTCATGGCCGACGCAGTTTGATAACACTCAAGCCATCTCCTTGGGGTTCAAGCGTGACGAGTCTTTTGAACAGACCGTGCGGGATTATAAACAGTCATTGACACAATAATTTCTATTTTGATTTAAAAAAATTCAATGATATCATTTATGAATTGGTTTCTGGACTCTTTCTCATTTATACAAGTACAAAAAATCACAAAGAATGTATAGCTGGGTTGTGTTAGCCTAAGTTACCACCGCCCGCTTTTCCTGATCAACCCACCTCCCTTCGACTCGACTTGTTCATTGGACGAGCGACTTGATGAGATACTCTATAATCTCTCACTCCAAACAATAAACCATTTCAAAATGGCGATACAAATCTCTCTTCTTGTGTATAAAGGTATCCCAGTAGATTTTTCCAAATACCGACACACAGCACTGCACGCCCTCTACCCCGACGGCAAATACGATTGGCTCCATGTTGCCGGCGCACACCCTTTCTTTAAATTTCAAAGGGACCCCGAGAACCCCATGTCTGAGTCACCAATAGCTTGGATTCCAGTATGTACGGCGCCGGACTCAGTCACCAAGGCAAAGATCATTCTTGCGTGTGCTAGTACGTCGGTACGCAACAGCAATAGCGACCGAGACTGGAACTGTCAGAACTGGGTTGGAGAGGCTCTGACTGAGCTCGTTAAAATTGGCTGTTTGACCAAAGAACAGCGCGGAGCGGCGATTGGTAAAATGGTGGAGACTATCTTAGAAGCGGAACTGGAAGACGTGAGTGTTGTTCTGAATAACTATTCCATGAAGGAAATTATCTCTACTAATATGGACTCATTCTTTGTGTATAGGATGGGGTCTATTGATATGGCTACTAGTCTATATTGAGTCGAACCATCAATGAAGCCTTAAATGAACTGGGCCTGTTCCTTCTCAAATGATGTGCCCAAAGCGATCTTTTGGCGTGTTAAGACATATTGGTTTGAAATATTAAGAGTTGACTTCGGTGCCCCAGGATTCCACTTGTTTAATAAACAACCTCGACAGAAATCGTTGCTTTTCCCTTTCCTGGACATCACGAAGCTCCAGACACTCATCACTGATATGAATGTATTGATCTCGGAATGTGTCCCATAGGGAATTTCCCGGACGAGGGTAGAAGGGATCGTTCCTCCAGAAGGTCTTCACAGCTTTTCCAACCCCATCCTCGTCCATTGTCATATTCCTGCATCGATCAAAGTCTAGTATCCACATGCTATGCCTTCCCAAGACATTGTTGAAACGACCACTGTCGTTATCATTGCAAGGTGCGAGCACAAACTCAACATCATTGGCATCTATGCCAGCAACCCAGTGCATCATAGCGAGTCCTTCTGCCATCGTTCGAGCATATTGGCGAAGATCATCTGCCGTGATCGCCAGTTCCTCTAGCTGGTCATTGTGTAACGGATAATTTCGCAAGGAGAATGCTTTGAAGCGTGAGAAGGTTTTGGAATCCCGGGTATGTGTTCGGCGTCTGCCCAAATATAGTCGAATTAAGCAGTCTCGATCCGGCTCACTATTGATAATCTTTTGTTTGATCTCGTCCGGGCAAAATTCTTGAATAAGAAGCTGTCGGATTGATTCTCCAAACGGTGGAATTCGTTGTGCTTCGATCATATTGCATGAAGTATAGCCTTGTGGAAATCTTTCTAGATTTGCAGCCCACCACTCCTTGTTCTCTGACTCAATAAACTTGTGACACGATGGTATTTGGATTTGAACTTTTGTGGATTTTCCCAGGCTCATAAGGGTGTGTTGACTTCGAAGTACTCGGTTGTGCATTTCAAAGTCATTTCGGAGGGATCGTGCTGGGTTGCCATCCTCCCTTTTGTAGGCAGGTCCCGTCTCGGACGCCCATACAGTGCCGCAGGCTCCACGGCCGATGGTCTGCAATTTGGTCATTTGAAATAGTTTGTTAAACTAAAGTTTTGGTTAAGCAGAGATGTGAAAGACTTTCAGAGGATAGGTTGCATCTCCCGGGTTATATATCGTTTCCAAAGTTAATTTACGGATCTGCCCTAAGTGGACTCGGAGCTATTCCAAGGTACTAGATTTGTGCATCCAACGTTTTCAAAAGAAGGCACTTTGTTTGTTAAATTCCCCGTCAGAGCTTACATACATGTAGTTAGTAAATGTATTTTTATTTGCGTCAATAACAGTGTGGCACGCCCATATGTCAACTATTCCACCCAATTCGGGAACGAGCTTGGTGAAATATGTCGGATCGGCATGGGCGAGGAAATTTGTTGGTTGAAAGGAGTGTATAAACTCTCTGTTCTCTAGAGTCTGAACGGATTTACTTTTAGTAGAAGGTAAGCTTGACATCGTGATTGATTTCTTATAGAAGATTGGATAATGGCTGTTTTCGGACAGGACCTAGGTAACTACCTAAGTGCTTGACTAGTAAACATACCCTATCTATAGGTAGGCACTATTCATGGTCTCATATCTCTTGATATATTGTTTAATAATGGGACATGACGGACTGTGCAGCACATAAAGGAAAACATCAGATCATCAGATCAGGGATATCATTTCCAAACCTGCGGTTCTCTTAGCACGCATCCTGGAATTCGAATCAACAGCTCGCCCAAACCTGTCCGTCAATGGCAATGAGCCGGTTAAACAATTGGTTCCTTGTCCCCATGGCAGTAAGTTGATACGACTGCTCCGGCTTCTTGCCAGTGATGAGCAAGCCATCTACCACCTCCTTACCACCAAGAGCCCAACCTACAACCAATTTCCCTTTCCACCCCATACCACCTAACTTTCGCATCTCCTGGATGTCAGTCACCGGCATAGTGAACAAGACCGATCCAGCCTTGCGATCCTCCAACTGTGCATCTCCCTTCCGCGGCGTATCGGTCGTGAAATACAGCAGTGGAGGTTCCTTAGTTGAGTCAATAATTACAGTACCGCGCTTGCCTTTGCATCGAGCGTCAAATGCGACAGGCCCATTTGGTGCTATCCTCTTCCCTCTATCGCGCAGGACACCGACACGGTTCTTGGCACGGTGTGAACCAATTGCTGCTCGCAACCGATCGACCCCTCTTTTGCTCTCGACACCACTTGCCGTGGTTCCTCGAAAGAAGCCCAGAATACTGGACCCCAATGTCCTTTTGTGGCCTTTCTCTGGCGAATCTTGGGCCTCCTGGATATGGTCGTCAGGCTTGACCAGTGCAGCTTGTTTAATTTCCTCGTCAGTAGCACCTATGGTCAGTTCTTCCTCGTGTAAAGAAGCTGGCCGCGAGGGCACTTTGTCTTGTGAGGTTGGAGGGGGTGGAAGTGGTGACGCATTAGCCTCCCCGATGCGGAGAAGAGTAAGGGCCAGTTGAGCATTTGTTGGAATACCTTTCAGAAGGGAACTATCTCGGGGTTAGTATTATGAGTATATGATGTATTGAAGACATACTTTTGCAACTCAATGAGCGTCTGCCACCCCGGGAAACGGCGGTTCATATATATAATCCCGCGTCTGGTGACAGGGTCTCCAAAGAAGGCGAGCCCGATCAAAAGTGTACTGAGCTTCATGAAAACGTAGCAGGACGTCAGTGTCGAGGCCAGTAATGCTGGGCCCAGCACAGCTACTAGGCGGAGACGGGGAGTCAGCTGGGGAAACGGGGTCGTTGGGGATAGAGCACTGGATAAAATGAGTTTAACCCCAAGCCATGGACAAGAGAATCATAAGCCTTTCACTCACTTGCCCAGCTTCTCATAGGTATCTGTGATGTCGCCTATCACCTTCATTGAAACATTCGCAGCATCCATCACGCTCTGCTTCATAGGCTGTCGTGTTTTGTCATGGGAGTCTGTCGGCACTTTTCCATGGGCGGTGGTTTGCGCATCAGCAGTATTGGAAACAATTTCCATCGCATCTGGCACATCGTCTTCGAGGGGTGCATCATCAGGGACTCCCTGATCATGCTTCCCGACTGCGCTTCCCACGGCCACACTAGCAACGCTTGCAACAAGATTGCTGGCCTCTTGCTCAGCTGCCTCGCCCTTGAATTTCTCGGGGGCCCCGGTGATACTGTCAGGAGATCCAAGAATCCCCGCCTTTGGCTTTTGTACACCACCTGTATCCTTGTTGACAAGAGCAATTGGTGCGGGAGGAAACATGAGTGATCGACATGGTGGGTAGGCCACCAGGGCAATCAGGGCGAACAGCATAGTTGGAACGAGTAGATCGAGGAGCCATGATAAGAGGTAAACCTGCATCAAATCAGTAACAATACAATAAAAGCTATATATCGCTGGAACGAAGACATACCGTGCAGAAGGCAGCGGTTCGTCGCGGCTCCTTCCAAGACCTTAATCGAGCAATATGCTTGATACAATTGGTCAAACCAACGATAATCGTTGTATAAAAACGTTCCAGTGTAGCTCTGAGTTTATCTGGCGAGAATTCATCGTCGTCTTTTCGCGTAAGATCTAGTCTCTGCACGGGGGCATCGGGTACTGCTTGGACTCGATAGACTTGCTGAAGTGAAAAATAACAAGGTCTGTTTCAACTTCTCGTACGTGCTCATGTGGGGTGCTCAGCACATACCTTGTCAAATCGTCTAATGAGCATCCATAAATCCTCATTTGATAGTCCAGCCACTAGAGAGTCCTCGATAAAATCTGGAGATTCATCCCATCCAAGATTGGTAATTTCCGGTGTATCGCCAGCTTTCTGCGAGAGGCCTTTTTCATCCTGTTCCACTTGAGCCAGCACATGGCTGTCGGTTGGTCCAGCACCGTGGACCGAACCGGATGTTATTGTCTGCTTATTGGTTGTAGACATGAGTGTGAGTTTATTCTTGAGTTCCTGAGATCAATTTGAGTGTGTTTTGTTGATTCGAAGTCGACCCCATGGGTGAGTGCGGGTTGTCGACGTCATCCTCCTCGAAACAGGGTAATGGTGGCAATCAACACAGCACCTTGGATATTTTAATGGTCTCAGGAATACGATATGAAGAAAGAAGTATAAACATAACAGAGTGTTTCACTAGTAACAAGCGATAGGTAGATACATAGGCAGAATTCACATACACTAGAATCCCCAGGGAAGCCCCAATTCCTGGTAGGGATGGCTTTGACAGACAGCATGCTTACATGTGGTATAAGATCCGTTCCCATTATTAAAACCGAGGCAATCAAGCCCATCCTTGCAAGATTCCTGCGGATCCTCCAGATCCTACCTGTTCACGTCACGGGTACCTGGATCTCTGCAATTAACAACCTTATCTATCTCTCTCTTATCAGCACGTGCCAGTCGCGTTCCCAAAAAGGCAACATCACTTCGCGTCCAACCAGCGAGAACTCGCCTAGATGATAATTCGCTTTACTGATCTGTCGCTCAGTCACTGGACACTCGACTCACAATGAGCGAGGAGTGTGCAAACCCCCTACTCTTGGGGTGGATCAAAGAATGGCTGGATCAAGCTCGCGAACGAAACAGCAAAGGCGTGACCGTGTATGTATCTCTAGGCGCCCTTCTGGAAATACCATGTCTGACATGTTACAGGTACAAAAAGGCTTATGAGTCAATGAAAGCCTGTCCGTTAGAATTCCAACATCCATCCCAAGCACAACAATTGAATGGACTGGGCCCTAAATTGTGTGATCGCTTGACTGATAAATTAAAGGCCCACTGTCAAGAAAATGGGCTTCCAATGCCAGAACCACCTGACAAAGGTTTGTGGTATCAATCATCCATTGGCCCCGGGGTTCGACGCTCAACTAGATCAAATAGGTGGCAAAAGAACATCTGAAGGCGGCGTCGAGCAACCGGCGAAGAAACCTCGAAAAGCCAAGCCATATGTACCAACATTACGATCCGGTCCATATGCACTGATGTTGGGCTTGGGAACCCAAGATGAGAATGCATCCCAGGGGATGACGAAGGCTCATCTAATCGAGGTGGCCCAGCCATACTGCGACAGTTCGTTCACGGCACCCCCGGACCCAACTAAGTTTTACACCGCGTGGAATTCAATGAAAACCCTCATCCAGAAAGATTTAGTTTATGAACATGGACGTCCACTTCGAAAGTATCTCCTTTCCGAAGAAGGCTGGGAGGTAGCCAAACGTCTCCAAAAGACATTACCTGGTGCTGCTCAAACCGCCACGTCTAGCTCCCAAGCTACTGCGACGACTGAATCGCAGCAAAGAGCATTGACAGTCGAACTTGACTTACTTCAGCAAGATGACGATCCATCTGCAGACACCCAAGAAATCTTATCGGAACGCGACATAGCCAACATCGAGCCCATCTTCTTCCCACCTAAGAGCTTCACCATTCAGCTCATATTAGACACCCGGGAAGTTCGCACCTCCACTGACCGCGACTACATCTCCGGCGAACTGATGAAACAAGGAATCACGCCGCAAGTACGTGCTCTGGAAGTCGGCGACGCGATGTGGGTAGCCAAATGCCACGACCCAAATTTCCTCACAAGACACGGCGAAGAAAGCGATGAAGTGATGCTGGACTGGATCGTTGAACGGAAGCGTCTAGACGATTTGATCGGGTCAATTAAAGACGGCCGCTTCCACGAACAAAAGTTCCGGCTCCGTCGCTCTGGAATTAAAAACGTCATCTACCTGATCGAAGAGTTCGCAGTCACACATCCTGACTCGACTAGCGGGAGTGCAGCGCAATATCAGGAAATGGTTGCATCGGCTATCGCCTCGACACAGGTTCTTAATCAATATTTTATCAAAAAAACGAAACATCTAGACGAGTCAATCCGGTACCTGGCGCGCATGACTCTGCTCTTGCGGAAGATGTACGGGGTCGAAGATGCGCCCTCCACTGGAGACACTGGTAGCAATACCAACCCTAGCACGGTTCCTCCATCTCCAGTATCCAAAATTGGCCTCATCCCCGGTCGCCGTCTCTCCACTGACTCATACCTCACAATCCTCGATAATCTCCGCTCTCAAGACTCATCCATTACGTACGGCGTCTCATTCGTGACATTTTCTGCGCTCACTTCGAAGTCCGACGTTCTTACTCTTCGGGATGTTTACTTGAAAATGCTCATGTGTACCCGTGGCGTGACGGGTGAAAAAGCTCTTGAGATCCAACAGATCTGGCCAACGCCACGGCATTTGGTGGATGCGTATATGGCTCTTGAGCCTAAGGAGCGAGAGACGATGATAGCGACTCGGATGTCAGAAGTTGTAGGGCGGAAGAAAGTTGCTAAAGACCTCAGCAAGCGGATTGCGGAAGTTTGGGGAGAGTCGAACCTGCATTAGACAGGTCTACTGGGGCTACTTTGGAAACAGACTTCACAGTTGAGTACCGAGTTAATTCACGCGTATGAGATACACAATAAATGCTAAGTCAAAATGAATAAATACCGTATTATCTACTTTTTCCTTCTCACGATCTTCATGATACTCTCTTTATCAATTCTCAAAGCCAAACTACTCAGCACAACAGAAATACTGCTCAATGCCATGGCCAAAGCAGCCCAGACCGGACTCAGTCTCCAATGTTCCTTGGCCATGACCATGTGACCATCAATCATTTTCTCATGGTGGCCACTAACGATAGGATAGAGGACGCCAGCGGCAACCGGAACCAGACAGAGATTGTAGATAACTGCCCAGCCGAAGTTCATACGTACGCGATTGAACACGCGGCGACTGAGCAGGACCAGCTGCAAAATCGTTCTGAGATCTGAATTGAGGAGGACAAAGCTGGCAGAGTTGATAGCGACGTCGGAGCCAGATGCCATGGCAATGCTCACGTCTGCTGCTGCCAAAGCAGGCGAGTCATTCACTCCATCGCCAACGAAGGCGACAATGGGACGTGATGAGTTTGAGCTCGGCGCGGCATTACCATCGGCCGGTGCTGTATTCAGCGAACGTTCTTGAATCTGACGAACAAAGCTGGCTTTCTCCGCTGGCAGGACGTTGGCCATCACCTTGGAGCGTGGGATGCCAATCATGTCTGCGACGGCATGGGCGGTGGTCTGGTTATCGCCAGTGCACATGAAGACATCAACGTTGCGCTTCTGAAGCTGGGAGATTATACCCATGGCTTCCGGGCGAATCGTGTCTGAGGTGGCGAAGATAATGGCGGGTACGAAGTTGGATGGTTCGGTGGGCGGGGTGTGTACTTGACGGAGTGAAAGGACCGCAGTCGACTTTCCTGCTGACTGGTATTTCGCCAGCAAGTTGGAAATGAAGTATGTGTCTGTTTCGGGGGACACGAGGCTCTTGAGAAGACGTTCGTTGCCAATTGCAGCTTCATACTGCTCTTCGGAGTCGGAGACAGACACAGTAAAAGTTCCTTTCATGCCATGCCCGGAAATCTCATGAACGTCTGACAACATGACAGAGGAATATTCTTGTGTTTTGCAGAATTCAGTTATTGCCTGGGCAATCGGATGGTTGCTGCTCTCTTCCATTTTCCGAGCCAGAGCCCATGCGACTTTTGCAACTTCTGGGTCACGGATCAAAACTTCATAATCAGAAACTTTCAGACTTCCACCCTCGGTCAATGTGCCTGTCTTGTCAAAGACGATTGCATTCAAGCGACTGGCTTCTTGGAAGGCCTCACCACCACCTTTGACCAAGATACCATGCTTGGCTGCCAGGCCGCCCCCAACGAAAAGCGCCGTAGGGGCTGCAAGGGCCAGACCACAGGGACAAGCCACCACAAACACTGAAATTGCAAATTCCAGCGCCCAGAATGTCCAGCCACCATGTGCGACATCGAGATAATCTGCGGGGAGTACGCCGGAATGACCAAGCGCCAACCAGATAATGAAGGTCAAAATGGCGATGAGGGTGATGATAGGGACGAAATGCGAAGTGAGAAGGTCAGCAACTCTTTCAAGAGGTGCACGCTTGCTTTGTCCCTCACGAACTACGGCGATGATTCGGTCAAGCATGGATGAACCGCCGAGCTCAGTGATACGGATCCGGACCGGCTGGCCGACATTAACAGAGCCTGTGTATACTATGTCGTCCGCTGTTTTCTTGACTGGTCGCGATTCTCCTGTCAAAGAGCTTTCATCGAATTGGTATGACGCGTTGTCGACGATAACTCCATCTGCAGGAGGCGAGGCGCCGTGCGGGATACTGACGATGTCACCAATCTCCAGGAGGTCAACACTCGTACGCTTCACTCCATCTTCGGAAGTATCATCAGACAATAGTGCTTCTGAAGGTCGAAGTTTGCCCAAAGACGTGACAGCATCACCAGTTCTGGCTTTGCTGTAGGCCTCCAGGTACCGACCAACAAGAATGAACAGAGTCAAGAAGACAACCGAGTCGAAATAAGTCGTGCTATGGGGGCTTGACTTGGTACCCACAACTGCATCGACGATAAGTACTGCCAGGGACGAGATGTAGGCCACTGATGTGCCTGCAGAGATTAAAAGGTTCATACTGCCAAAACGATAGAATCTCCGAAGGATCGGCACCCGACTTCCAGGCCGCCATAGCGCATAAATCTCCTTCATAGCCCGGATATGGAACACATCAGTGCCGTAGAACATAACAGGAGTTGTCATTATGAATAGCGCCCATTCGATGCGAGTTACACTGCCAGACCACATAGTTTGCTCCAGATACATTCGCACGGAGTTTTCAGACGAGACAAGAGACATGAAGACAATGCCTATAAAGAAAGTCGGGATGGCAGTGATAAAGACGAAAAGCAATCGTATCAACAGACGGGTCCGTTCATGATGCTGGATCGCACGAGACCGGTCTTCAATGCTGGGTGGGTGATATACAGTCGCATCAAAATTGTCATTTGCCGAGTTGATCGCTGAGATTATTGTGCGAACGGTGAGCAAAGGTGGCTGTGGAGTGTAGATGACTTTGAGGATAGGGGTTTTCTCGGAGAGTGCCTCCTCGATGGTGACACCGGGGACTGATTTCACTGCCCCCAAAACAGTTTGTGGGCAATGATGACAGAACATTCCATCCAATTGTATAGAGATTGTTCTAGTTTGGGCAGTGCCGAACTTTTCGCCGCCACCTTTCAATGGAGAGACACTATTGACGGTGGCATCGTATCCAAGATCTTCAATCTTCTCTATGATTTTATGAAGATTTTCTCGGCTTTCAAATTCCACCCTCCCGCTATGGGAAAGCAGGTTCACAGACACATCGCGAACAAAAGAAAGTTCTTCAAGTCCTCGAGTCACCCCGCCGACACAGGAGCCACATGTCATCCCAGTGATTGCAATCTCGCTGACATAGTTTGCTGCCAGCTCTGTAAAGACCGGTGGTTTGGGAACCTGGGTCACCTCGTCCAAGGATGCTTCAAATCCAGCATCATTAATTTGCTCAACAATATCGTCAACATGATCGCGAGGTCCAACATAAATTACGGTTGCGCTGTTGGTGAGAAGGTTGACAGTGATTTCCTTCACAAACTCAAGCTGTTGGACTTGTGCGGTAATGCTATTGACACATGATGCGCAGCTCATTCCCCCAACACTAAGCTGAGCCGTGAATTCATCAGCCGATTCAGCAGACGGACTGGGAAGTTCTGCTATACCCGGGGGGAACTCTGGGGTGGACAAGTCGGGTTGAACTTTTGTTTCGGAGGTGGCAAATGAACGAAGACTCTCCTGCACAGCATTCTCCGGTGTTGATCCGAGCTTCGTAGCAGTGCTGGCTTGTTCGTGGTGCTTGCTCGATGGCCAGAAGGGAGACTGTGAGGACTTCTCGACCAAAGATCCTAGTTCCGTCCGAGAAGAAGAATGACGAGAAATGGTCTCGAGTTCTTCCTTCCTGCATGCATCACAGTTGGCAATGTGTCGCTTGTGGGTGCTAGTCTGGATTCGCTCTTTGATGTTGGACGAGATACTAGTGACAGATGTTCGCGGCGAGGAGAACAGTGTGGAGCCACGATAGTTCCAGGAAGAGGTATCAAGTTCCAAGATGAGCTTTCCTTGTTGGTCAAATGTCGTTACATATTGTACTTCGAATGCGGCATGAATCAGCGCGTTGACGAGGTCCACCGGCCGAACGGTAGTGCTGTGGCTCGCACGCACTTCATGTGTCAGGATCGTGACTTCGATGTTTCCGACAGTAGGGGTCTCGGAGAGCACCTCTGTGATATATGCAACGCATGATGCGCAGTGCACATTCGTTACAAAGAAGACACTAGTCTGGATATCTGATTCTTGATGGGCTGCCTCCAGGTCGGAAGGCTGGTTCTTGGATCTCGAAAACATGATGGATGGAGATCTTTGTGACCCAAAGACGAGGTATAGTGTGGGGGATATCTCAGTCTTTGCCCTCAGGAGAGCTGGTTAAGGATCTTGTTCAAATCGGGTTGGAAATAGGCAATTGGTGGGATTCAGTCTTCACAAAGCAGTCTGGTATTAAGGTAAAAGGAAGAGCAGCCAGCGACGGTTTATATAATATAAAGTAAGAGCTAGGAACGGGATTTGATTTGCAATCTTATCTGATATCCATGGATTTCATTAAGAAAGAAAAGAAAGGAAAATCCTAGAAGTGGATGGATTGGTTGAAACGATGCGACATTTGTGCGTGATCCCACCAAACCACGCACAAATAGCGCATTCCAGACATCTCGACCATGACCCCTGCGAGCGCCTACGTAGTATTCCGCTAGTTTCGAGGCAGGCAATCAAGAATGAGGCCGGATTCCCGTATTCGACATTGTAAAAGCAACTACTCCACGTGCGTGAAGTATCAAATCTGATGATACTGTGCTCATGGATCACCCAGGAACCTCAGGCACTGACTCGGGAGGCGACAAAGATTAGATGGCACTATGCCTGATTGGGCTAGCGTGTCGGTGGCAATTAAGATCACGTGAGGCATCAATAGAATCGATCTGATCATGAATTCATAAAATAATAAACAATAGACAAAGGAAAGTGAATGAGCGAATTGCTCATTGGTATCTGACTCAACTCTCGGCTGCCGACATCCAATCAGCTCCAGAACTTTATGTCGTATATTCGAATGCAGCTCTGCAGATTCTTTCTTACATAAGCGGGTTGAATACTTTTTCCTCTCACTTCCACTTTCATCCTTATCGCGATTCTCGTGACAGTTGATAAACCCTTCGTTGCTAAAAAAAAAAAAATCGCGCGACGCTCATTTGAGAAATTCTGAGGCTGCGAGGACTCGGCCTCGATCGAGTGCCCTTGCCCAAATTCATCCTCTGAGGCCTCGTTTTCGCTTCGACCAACATGTCGGCACCCAGATCCGGCGCGCGTCCAATTCCTCCCCGCGGTCCCCGGCCTCCTGTTGGACGACTGGCCAGTCTAAAACCTCCCAACTCTACACCTATCAATCGTCCAACGCCCATTGGACGTACTCAACCGCCCCGCCCAACAACACACCCAAAAACATCTAATTGTCCCAACCCCGGTTGTCCTGCTCCGCATATTGTTGATGACGCAGGCGTGAAGGTCTGCACGGGCTGTGGTACAGTCATCAGCGAGAACAACATCGTCTCTGAAGTCACGTTTGGTGAGTCCTCATCCGGTGCAGCTGTTGTGCAGGGATCTTTCGTCGGAGAAGATCAGACCCATGTACGCAGCTATGGCCCGGGTTTCCAGCGCGGAGGCGCCATGGAAAGCCGGGAGATGACCGAACAAACTGGAAACCGATACATGCTCCAGCTTTCTCGAGCTCTGACAATCCCGGAAAGCGCAACCAAAGCTGCTGGTCAGGTCTTCAAGCTTGCCGTGGGACTGAACTTTATTCAAGGTCGTCGCACAAAGACGGTGGCTGCGGTCTGCTTGTATATTGCATGCCGTCGCCAAAACGGTAATACCGTTATGCTGATTGATTTTGCCGATGTGTTGATGATCAATGTTTTCAAACTTGGTCGTACATACAAGGCCCTTCTCGATGAACTCCGCCTGGGTGGCAATGTCTTTCTCATGAACCCCATCGACCCCGAAAGTTTGATTTATCGGTTTGCCAAGCAGCTGGAATTCGGACCATCTCTCATGGCGGTGGCTGGCGAAGCAGTCAGGATCGTCCAACGAATGAACCGTGATTGGATGACCACCGGTCGACGCCCAGCTGGTCTCTGCGGTGCCGCACTGATTCTTGCCGCGCGCATGAACAACTTCCGCCGGACTGTACGTGAGGTCGTCTATATTGTCAAAGTGACAGAAACAACCATCAGCCAGCGTTTGAACGAGTTCGGTTCCACGGAGAGTGGTGAATTAACCGTTGATCAATTCCGTTCAGTCCAATTAGAGAACACTCACGATCCACCATCTTTCACTCGCGGGCGAGAAGGTCGAAAAAATCGCATCAAGAGAATACCAGAGACTGCGGCAGAACTCGAAGATGACGACTCTCCAGGCGAAAGTGAAGCAGAATCAGTGCAGCCGCTTCGTGTAGATGCTGACGGCTTTGCTATTCCCAATCTCCCAATTGACCCGGCTTTGACTGCAAATAGTCACGGTCGACGCGCATCTGTGATCGCTAAGGCAGTGAATGAAGTCGTTGAAGATATCAAAAACGAACCAATCCACAGTAAGGGCAAGGGCAAGCGACAACCTACGCCAGAACCGTCTGCAGAACAGGTTGCATCTGAAGCGGCGCTGGAAGATGAAATGCGGTCTATGCTTGCTCAGGGTTCAACTATGATTGAGAGCGTCGGCTCTGACCAACCGCCGCGGCCTACTGTTTCCGATAGCGCTGAAATCGATGCTGCCGAGTTCGAAGATGACCCTGAAGTCGCCAATTGTCTGCTCTTGCCCGCGGAAGTCGAGATCAAGGAGTCAATTTGGGTAACGGAAAACAAAGAGTACCTCCGCAACCAACAAGCAAAAGCCCTAAAGCGGGCCCTAGAAGAGTCAAACGGCGGCGGCGCACCTCGAAAGCCACGCAAGCGTCGCCGTGGCCGCCTTGGGGATGTTACCTATCTGGAGGGCGAAGGTGAAGATGGTCGCAGCTCCCGTGCCTCGACGCCGGCTGAAGCGACACGTCGCATGCTCGAGCGCCGAGGTTACAGCAAGAAGATTAACTACTCTCTCCTGGACACCTTGTACGGCGGTGAAGGGGGAGACGCGAAGTCACGAAGCATGAGCCGAAGCCAAAGTCGCAGCCAAAGCGTCGTCTCACGACGCAGTGCCAGCATCGAGCCAGAAGCAGCCTTACGATCCCGACGTGCCACTCCATCAGATTACAAGTTCGATTCCAAGTTCATCCGTCCCACCTCTACAGCACCATTGCCTACCCCGCCATCTACCGCTCTAAACACCTCTCAGGACGCAAAGCCAGTCATGGCCAAGGGTATCCCCGTGGATCAGATTGAGCCAGATCCTGAGGACGAAGATGATGAGGAAGACGATTATGACGACGATGAGAAGGACGATGGCCTCGAGGACGCATTTGCAGGCAATTATGAGAGTGACTACGATTATGGCGATGATGATGACTGAGGAATTTAACCTCGGGAACATGATTGAGCATTCGTTATGTCTCTTTAGTGGATTTGGGGTTGTTATTAGGATGCAATTGTCATCTACTTGCTTTCTTTGTCTTTTGTTTTACGGCCTTCGAGATGATACCATGTCTTTCACCCGCACGAGCATTCGGGTTTCCGAATTGAATTGCCATACTAATATCCTATTGCAAATGCACCTTGCTCAGTTGCATTGTTACAGTGTACTCTAAGCGAAGCACTCGCTAGACCTAGGTAGCATAAACCCTTAGATCACCAATGATACTTATCATTAAATCAAAGCTCGATCTTTCATTTACTTGCTCTTTGCTTATTGATTGCCTTGAGTATATATAGCCCGAGTGGTCAACCGTGCCTCCACTATACCACTGTTTACGATTGAAACAATAAAGAACAAATCTCAACAACAAGCCATAGCATTAATAGAACGATCTTCAAACATCAGGGAGACATTAGAAGCAAGATCTCACAAACGAGGTATAATCCAACATTTGAGCCACGAGATAATAAATTATCGCATTCAAACAACAGTTGTAGTAAAGTCGGCATAACGGTACGTCTTTGAGGGAATGCAAGGCACCTGGCCAGGTCTCCAACCACTAATCCAGTCATCGCAAATATTGAGTATCTGCGTGCATATTATACCACAGCAATGAAGCACACGAGCCCTGATGTTGAACAAATCGATCATTTCGAAAGGAACAGACTTTGTTTTTCTTACCTTAGTCTGCTAAGCTCTGCTTTAAAGTCTGCCAGTTTTTGGATAAAGCTTCTGATCTCTTCCGCGATGTCTGCCAGTCCCTGTGTAAGGGAAAAATCCTCTCGGTTAGTCGAATTTCCTTGCCTTGCCTTATTGACCTCTCCCTTGATGTCTGCCAGTTCTTGTGTAAGAGAGCTGTTCTCTTGATCAGTCGACAATTGGTCTTGTCTTAGGCTGCAGACCTCTGCATCAAGGCAGCTGACCTGTACCTCGAGGCCTGCCAGTCTTTGGCCAAGGAAGGGATCCTCTTGCTTGACTGATTGCTCTTGCCCTAGACTGCCAACCTCTTTCTCGAGTTCTCCGAGTCTTTTGAGAATGTCGTCCTCGTTCTGTTTGTTCATCCTGCGCCCGTCCTCGTGGTCCTCGATATCAACCCAGTCAAAAGGATCTTTCTCCATGGTGGTTGAGCTCCGAGGATCTCGCATTGGGTATTCTTGAATAATATGGGGATTAGATATGAAGGTGTCTTGTGTGGAGAGAAGTCGTATGAGTACAAAAGAAGAAGAGAAAGGTTTACGCATACTGACGATTGAGGTTAATTCCTAAGCAAACCTTATAAGATACCCGTGGACTAAACCATACTATAAATTCTGGGCGGCCTCGGTTCGCAAGAGCCAAGGAGGGAAAAAAATAGGAAAGTACGTATATCTTCTGCGTGTGTCCAAGCTCTTGTTTACTCAGTCTATGTCAATAATACCTGAAAGGAATTATAAAATAGAAGCCAAACTAAAAGGGTTCGCGGGCAAACTAACAAAATAGGTTGACCGACTAACCGTGGCAAGCGGGCTTGCCACGATTACCCCATGCACAGTCAAGCTACATTACCCAAAACCCCATGATAATTTCAACTTTTTTGATTTAATGAGATAGTAGTGATAGATCAATAATGTTCGTCAAAAGTAAGCAGCAAATACTTGAAGAAATCCCAGATTACGACGCCGCCCATTTCCCATGAAAAAAAAGGAAAGCAAAATACCGAAACCCATCAAACCCTCCACTGGGCGAGAACCGAATTGGGCCAGACTGGGTCAGTCAGGCGCGTGAGTCTCATAACTAAATAAGAAAAAGTGAAAAAAGAACTTGAAAAAAAAAATGATAGAACAGTCGGAAAAAAATCCCGAGATCGATCGCGCGGATTGGCTGGACGTCGAGTCGTCATGGGTGGGTCGAATTGATCGATATTGTCGGATCGGACGAGATCGAATGGGATCGAATGCGGGTTTGGAAGAATTTACGAGTCGATCTCCATGCCCATTTCCGCGCCTCCGCTCAGTTCGCCCAGACTTGATGCTTGCGGGTGGTTGGACATGGCTTGCTGGAGCAGTGGCACGCCAGTGTCCATGGAGTTGAAGGAGGTAGGCTTTGCGCTAGGTCGGTCGATAGCCCCGAGGGGAGAGGCGCTCTCAAACATGATAGGGGAGCTACGAAGATTTTGAAGACATGCTTCCCAGGAGGAGGCAACGAGCTGGCCTTGAGTGAGGTCTTCGCTGAAGAGATAAAAGGCAGGCGAGGTTCCAGAAGTGGGAGTGGCAGCCACAAGATACGCGTTCAGAGCGCGGCTTTTCATGAGCATCTGGGAGTTATGCAGGTGGGCCGAGTATTGGTTGTCGATATACTTGGTCCAGCCACGAACGGCAGGAGCCATATCATCGTTCGTGTTGACGCGCTGCCAGCCGATACCTAGGAGACGGGTGGCATCATCTACTAGAGGCTCAGCGGGTGGAGCAGGCCCCGCGTTGACAGTGCGATGCTGATCGTTGGAGCTAGAGTTGTTCAGACGTTGGCGGATCGAGGACAACGCAATATCGTCCAGACCTGGTGCAGACTTATCAAGGCGCTGGGACTTGCGGCTCACGTCGGCAGCATCAGAAAGCAACGCGTTTGACCGCGATGAAACAGGTGCAGCAGCAGCTTGTTGCACCTCAGACTCTTGTTCGTACCATGTGCCGGTCTGGCTCTCGGCAGAGATCGCAAGGCCGGTCTGTGGGTTCAAAAGAACCATGCCTTCTCCATAGATGGGCTGAAACTTTGGTGCTGGCACCGCCTGGTGTCCTAGGGCCACGCTGGGAGCAATGGCCTCTTCAAAAGTGGACTCATCACGGGACCTTTTGCGTGAGGGCTTAAGGACCGCAGGGGCAGAAGAGAAGTTGAAGCTCGATGAGATAGACTGCGCGGAGCTATTGTTCGCAAAGACGCCGTTTGTGCTTGCTGGGTAGCTGTTGAAGCTTCCTGGCGCGTCGAGGAAAGAAGACTGAGAGAACTGAGCGAAGGCGTGTTCCCGGGGAGGAGCGAGGACTGTGGCCGGGCCGTCCGATAGGCGATTAAGAATCATTGGACACATTATGGCCTCGAAACTGTCTTGGATTTAAGACAAGGGGAACTGTTCTGTTAGATTAGGTGAGCAAGACACAAGAAGCTTCAACCACCTGTGGAGAGACCGAAGTAAGACCGAGAGGTAAAGGTGGAAGATGTCTCGGCAAAAGAGTAAAAAGAATATATATAGCTAAGGGAGAAAGGGTGTGATTGAAAGAGAAGAGAAAGGATTGGGAGGAGAAAAATGGGGGAAATGGGGGGGAAAAGAACAAAAGCAGAGCAAGGTGAGAGGAAAGTAAGAGTGTGAGACAGGAAAGAACGATCTGAAGAAGTGGATGAATCTATGCGCGAAATGCGGAGGTACCGAGTCAAACCGTAACATACCAGCAAAAAGCGGTAAAAAGCGGCTATCCGATCGCCGGTGACGGTATTAATACATGCGCTATTAATGGGTACTATTGGCTCCTGCAGCCAAGACGCAGGTGGAGTCAAATTACAATGGAGCAAGTCCAGACACCATTGGTCTATGAGGCAGACTGGTGGTCCGTGAGGGATTACATCACGTGAATCTCACCCGGGTACAGATCACGTGTAACCAGTCACGTGTAAGTATGTTACATAGCATATGTGCATACTTTGTTGATCGCGTGTGAGATGAGATCATCCATAGTATAAGTTTGAAGTCTATTGGGATACTATAAAGACATGAATGAAAAAAAAGTGACCACAAGAACTGGTCCAAAGCAAACACACACCAAAGCTCGTGCAAGTCTTACATCAATCAATGTTCGTAGGGGGAAAAAAAGTACACCGCCAGCAACAACACTTTCATGTCACTGTATACATCACAGAAATGGGGCTAAAAAAAAAGATTGGTAATAAAAAAAAACACCTAGAAAAGAGCCCCCCATTTCCCATAACACCCATCCCATCACACTGCAGGGGCCCTATAAAGACAAAGCATGAGCGGCAGTTTTGGTGTGTTACCGAGCAACGGAACGGAGCGGATACCGCTACATGCCTGCACTTTCCACTTGCGCTCTTATTCCGGCCCACTCAATCCGAGAATATATGTGGCTTCAAATAGTGGGCCGAGGTTTCTGCGTTCCAAATTATAGAAGACGAAAATCCAAGAGTCTGATAAGTGCACTTAAGCATTACCAGCGGTGACACCACCAAGGTAGCCCTTGACACGGTCAACGGAGTCATTGGCGTAGCTAGGAGCCATAGAGCCAACAAAGAGGAAGAACATGAGAGCGGCAGCACCAAATACGACAAACTTGCGCTGCGCAGGGCGCTTGTTGCCATACTCAGCCCAGGCACGGCCGGCGGAGGCAGTGTACTCGCGCATCATGTCGCCGCCAAGCTTGTACCAGACAAGACCCATCAGAGCAATGGAGTAACCGAAGAACTGGAGGCCAGTGACGGGAGTCTGCCACAGGAACATGGAGGCGGCAACCAACAGGATATCCTTGAGGACACCGCACAGGGTCATGACCAGGGAAGAGGTCTTGCCAATCTGTAGAGAGTATTAGTACTGCTTCTCTTGGGATGGATTGACCTCGGGAGGTGAGAAATTCTAGTATCACTTACCAGGAAGACGACCGAGACGTTGAGCAGGAAAGCCACAACGGCATTGAGAACCAGAAGCCAAATGCCGACGGAGTAGACATGGTCCATAGTGACGTGGGGGAATTCCAAGAACAGAGCAACGGCACCGTTCATGACAGCACAGATGGGAGCAAAGTAGTACAGAGAAACCATGGGGTCCATCTTGTAGTCGGCAGAGCTGAGCAGACCCTGCACCATGACAAGACGGGTGGCCTCGAAAACGATGCCACCAATCTGGAACAGGAAACCGACCATGTTGAACTTGATCTCACCGAAGGAGGCAATGATCACACCAATCACGATAATGGAGACATTGGCCAGAACCTTCATGTTGGCAGGAGCCATACCCATACCCCAGGTTGCGAGGAGGACAGCTACGGGAGTGGTAGCCTTGAGCATTTGGATGAAGGCAACGCTGAGATAGAGGTAGGTCATGTTACCGCAAATCAAGCTCAGACTGAACATGATACCGATGGGGACGATAGCGCGGAGGTAGACACGGCCGGTCATCTTGACCTTCTTACGACCATCAAGGACAGTAGTAGTGCGAGCAAGGAGTTGGGTCATGATGGTAGCGAAGGTCAAGTGCCATGTTGTGAGGATGATGGGGAAACCTATTCACAGTGTGTCAGCGCCGGGTTCCCTCGCGTTGGATCTCCAATTCGACTCACGGAAATTGGCATAGTCAAGGAGGTACTTGTTAAATAGGATAACAGTGGAACTCAAAGTGATCCATGTACTATATCAAGATATCAGTCATTCTGTTTAATCTGTTTCCTTTTGATGTTGCTCACGTCACATAAACCGCGGGGTGGAATGTAATGCCGGGCTGCTCTGCCTTCTCCGCTGCGGGGTTGACAGTAGGCAAAGTCTGCTCCCGGGGAGTCTCGCCAGAGGCGCGGACCTTCTCGCCGTCGCTCATTGTAAAAGTTCGAGATTGATCAGATAAAAAGCGCTTAAATTCGAAAGGTCGGGGCCGGGAGAGGCTTCCTTGATTAAATGCGGAGGAAGCCACGGGGAAATGTGAGCAATAATAGCGAAATTAGAAGGAAATGATCACTAAATGCCCCGGAGGTTAACGATGGACCAAAAAAAAAAGTAGCGATAAATTAGATAAAAACGAGCGTGGGATGAAGAAATGATGATGAAGGTTGAAGGGATGGAATGTACGTACTTCGGGAGTAATTTTTTTTCGGCACCGAACGTTAAAACTTGAGGGTTTTGCAAGGGAAATTAAAGAGAAATCAAATGCCGTTGATTGTAAGAGAAAATAGTGCCAAACACAAAAACAGCAACACAACAAGCAAAGAAAAAGATCCACTCGCCGCAAACAGCAAGTCGGATAATGAATGTCGTATGGAAATTTATATGTGAATTACCATTACTATCTATATTAAGGCCACCTGTACTCTTCGGTCTGAAGGGATAAGCCTCTACAAAGTACAGAGTATTCCGCACTCCTTGCTACTATTAACGGGCACTACTAGTAACTACATATGTAGTAACTAACTATACTACTAGCTACTAACTAACTGACTAGTTACATAGTTAACTAACTACTACCATTGTTTCGTAGTTAGTTTTCATTTGTATACTCGTTATACCAGTACCAATACAATTGTATTTTACACGTACTTTTAATCTGTCAAGCCAAGATCCAAAAATCCCCTTTTGCCTAAATAATTAATAAGGTACAACTTGGTTTGGTAGATCCACTTTCCCTAAATAACACATCTTTAACTTGAATATAATCCTACATATCTAGCTATATGTATATATAAATAGCTAATGTATATCTCTGGTGTGTCCGATATTGACGGAAACATCGTACAAAGTACTTTTGGGAATGTCCTAAAATCAAAAACAGCGCAGATCCAAATTAATAGAGCATTACGCAAGCAGCTGTTAGCCAAGATCCACAAACCCGCGTTCAGTGACCCTCCGGTCCCATCTGGTCCCTTACGGGTGGAGAATGCGGCGATCCGTCCTGTTGAAAAGTGTCTGACGCCATCAGGGGACTTACCCTATAGCCCCCACAAGTACATTGTGCTTGGACCACTGGGGAGAACACCTAAGCTTTTGGTGTTAACGGCAGTTGGTGTTTCAAAGGGCAATTGGTATGGGGTACTCTCTGAGAAGTGTTTTCTCGAGGTCAATGGCAAGATCTGTGTGAAGAGAGATCCTCGCTGTATTACTCCCTTGGGAGTGACAATCAGTGGAACCAGCTCTGTGAAGTTTCGCAAATCCCGTTCTCTTCCTGAATATCGCCAAATTGGATGATCAACTCTGCGGATGTTGCTCCGGGTTCAGAGCAGTTTCCTTGGAGGCTGTATTTTGTATTATATTGGTTATTAGTAGATTGCAAATAGTCTGTACAACTTATGTGCAATGTATACTCCATGAGAGAAAATTGATGTAGATAAAGCTTGTCTAACATTTGTTCTAGAATCACTTTTCAATGGAGGTCTATACAAACTATCCAAACAATATTGTGTACTAATTTAACTATTACCAACCTTGGAACAACGTGCCAATGCCTACATCGGTGGCGTTTTTAGCCTGGCCACATTGGATCGAGATTCAATGGTTTTTACCCCTATCCATATCGCCCCTTTTTTCCTCCTTTTTTTTGGGATTGCTTCTTCTAGAATACACATGTAATGTTCCGAGATGGGATTGATATGATAACGGGCATTCCAAAGCCCTAGACCCTGAATTGTTATCCAATTATAAAATTATCCAATACCTGCCAAGGGAATTCTAATATCAACTCACCCGCATGCAAAAGGCGAATGCAGATTTTATGCACTCCAGTTCCCTGCTTTTAGAGCTATCGTGATAAGCTCACCAATAACGGCATTCTAACGACGGATGTGATATGTTCAGTGTGATAAGATGAGATTGCCTTACGCGTTCTTGTCCGGTACTTCCAAGTTTGTCTAAGATTAAGAGAGTCTAGGGCTGTAGCACTGCCTCCCCCTGAATACAGTTATAATTGCCATTGAGTTTGTCAATGTGATAGGAGGACTGGGGGGTTTGAGGTTTAACAAAAGAAATTAATTTACTCCAAAACAAATAAGTAAAATAAGTGAAATAAGTAAATATCAATACGAATCAGTAAAGGTGAAACAGGCACGTCGTCCCCACCGGATCCGTTAACCCACAGAACCAGGTGCGTCTAGATACCCTTGTCACGTTGTCCTCCCACTTCCCCTTCTTCTTTGGTTCTTCTTCCTTTATTATCCCTCCATTCCCCTCTGACTCCTCTGCAGATTCCTGCAGCTGTGCTTCTATGCTGAACGTCGCCCGTAAGACATTCAAACGAGTCCCCAGCTTTCAGGACCTCCTACAAGGCAGAATGACCCACCCCGACATGTAAGGTCTCGCCCACCCATCCAACATTCATCTCCCTAACAATTGCTCAGTTCTGTTGACGTTCTCGTCATTGGTGCTGGCCCAACTGGTTTGGGTGCCGCCAAACGTTTGAATCAGATTGTAAGTGTTCTTTTCCCCCCTGTTTACTGTGTCGGAGAGGGGCGCAAAAAAAAAAAAACATTAAAAAAAAAAGGGGGAGGGGTATCCCGGAATCAATAAGCTAATTGAGTATACAGAATGGCCCCTCATGGATGATTATCGACGAGAACGAAATCCCCGGTGGTTTGGCTTCCACTGATGTTACCCCCGAAGGTTTCGTAAGTTGCGACTTGCTCTCAATTGTCACTGTCCACACCGCTAACCTGGTTCGCAGCTGTACGATGTCGGCGGTCACGTTATCTTCTCCCACTACAAGTACTTCGACGACTGCATCAACGAGGCCCTCCCCAAGGAAGCGGATTGGTACACCCACGAGCGTATCTCCTACGTCCGCTGCCAGGAGCAATGGGTTCCCTACCCCTTCCAGAACAACATCTCCATGCTGCCCAAGGAGGAGCAGGTGAAGTGTATTGACGGCATGATCGATGCTGCTCTTGAGGCCCGTGTTGCCAGCACCAAGCCCAAGGATTTTGATGAGTGGATCGTCCGCATGATGGGTGTTGGTATTGCCGACCTCTTCATGAGACCCTACAACTACAAGGTCTGGGCCGTTCCCACCACCAAGGTAAGTTTGACGGTTTCCTCCCGGGTAAGACTAAAATGAAACTGACAAATTATGTTTTAGATGCAATGCGCTTGGCTCGGTGAGCGTGTCGCTGCCCCCAACCTCAAGGCCGTGACCACCAACGTCATCCTTAACAAGACCGCCGGTAACTGGGGTCCCAACGCTACCTTCCGTTTCCCCGCCCGCGATGGTACCGGTGGTATCTGGATTGCCGTTGCCAACACTCTTCCCAAGGAGAACACCCGCTACGGCCCCAAGAACAAGGTCGTGAAGGTCAACGCCTACAACAAGACCGTCACTCTTGCCGATGGCACTACCATTGGTTACGGAAAGCTGGTCTCCACCATGGCCGTCGACTACCTCGCCGAGGCTATGAACGACACTGAGCTTATGCCCCTCACCAAGCAGCTCTTCTACTCCTCCACCCACGTTATCGGTGTTGGTATCCGAGGTGCCCGTCCCGACCGCATCGGTGATAAGTGCTGGCTCTACTTCCCTGAGGATGACTGCCCCTTCTACCGTGCCACCATCTTCTCCAACTACTCCCCCTACAACCAGCCCGATGCCTCCAAGAAGCTGCCCACTCTCCAGCTCGCTGACGGTTCCAAGCCCAAGAGCACCGAGCCCCAGGACGGTCCCTACTGGTCCGTCATGTTGGAGGTTTCCGAATCCTCTATGAAGCCTGTCAACTACGAGACCCTCCTTGCCGAGTCTATCCAGGGTCTTGTCAACACCGAGATGCTCGCGCCCGGTGATGAGATTGTCTCCACCTACCACCGCCGCTTCGATCACGGTTACCCCACCCCCACCCTGGAGCGTGAGGGTGCCCTTACCCAGATTCTCCCCAAGCTCCAAGAGAAGGGTATCTGGTCCCGTGGCCGCTTCGGCAGCTGGCGCTACGAGGTCGGCAACCAGGATCACTCCTTCATGCTCGGTGTGGAGGCTGTTGACAACATTGTCAACGGTGCTGTTGAGTTGACCCTCAACTACCCTGACTTTGTCAACGGTCGCCAGAACACTGAGCGCCGCTTGGTCGACGGCGCCCAGGCTTTCGCCAAGAAGTAGATAATTCCTCCTTTTTTTTCCTTTTTTTAACTACCACCATTCTTGTTTGAAGTGAAGGGTACTTTTTTTTACCCCCTCTTTCCCTTTTTTTTGATACAACTGAAACGAGCTCATACTGTCATGGAAAAATTATACACGAGGGAGCATTTGAAGCGGCATCTAGAAGACGATCGCTCTTTGTTGGCGTTTCATCTTGTTACTTAACACCATCAACCCTCTTCACCTTATCATTTACCTATTCCCTTGTTTTTCCATCAGCCAAGAGCCGGGACTTGCCTTTGATATACCTTATTAGACCGCCTTGACATGTGCGATTGCTCATTTCTAATTCATCCAGTTGACCGATGAATCTCTTCCCTTTCCAAGTAGAGATATACACTGGCCCTCTGGGTAAGTACTAGCCTGTGGGTCCTGTTACTCGTGAACAGCCCCAGGCTCCTCGAAGAGTTTTCAAACAACCTTACCAATTAGAAATACGTTAAAGCAGATCTCATCCTATGTGGGCAGAGTGTTTCGTGGCATTCCAAGCTTGGCCTTCGAGTTACACTCGCCACAACGCAGATCATCAACCAGGCAATCACTAACCCACACCGCAAAAGTGTCCGTTTCAAAGCCATGTCCATGAACCTAGAACCCCAAATCCCCCTAAATCTCAGACTAAATTAAACAAGCTCAATATACCGACGACAAACGCCATCTTAGCGCCATCAAGCACAAAGAAATTTCCAAAGCAATTCAAGGTTATTCTACGCGGTGGCGTAGTGGATCCGTCAACCGTGAACCAGTCGTATCGAGGATCAAACATATGTACAATCTCAATATGTCCTGCAGACAAAAAAGCAAAATTCTCCAAGTCCCAAGTAAACAAAGTAAGCAATGCAAAGTGACGTAGACCAGGAATTTCAGTGTTGTTATGAGGTATGTCAACGGTTAGAGGGCATGGGGGCCGCGTCAGATCTGGAGGCAGCCAGGTTTGTGGTTCTTCTCCACCGAACTATAGATAGATTTGGGTTGCGGATATCGTTGTTTCAGATGAGTATTGTTTACTGTTCTAGATTGCTTCTTCTGCATTTTAACGTGAGACATTGTCAACTGAACCGAGACCTGGAGGGTTATTTTTGATCTTTCCTGTATGTCGTGGGCCTAGAACTGTTTTTGCGTAAATCTCTTGGGCTGTTTCAATATCTCATATTGGGGATTAAATATTATTGCATACTTCCATCTGTTTCCTGTATGATCGATCATGGGGTCTTAGGGCGAGAAACATCATACCATAAATATACACAATTAGAGTCGACTTGGTCAATGCAAAGCCACTTGGTCGATGCATAGCCACTGGTATCAATAAAATTAAAAAAAAAGCCCCGCCGGGGCAGCCCGTGAACTCGAAGAGGTCAAACCGCTAGAACAAAGCCAGCAATTCCGAGCATCCATCCACAACATCTTGATAGCCCTCCTAGATAACCGTTTTAACGTGCGAATCGCAGTTCTCACTAGTGCTATTGGCCACACTATCAGGGGAGACTGCCCCCTCGGCCAAGACTGCCTCGTAAGACATCGTGGATGCTACGGCTAGGAGTGGGACGCTTGCGGAGGCCGGACTTGAGGACACGCCACACGACAAGAATGAAACCTGCGGCGTCGAAGTTGGTGAGTCCATGAGCATGGGTGTATATATAGCATCGGTGTCGCTTGGCGGGTAGTTCTCTCTGTGGCGATCCCGATCTGGCCGGGGATGGCACCGTTAGATCAAGCCAATGTTTTGGATTTCGGGAGTTTGACATACCTGTTTCTTCTCCAAGCGGGGCATTGCCGCTATGGAGTTCATGTTCTTGCGGTGAGAGGGCAAATTTCACCTTCAGTCGCGGTGGGTCAGACCGGTCTGCTTGCAAGTGTATTCCAGTGGAAATTGTCACTTGTAACGAGGAGTGTTGGTTTGGGATTGGGGATTTGAGGCATGACTTTGTAATGGAAGTATGTGGAATTGCATCTGTAGAAGCACAGCTCCTATCTCTTGGAGAAGTAGGCTCAAAACATGAGGATCCTTCTTGGGTCAGGCCTGTGGTATCAATATCCTCGTCAAATTCCGAAGAGACATGGGAGCTCGGGGACGGGTCCATTTCATCGCAGCTCTCATCGTCTAGGTGCAGCTGCTCGAATTCAACAGTCAGCGTATGACGGATATATATCCGCTGGAGGTGAGATTCAACATCTTTTTCCTCCAGGGCAATGATAGTTGGGGGCCGTCTGATCATTTTTCAGGTATGGGATTATTATCAGTTGTACAGTTGTACAGGGAGGCCCTGGAAGTTCCGTATATAGAAACATTGTGTCTTAGAGGAAATCGCGTTCACAATTTAAGAAAGCTCGACTAGGATATGCTGAAGAGAACATATTACAATCCCAGATGATCCTTGATCTGTATAATATGGTAAATTCTATGAATCTGTCAATTCCGTAAGTTTTGTAAATCTGCAGGTCTATCAATCTGTCAGTCAACTCGAAACTGGACAAATCAGATATATCCATTCCATCTCACCACTCAGAGCTATTAAAATAGCATATACGTATCTCTTTTCGTACTCTGAATCTTTCTTTTTCTCTCTCAAATTATCTGGGAAAGCCCTATAGGGAATATCAATAGTCAAGTCAGGCTCAGCCCCTCGACACTAGACCCAATTTCTACGGAGCCTCCTGTTGATCCTTCCCCCCTCTCCTCCAACGTCGATTCTAACTCTCTCACCTCCTCTCCTTTCCCCAACTCTTCCTCGGATCATGCATCCGCCGTGTTCCCGATCATAGTCTGTCTTTCGTTGACCTTTCGACCTTACTTTCCCTGAACCTCACCCCGGCATATCCCCGGTCGCCAAATCTCCAAAATCTCCGTCATGAACGGAGATCTCAGCCTGTCCCAGGCTCTGGGAGGGCTTCGGATAGCCAATCCAGATGATTCGCCTCTCCCAACGGAGAATGCGACCGCTGGCTCAACGGGCTCCAGCCCGTTCGGATTCCCGGACGGTTCGGTATCAACACAACACAATCCCGCACATGACGAACACCCCTCCGCCTTTCCTCCTACATCTACCGATGTCCCTGTTACAGACGATCGTCCGACTTCAACTCTTCAATATTCCCCCGAGATACAACCAGTTCCATCAGGATCATACCAGCCATACTCGGCCCCACCCCTCTCAACGCCTCCGAATCCCAACCGACCCCTTTCCTCCGTATACGTGAATGGCTCGGCAACATCGGTCCTCCCTCGTGATAGTACATACCGCATTCGAACCGATTCCGGCGCTTCATCCAGGTCTCAGGCACAATTAGATGCACGAGGAGGTTCGTCAGCGTTACAAGCCGGAGTTCTGGCGCGCGACAACTCCCATAGCGACCGATCCTACCGGACCGCGCAGATTCCGGGCAACGGCCCGGCAGTGATGCGACAGTCATCTCGAGCACAAGCAAGAAGTGGCGGCACATCCCAGATGCCGCGAAGCTCTTATATGCCAGAAAATGGCCCATTAGCGAGTAGCGAGGATTGGCAAGACCGCGGAGCCGCGGTCTCTGTAAGACAGGAAGTGGATGCCAATGGCCAAACTGTCTCTCGCTATATTAAAAAGGGCGTCCGAGACTTCTCGTTTGGGAATACTCTCGGCGAAGGCTCATACAGTACGGTCGTCTTTGCGACGGACCGGCAAACCCTGAAGGAGTACGCAATTAAGATCCTTGACAAACGACACATTATCAAGGAGAGGAAGGTTAAATATGTGAATATTGAGAAGGATACACTCAACCGCCTGACCGACCACCCCGGTATTGTGCGGCTATATTATACCTTCCAGGATGAGCAGTCACTCTATTTCGTGCTGGACTTGTGTAAAGGAGGCGAATTGCTCGGTGTTCTCAAACGGATGACCACATTTGATGAGGAGTGTACAAGATTCTACGGCGCCCAGATTCTTGACACGATAGACTACATGCACAAGCGCGGTGTCATCCACCGAGATCTGAAGCCAGAAAATGTGTTGCTCGACAGCGGGATGCATGTCAAGATCACTGATTTCGGGACAGCAAAGATTCTCAAGACTCCCCGAATCGATCCCAGTTCAAATGGCATTCTTCCTCTTGACTCGGCCGAGCTTACACAGGAAGAGCGGGCGAGCTCTTTCGTTGGCACTGCAGAGTATGTCAGCCCCGAGCTGTTGACGGACAAAAATGCATGCAAAGCCAGTGACTTATGGGCGTTTGGCTGCATCATTTACCAGCTTTTAGCCGGTCGTCCACCGTTCAAGGCTGGAAACGAGTACCAGACCTTCCAGAAAATTGTGGCACTCGACTACGAGTTCCCAGTTGGATTTCCTGCTGTTGCGCGGGATCTTGTCGAACGTCTTCTCGTCCTAGATCCTGCTCGGCGTCTTCAGATCGAGCATATCAAAAATCATGAATTTTTTGAGGGTATCACATGGGGTCCAGATCTATGGAAACAGAAGGCCCCCCGTTTGAAGGCCTATGTACCCCCCGCACGCGATCCCATCAAGCTCAATGACAATAAAAACGGAGAGAGTCTACCTCCAGTCGTCTCCACTGCCCCCTCAAACGCACCAAATGCCAGTTCCCGCCACCTGCCACGGGTGGTAACTGAGCTACCCCCGCCGAGTCAGCTCGATATCGAATGGTCACCGGTACTAAGCAAAGCTAATGAGCGGATCTTGAAATTGGGTAATTTGGTTGTTATCTCTTCCGCTGCCTCACACAGCCCGACGTCCAAGAACAGTAGTGGCGAGCTTGAAGCACCAAGGAAGTTCTCTCGTTTCTTCTCAGGAAGCGCCACAAAGAAACGACAGCGGTTGGTGATGGTCACATCATCAGCAAGGCTCATTTTGGCCGCGTCAGGTGGTGATGATAAGAAGATCAAACTTGAAATTTCCCTGCTTGCTCCGGGGACAAGTTACAGAAGTACAACGGATTCTAAAGGGAATTCATCCTGGATTGTGGACACGGTATGTAGTGCATCCTTATCAGTTAAAAGGATCCATCTAACGAAAATCTACAGAGAGATAAACATTACGTTTTCGAAGATCCCAAGCCATCATCGAGCAACGCCGGCGCCACAGCGGTCCAGGTACAAGAATGGCTGGATGCCTTGGACAGGTCCCGGGAGATGGCATCACTGCAACAAAATTCAGGCTACTCCGACGATGCATTCCGCGACCTTTCCTCTGGTTTCCCTAGTCCCGCCAATACACTAGACCGCACTTCTGATATGCAGAAAGATGACAGAGGCCCGCCATCATCGAGTCGGAATCACTTAGTGAAACAGCAGACCGGCGACACTGAGTCCACGAAAGGAAGAAAACGATTCAGCAAGCGTCATTCAAAGAATGGCCTCGCTGCGGTGTTCTAATGACATCGAAGAACTCCACATCTTACAATCCATCTATCCACCCATGCAAAATCGCCTTTCAGTATTGTCGGTATCAAACCGACTTTCCTATACTACCTGCTGGCGTACCTTGACCTCGCACCTCACCATCTCATCCTTTGAATATGGACTACCGCTTCCACTCATCTCCCCGGCCCTCTTTCCGTCTTTCTCTTCCATGCATGGGCATTCACACAAATATAGGATTTCATCCCAGCATATCGGTTATCCTACCTTTTGCATATTCTAGTGGCAAGCGTGTTCTTCTGTTTGTTTATGTTCTTGGGGTAACATGTTTCTTGCATTTAGATTTGGAAGGGAGCCTGCGCATACTTTGTTCTTTCATTGCCTGATTTCTTATTTCAGAATACCGCTTTTCCTTCCGCTTGTCGTTTGCTATGTCGTCCGCTGTTATATATCCCTGATTTGGCCTGAAGCATCACAACATCGAAACTTTTGCTGTTTAACTCTTTTCATTTCTTTGTCCCTTGTTCCTGGTAAGTTATCAGGTTCTGTTGAAAATCTGACTTTCAAGGTTGTGTTGATTACCTTTGAAGAATATGAAATCAAGCCTGTTGATACGCCTGCGTCCTCATTTTCGTTTTCCTTCTTCTCTTATATCTCTAGGTATTTTTTTTTCGGCGAGTTCGGACAAAAGAATACTTTCCTTCCTTGGATATCATCATCTTTCTCATTGTGTCTATTGTCTTCCTTGGCTTTTCTGCTTCCTTATAGTGGCATCTTGGTTTGACTTCATTTTCATTGTGATTTTCTTCTACTTACTTCATTCCTTTTGTTCCATCCCTCCTTGCCTTTTTCTCTCGTCTCAGTATACACTTTCTCGTCTCTTTTCCCTTGCTCTTCTTCTTTCCTTTAGGCCGAAGAGATGATATACCCGATTTTCCTATTTACAGACCATTGTTCTATACCGTCTCACTACAATCCTTACATATGTTGAAGTTCATAATGAAATACTGTGTATTCCGAGCAAAATGATTTTAAACAATGTGTTAACTGACAAATATATATAGATACCTAGGTGCAGGTAAAAATTAGTCACAAAGGTGATGGACACATGGACATACATATATCTCCATTGTTTCCCCTAAATTAAATGAACAACCAATCGAGGCGCGAATGATCCAGCTCCTCAATCCAGTCAAACTCAGGATCGTAATCATTATCATCATAGCCCTGCTCACGGCGCTTGAGATCTTGCTTTTGCCACATGAGACGCAGGACCCACGCAGCATTGCGGACATTAACACTTGTCAGGGCCTCATAGAGCGAGCCGAGCTTTTCAACTATGATACCCCGCTGCGAAGGGCGACACTCCGCGCCAGCGATGAAGGTGGGCCAGATGAGGCATTTGAAGTGGTCGTCTGAAGGGGGGATGAGGCAGATTTGTGTGATGAGGTTTGTGGCGATGAGTCTGTGGTCGACCGGAAGGCCGACATCTGTCCAGGGTGGCGAGAAGCCTTTTCTGTGGCGTGAGAGGACACGGCTTGTATATAGGTAGACGGCGTCTTGGTAGGATGTTGCGAGTGCGAGGCGGTAGGTTAAGTTTGGGATGAAGAAGACCTTTTGCATTTCTTGACTCCAGGCTATTGGGTCGAAGTTGCGGATTCCTTGGAGGAGGTTTGCGAATGAGTCTAGGGTGAGAGACTGGCTGTGTTGCATTGGGCTTGAGAGCACTGTTGGTTGGGGGGTTACGGAGGCGACTTCGGAATCTGGGTACCAGAGGACGTGGACGAAGAAAATCACTTCTAGGAGATAGGCGGGACATCCGACCCAAGAGTTTTCTTCGAGGCGTTTGAAGATCGCCGGGTCCATGGATGAGGAGTAGACGGGCCTTGAGAGCGCGCCTGGGCGAGCTAGCGTTGATCCCATGATTTCCATTCTGTATGGTCAGCAAGAACTTATCGCTACACGCAGACCCGAGAATCTTACATTAAGCACCCGTCAAGGGCAAACGCGTCCAGGTCGTCGAGAATTCCTTGTCCCGGTCCATTTTCAGGTCGGTCCTTGAGAAGCTTCTTCGCGCCTTCGATGTGATAACTCCATGCCCCGCTGCCGGATTCAAATATGTCTAGGAAGGCAAGCAAGACAATAGCAGCTATCGTCCTGCCGTCCTTCTGCATCGCCGGGTTATTGAGATCCATAGACAATTGGCGAAGGGCGCGCTGCTTGTACTCCAAGAAATGATGATATGCCTGCGAGGTTGGTTTTCGAGAACTCGCCGGCGCAACAATATCTTCAATTTCCTCTACTGACAAGTTCGAATCCGCCATCGATAAGTTGCCGGGTGACCATGGTAGGAGAGACGAGTCGGATTCTGATACAAGGGAGTAATGAAGAGCTCCAAGAGCAGTGATGCTGCTAACAAGAACTGGAGAATGGTTGACGAGCGCAGTGAGATCTCGGAAGGGATTTTTGTGTTGGGAGTAAAGGGCGAAATCGTTAACCATATATTGATTGTCTTACGAGTAATTGTCAGTAGAGCCACAGATAATGCATTAGGGAAGACTTACAGTGATGTACGTAGTACCTTGAGAACTGGCTGAGATCCTTGAGCAGAGGATCTACCAGTCCCCATGGCGTTGGAATATAGTCGACGGGAGTGTTCCGAGGAACATGAACAACTGCAGTATTCTGTTCCTCGGTCGAATTGACCCCTAAATCTGCTGTTTCTTTCCCAAATGATGAATTCTCTGCCTCAAAAGCCCATCCCTCGGTCTCTGGACTAGGTTGATTCCCAGAGCTGTGTGATTCGGCATCGGATGAGGATTCGGTGACAGAGAAAAAGCCGAATCCGCTGCTCGTCGCAGTCGAATTACATGTCCTGGTAGCTGGCTGACGCTTTGACTTGCTAGGCGGTATTTCCACGTCATCAAAGCTGCGGCCCATCATCTTTCCTCGACTAGCCACACCACCCTTGACCCAGACAAGCGGTTTCTGGTACCCCAGACATTCTTTCCCCGCATCTCGACACTTCCGACAGGTGGGTTTGCCATTGTCGCAGATGATGCGACGTCGTCGACAGGTATAGCAGCCTTTGGTCATTCTCTGAACGTTGTGAAAAAACTGGACCTTCTTGATTGGATAGCGAAGAACTGAGCCACTGTGAATTTTGTTTAGCGCCACTCGCCATAGCCGGTTATGGTCAGGATTCAGAGGCAGGATGTTGACAAAGCCACTCAACAACCATTTCTAGCCGTTTACCTAGTGACTTTGGTGCCAAGGATTATCGTAAAAAGTTGCAAAACAAGTTATAAAGCTGTCATGCTCCACGAGCTGGGGATGATTCACAAAAGCTTCGATTTCGGGGTCCGCGGGGAGGATGACTAAGAAAATCTTCTGACGGTCGAGACCTCAACCTGTGACTTGCTCATTCCATATCAGCTGCACTTGGAATTCCGTTTCGAATATTAAAAGAACTGCAAGATGGTCTTACAGCTCTTGCTCCGAAGTGTGGAGGTAAGTGCTTTTGCTATCACCACTTCGATCTCCACTGAAATTCTTATATTTGATCTGACAATTGCCGGCTCCGGCGCAATATTTGTTCCTGGCGTTTATCGATATCTGCGTGAAGATTTATGAGAATATTATGATATCGATCTGCCTGTTGATCCCTGGTCGCAAGCTTTTGCAGAACTGCTTTTGCGTCTTGGAGCACTTTCATCAACTCTGCACCGACACCTTCTTGTCGATCCAGTTGAGCTTCCGGACTGGCTGTCTGCTAACAAATAGCGATTCCCAGTCGCATAAAGATTGCAGTTATAGTCCAGTGGTGCAGTAGAAGCATTTGGAAAATAATGGTTTGGTAACCTCAGACGGGTGTTCTCACTTATGTCCATGGCCGCCCAGAGAGTACGATGTAATTTTTGCCAGTCTAGATCTGGCAACGGTCCCTGACCACAGAGAGCTTTAAATCAGGCCTGATAAATTCTTTGGTAGATATATGCCGAAAGGGCCTCGAATGTGGAAACCCACCTCAGCCCCGAGTGTTGAATGGAAGATTGGGAGAAGTGCAATTCCTGCAGCTGGCAATTTTTGCGCCGGCAATCGGCCTGACAGACTGGGTGATGCGATAGGTCATAACTTCTTGCTACAATGGGCCTTCCACGGCTCCGGTCTAGCTCCTAGTTGACTGACTTCTGTAGCTTGTGTGACTAGGTTGCACTATAAACGACCAGTCAAATGTGAGTAATAGTCGAGCAGACAGGATACAGCCTTCTTTAGGCTTTCAACTGGAAGAAGACTGTCCTGGGGGTAATGATTCGGGTTTTTATAGATAAACCTTGGGAAGATAACTTCAATGACTGATAAGGCTGAGATAGTGAAGTCCAATGGGCCGAAGCTAAACGGTGATTCGATTGTCGCGACTGTTGCCTCATTTGTGCAGTAAAGCGTGTGCCGCATAGTCACGCGAACTCGATCGGACACCATAGCTAGGATTAGACAGCTGGAAAAGAGGTGGGAACAGCGCGATAATCAGGAAACGCAAATACATAGTGGAGCTGACAAGCACTAAAGGGGGATATTTATTGATATGCTGTCAATTTACTATAAACAACATTGGAAACTAGCCTAACAATCACGGTCTCTCTTTTTGTCTGTGCATTCAAAGCGAAAATAAGGGGCTTTAAATTTGAGATTTATTTCACAGCATAGTATGTCAAAGAAGTCAAAACAAGAGGCAAAGAGGATCAGTAGTTAACTTCCCACATTTCGAACAAAGAACTCCTATATTTTTAGCTAGGCCTCTTTACCACATCCATCCACGGATGTATCCTTCCAAGAGTGACCTAAGACCTGAGTGGTAGAAATCGTCCTGCAAAGGTAAATGAAGCTTGTGAGATCCAAGACATATCAAACTTTCAAGCTATTTGTATCAACAGTCAATGGAATTCCATCAACGTTGCCTATCTCTGGCACTACCCCCATACAGACACTTACAGACACTTGAACTAGTAAAATATAACATGTAGTGCATGCGATTGAAACATTTGCACCTGAGTACATGTTGTTCATCAAACCTACAATAGTAACCTAAATTTGTTAGGAGCTATATTGTCACAATCTTGACTAACCTTGGAAAGATTTAATAGTTTTTGAGCTACAATAGCCCATACATTCAGAAAACGCGAATACATCTATTTCAGTACCTAGGTATGCATTCGAACTCAAGTTGACAGTTAACAATGATTTTCATCTACTCTGTACAGGGTCTACCTAACTATTCATTATGTTGGGGCAGGGTGATCCGTGTGAACCACTCAGCGGCCAGATGACCCACTTGAAGCTTGAAGAAGCATCGCCACTAAATTCACATACAACATTCCACATCTGAAGGGAAGACACGGCCGTCGAGGAACTTGTCTTTAGAATCTGAACATGAATTATACAAACTAACTGGGTCTCCCCCTTGCAACTTTCCCACAGCTCAAGTTAACTAAGAATCTTAGAAATCCTAGAACATGAGTAGATATGTTTCTTCAACTTCTCCAGAGAGAAAGTACCTAATTTCCTCTTTCGGGATTTTTCCGAATGACTAAGTAATTCTTCTACAGCATACAAACATCCATGGATACCATATATGTAGTACTCACTATTTCCAAAGTAGGAAATGCCGACTGAACGCCGACTGAATGCCGAGTATTCCGACGTCGATGATGTCTTAAGTGGACCTACCTTATATATATTATGACATGCCCCACGTTACCTTGCTGAACCTCTGCAATATTTAATCTGCTTTCTAACAATTCTTGGAGTCCATTGCATCATGTCTAGTCCACACGTCCTTCTGACAGGAGCTAATGGCTTCGTTGCATCCCATATTCTGTCCATCCTCATTGATGTAGGCTATTGTATGCCCATTTTACGCACAGAAGACGCAAGCTAAAACTTTCATAGAGAAAGTACAATGTCACTGCTACAGTACGGTCCCCGGCCAAAGCAGCGGACATAATCCGTGCGCATCCCGACTGGGAAGGCAAAATTGAATTTGCTATCATCGCAGACTTTACCACCCCGAAGCCGTTTGATGTTCTGTTCCAGAATACAAAGGTTCCATTCGACTACGTTATCCACACGGCATCACCAGTCAGTTTCCAGGTCACAGATATCCAGAAGGATATGATCGAGCCGGCAGAGCTAGGGTAGGTCTTTTCAAAACAGCTAAAAAGCACAATGTTGACAATTTTAGAACCCTGGAAATTATGAGATCTGCGCAGCACCATGGCGGAAGCCAGTTGAAACGGTTTGTCTTGCTCAGTAGTGCGGTCACTGTACTCAACTCCTTCGAGGATATGACCAAGGAAGGAAAGCCATATACCGAAAAGGACTGGAATCCAGTAAGTCTCTACCCCATAGTCTCTACCACGCGTCTCTCACACTCGATAGGTCACCGCCGAGCAAGCCATTGAGGCAAAAGACCCTGTCCTCGGATACAATGTGTCCAAGGTGCGATCTGAAGCAGCAGCATGGGAATTCATGAAATCGAATAGCACATCCTTCGACCTAGTTGTCATCAACCCTGACATTATTACGGGACCTATGATCCACCCAATCTCAGGGCCCAAATCTATCAATGAAACGAACCAAGTCGCGGTTGCAAACTTCATTAATGAAACCTATAAACAGGTTGAAGGGGTTACATTCCCTTTCTACCATTTTGTGAGTCCTGTCTATAACATGGATCGAGAGAGTTCATTGAAAAGAGGCTCAGCTGACCACTGATATGATAGGTGGACGTCCGTGACGTAGCCCGCAGCCATGTCGACGCGCTCACCAACTCCGCTGCCTCAAACCAGCGCATCCTTCTCATTGCAGACCTCTTCTCGCCACAGATGATCGCAAATGCGATTCGGAAAAATTTCCCTGCTCTTCAGAGTCGAGTGCCTGAGGGAACCCCTTCACAGCTATTGCCATCCGGTATCCATCCAACTGGTTGGGATATGGCCGTGAGTCTCGATATCTTGGCCAAGGGTACAGCCGAGGGTGAATGGAAATACAGGGATTTGGAAACCAGTATTGTTGATACCGTGCAGTCGATGATCGATCAAAACGTCGTCTAAGTGCGGTTTATACATACATAGGTATTTCCGCTTTTTACTAGTCGGTTGATATAAATGGTCATGCTGGTCTAGCCCTTGAATATACAGAGCTAAACAGCTAATAAAATCTCACCGTTGTCCACGATTGAATTACTGGATTAGTGTTAAAGTGGTGTTTAAAAATCAAGATCTAATTCATGGACCTGTTTGACAGGCCAGGGCCTAGGTTCCTATGATGATTATGTTATCTACCGGGCTTGGTTCTTGCGACTTATAGTCCAGGCAATAGGATCATGACTGGAAATCCAGAAAAATAGTTCAGTCGCCATGATCTGACCCATGCACGTACGCCACTCGCTATAGCCAGTTATCGCTAGGATATTAACAAAGCCATGCAACTATTTCTAGTCGTTTCAGTATCAACGTTAGTATCAAGAAATATCTTAAAAAGCGGTAAAACAAATTATAAAACCGTTATACTGTACGAGCTAGGGATAATTCACAAAAGCTTCGATCGGGGTCCCGAGGTCTGCGGGGAGGATGACTAAGAAAATCTTCTGACGATCGAGATCCTAGGATTGTCCAGTCTTCTTCCTCAACCTATAACTTGGTCATTCCATATCAGCTGCACTTGGAATTCCATATCGGATATTAGAAGAACCGCAAGATGGTTTTAAATATCTTGCTCCGAAGTGTGGAGGTAAGTGCTTTTGCTATCGCCACTCCGATCTTCACTAACATTCTTCTATCTTAGGTCTGGCTCACCGTTCGAGTACGTTCTTCCGGCATTGACATGCTTATGCTTGAATTTGCATTCTGATATCATCTATACAGCTCCTTCGAAGTCCAATCTTCCATCGTATGGTGGGCCGAGTTCACCAGAAAGTTCAACACGTCAGGTACGGGGTGCCTCCGGAGGAGCAGGGCGGCACCAAACTCGAGAGACAAGGTATGCTGCGAACCAAAATTTGGTGAAATAGTGTGTCTGACCTGCTCCGATTAGATTTCGAGTATAAAAAATTCCTTAATCATTTCAAGGAAGAGCTGAAGGACCAGATAAAGGGAAATACGCGGAACAAATATTAATACCCTGGCGCTTGTTTGATAAGGAAACTGATGATACCCACATTTAATATGACATAGTACATGCCGTTCTTTTTTTCACCTTTCGCAAAACTGGACTTTCGCTTCCTGTCATTATTTTGGCGCTTGTGTCAACACCGGGTATACAATGGGATACACTTTTGCACTCCCTGGGATGCATCCCTTGTTTCATCCGAAGAGTGAACTTGATTTGAATCATTGGCTTGCCCCTTCTACTATTCCCAGTTGTATATATATGCCGTCAGGCTGGGATCCAATAACTGGGGCATATATACCAAGTTTCGTGCTTACTATTCGGGCACACAATCAAGATCTGCTGAATTGCGATATTTACATTAAGAATATGCGAACAGAAAGAGTCCACTTGAGATGAATTCTATTTCTAGTCTAACCTAACTTTCTAACCTGGCTTCTAAATACCAAAACAAGCCGATCATACTGAAGCCGAACCCTTCCTCGGTCTTTACATTATTTTCCGGTGAAACATATCCGGTCATTCCCACACAAATTGAAATAGGGACGTCTCAACCGAATCATCCAATTCAGCCACAACACTTTGATGGACAATTTCTCTGGCAGGTCTCCAAAAGATCTTCTGCATCTCCCGGGGGTTGGTCTGCATGAACATGACCTCGATCACCTTCGTCTTTGCATCACCCAGGCTCTGACTCTGCTCTCGCTCCTCTTTCTTTTCAATGTTGGCTAATGCAACGAAACTACGTCTAAAACAGTGATAAGTGTTTATCCATTCTAGCTGGTTTTCGTTGCCGAAGAGCGTCACAGAGAGCATCTTTTCAATGAACTCCCAATAATCTTTGTTGTCGCACCCGTAGAAGTCATTAGCCCTAGAGTTCCTGAGGTTCCTGATTATTGTATCGGATAGACTAGTGCACGTTAGTACTCGTTGCAAGCTTAGGTGAGGTGTGTATGGTTTGGGGTGGTACTTACTGGACAACAACATGTGTAATATCTGTGAGATCGTAATCCTTGTATTTCTCTTCGCATTTGACACTGAAGCCAGGAAGCGAGGTTGTGATGGTCTCAGGATAAGAGCGTGTCTCTGCCATGTTTTCTTTTGTAAGGCTTGAGGTGTTGGGAGGTAGTTGTCGAGGGCTTGATCGAGTAAGCTGAGTGCTGAACGCTGAAGGTGTTGTAGATATGCTTAATGAAACTGGGTATTATAGAAGTTGTATGCAAGGCTGTTGAAGACGAATTGAGATGTCAGACAGGAAGAAAAGGAATACATTTATATTAGCACGACCGAGGAACAAAAGGAAAGGACAAAGAGAGACTTTCATCTCAATTGGCGAAAACGATCCCGAGAAGCAGAGACTCAATTCTTGGGATAATGAATAAAGAAACCAAAGGTCTTGAAACAAACAAAGTCCAATATTCCTTCCTCATTGAATGGCTATTATGGGTGATTTGCCCTTTGTCTCCCTTGGAAGGAATCAAAGCTTCCACTTACTTTGACCGCAAAGTAAGATCCAGGAGGTCTCTGCTAAACTTTCTATTTATGTGGTCTGTTAGAATTAGAGCCTCCGCTTCCATTATGTTACCTTTGTTATCGATACTTCAAAATAGGGAGATCAAACAGCTTTGTATCGATTGCCCCTCTTCCAGGGTGATATGCCAGCCGAGAGAACTGCCTTGCATCTACAATGTTTGATAGGGCACATGTATAGCGAATTGGCGGCGACCTTTGCTAATTTCACACAAAGGTGATGTTCCAAGGTCGGATATTCGAGCAATCTCAAGATTTCAAATACCCTTGACAAAGGCTAGACCATTATCTTACTGATCCAATAATAGTTAATACATAGTACTTATTAGTAAAGTTAGTACGGAGTACTCTGATCCTTATTAACATTAGAGCTGCCTAAATGCCGAGAACATGTGGGCGGATGTGACGGATAGAAGGAATGACTCAGTTCTTATACATTATGCTTGCATTGAATAGTCATAAATGGGAATACTTGATTGAGTCAATATTACTATACTCTGTATATTCGCATCATACTTACTCGGTAGATATGGAAATATTTGGGTTGACTGGTCTATTGACGTCTGTCGGGCATAGGGATCAATACATAGCCGCTTATCTTGCCGGGAGGCGAACAATGTTAGCCCCGGGGAACAAACAAAGGGCAAAAACCAAGGTATGAAGAGAGGTCTAGAATGCCTTCTCTGTATCCGTATAAAATGTAGTATTCCCGAAGTCTTCCCGAGGCTTGGAGGCCTTCAACCTGAACCACAGGTAAGCAGACCCTGGAACATCAAGATTCCAGAACAGGCGGAACACCCGAAACGTACCGTGTGCCAGCAGCACGCCACATGAACCAATTAGGGTTAGGGGGGCAAAAGGACTACAATTTTCAGGTCAATTCCGGCTGTGCCGGCCATTTTTTTGTATGGAAATAAGAGTCAAAAGGGGGTCAAGTACAGAGTACCCAAGGGGTTAAGTGTTACATGAAACAACATGGGAAATCCCTGCCACGTACATGTATTTTGCAGGAGAGGCTGTCAACCATACATTAGGCGACTTGAAGTACTAGGTCGCATTCATGCAAGATGTCATACGGCGGTTTTATGCCAATGCCAATAATGTGGAAGATCAGAGGCAGATCATGGGAGTGCTAAAAATATGGAGCGGGAAGCGAGGGGTACGTCGTCACACGGGGTTCAGCCCACATGTTCAGAGTTTTCTCAGATTTCTAAGACTTTGTAGATATCTATTAGGATATAGACTTATTAACTCAACACTCTCTCTTTTATATATAATATAAGAATCTCTTATATATAATCTATGTACTGTTATATTAAAAGATAATCTAAAATAACAGTAAAACCAGGTCAAACGTTCAGGCGACCCAGACTTAACGTGTTTTCTATTAAAGTGTCAGCCAATCAGAATGTCAAATGGCTCAGCGCTTGGATTTTAGTCTGAGACTAGTTAGTGTTAATTAGTCCCAATTAGGAATGGTGCTTTTCAGAGTTCGGAGCAACAGCCCAAATGGCTTTTTCTCGCTTTGACTCCTTTTTTCGCCTTTGCATTCTGCTTATTTGTCTCTCTTTATTCATGACTTCCGGTCAAAATTCTCTCGTTACCTATCCTCACATTCGTTCACATTCGTTATCATGCGTATCTCCAGCCTCTCGCTTTTCATCCAGGCTCTACTGTTGACTGCGGTCGCAGCTCAGAGTGCTGGTATCGCCAACACCAATACTGTGCAGGAAGTCACAAGTGAAACCACCTCGTCTTCCTCCTCAGTGCCTGAAACCACATCGACAACTTCATCAATTCCCACAACCTCCCAAGAAACTACTTCTGAGCAAACAACTCCCACTCCCAAGCCTACCACTTCGACTTCTTCCACCTCCTCCGCCGAGCGTACCACTCAACCTACCGTTTCCGAACCTACCACCTCAGCAGAGTCCTCCGTCTCCTCCACCACTGTCCCAGAGGCTATCGCCCCTTCAACCACCTCCAAGACCGAGCCCACCTCCGCGGCAAATACCGATGGCGATAGTACCACTTCATCCAAGAGCACCACTACCACCCAGACTCCGATCGTGAAGACCATCACCTCCTACGCGACCAGCGATGGATCCACCATCGCTAACGTGATGACCACTACCTCCACCCCGACTAGCTCCCCCTCTCTTAACGGCGACAAGGGCTCTGGCTCCAGTGGTATCTCTGCTTCGGACAAGAAGATCATCATTGGTGTTGTGGTGGGTGTTGGTGGTGCCATCCTTATCGGTGCCATCGCTTTGGTCTTCTGGAGAATTCACAAGAAGCGTGCTGAGCAATACGGCGACGAGGATGATCTGATGGGCGGCACCGCGGTGGGTTCCGGTCCTCGTGAGAAGGCTCCTAGCCCGTCCGGCAACACCCCCTTCAAGAACACACTAGACCAGTACCACAACCCTGGTCCGGTCAACGCGGCGTCTAACTTCTAGGCATAATGCGTTGACTCGACATTTGTCGAAGTGTAAATCTTGTACGATCTTCATGCTTTTTCTCAGGCGCTATGGATAGGATGTGCGGGTCACGGTTGCGTTTTTATTCGGTTGCAAAATTGCTTTTTTTTCCCGGGCGTTTTCACGCCCAGCCTCTCCCTTCGTCATAGGTTGATTATCTGCGCATTCATTTGAGCGTTTTTTTTTTGCTGGCAACCACCACATTCCTTTTCTCGCAATCGCGACTTGCGACTCCTGCGCGACTGTCAAAAAAATACGGCACTACTTTTCGGTTATGCCTGTTGTCCTTTTTGATTCCCCGTATCTAGGCGTTTAGCTTAGGGTTCTCCTGTGGCGAACTCCATTATGTCTTGACCAATATTCAATTCTTGTACCTTTCGCAGCATCAGACGTCACAGATTGTATAGTGTTGGTAGACGCGTGCTGCAAAGGCTCCTTTTATCTTGATCTATTTCGATCCGTATGCATTTAATTCAAGGCAAATGAATCCAATCAGCGAAACAATCCATAATATTACATACATATGATACATCTATTAGACTAAGATCGACATTATCGGGATCTCGATCTGTACCCACGTGGATTGATTCACGTGATGCATTCCAGCCCTTAAGAGATGGATCACCGAGCATCTTTCACCTACCGGTCGTTCACTCAGCACTCTTGAATGTTGTTCCTCAACGAAGGGCAGACGTTATCAATGCCGCAGTCGACCTTGATCTTCCAGCTAGGAGCAAATCTATATTGTATCTAATCAGCTTGGTTCGTCGTGTAGATTGTATAGGAAATGTTCTGATGATACGGCTTTATTCTAGGTTCGCATCGGTCTCATATCACAACGATATATATATCTGTAAAACCAACAACCTAGATAACATTAAAAAAGATTCTTCGTTCACTACGTCTAAGAGTTGTACAATATGATGGATACTACTGGTCTAGAGAACTAGAAGAGTGTATAGACTAGATACAATTAGAGAAACGAGCAGATGATATCAAGATGTAAAAGGGAGTTAGGAGCGAAGAAAGAAAGAAAAAGGAATTGAAGGAAAACAAGATAACAGCAAGTACAGTATGTGCAGTATGGGCCTATGCTGTGCTGGCAGAGCGCCAATCACGGACACTTGCGTAGCTACCAACATCCCCAGCAGTAGCACGTGCGGTTTTACTGGTGGAAATAGTTTGGGAATCGAAATCAAAGCAGTCCGTCTGTCCGTCCTCGGTACAGAATGCGTACAGGACCTTCGAGCCCATATCACAGAAGGCAGCCTCGCCAGTATGCGCAAAGTCAGGTCCCATGGATGTATCCGACTCACACAGTCTCTTAGCTGAATGAGACTTGGAGTCACTAATGACCAGCTCAGATGCCGCCCACGCAGGGCGGGTCGAGGCTTGACGAGCCCGCATAGGGCCACTGCGCTTCTTCTTTACGGTATAATTGATGGAATTGGGGTCATCCTCCTCACGCAATCCAAAGTTGATATCGTTGCAAATTCTCTGGGGGTCTGTATCATGTTCATCCTGCTCGTCCTTAGAGAAGGCAGGCCAGCGGACCTGGAATCCAGTCTTAGGCTGATCCCCGTCTTTATCAATCCAGAAGCACTTGGGCTGGTAGTCTTCGTTGCTGTTGGGATACATGTGGCTCTCAAACCACGTACCACCACATGCCTCGCCGTAGTCGCCCGACACGGCATATTTGTTGCCGCCGCGGTCATCGCTCCACGTGGTGGTAACCCAAGCCACGCAGATGGCGTCGTCGTTAGCCGAGAACAGGGAGTATACACCTTGATTCTCGTGGTCGATCTTGACTTCACCCAGGTTTCCATTCCCAACGGAACCGGGATCGGCTTTCATACCAACAAAATCCCCGACCTCGTTCCACACTCGTCTGGTTCTGGTTGTTAGCTTTGGGCTCTTCCGTTGCCGACGCTTCAAGAGTCGATATGATTGCTTGACTTACACGTCGGGGATGTCACCACCAGCATTTGTTGGCCCATTTGGGCCATCAAGAGCAACAGCAACCTTGATGGTCGAACCGGAGGTCTCACCCTCGCCGAAATTATCCATTCCAAACGAGACGATAGTCAGGATTCCAGAGATGACGCCAATGGCGTCGACGACAGACATCTTTGCGGATTGAAGCAGGCAGTTTAGATTTGAGGGCTGTTCTGGAGATGAAAGAGAGTCCTGTCTTGTGAGATTGACTGACTTTATATAGACAACTACAAGGTAATGATCGGGCTTTTGCTCCTTCATCCTCGGCAGGGGCTCACTATACTTGCCATAAGCACTACAAGGCTATCTACATCTATTCAAACTCGATCGACATCACTTCATCCGAAATGGTATTGCTGGGCCCATTTTGCCACTTCGGCCCCCCGTGCTAATGCAACATTTTGCTTTCTATCACCCGCAATTTGATAGCCTAGATCCTTCGTGGTTCTGGGAGAGGTATAGTATTTTGAACTTTGGTAGTCAAGGCATACCGCAGTGATATTAAAGCCCCCACGGTGGATCCAAAACATCCGCCTTCAGCCGGTATCCAAGATGCTCATGGTATTATCTTCCACGCGGGGGCAAGCTATTACGGCGAGGACTCCTTTCCCTATCTCTTGGATGTGCTGGTTTTGGTTGTTTTGTAATCGAGGAGCGTCTCTGAGACAACAATTGAGGGGGGGGGGCGCTGTCTACTTGTTGATGGTATAATTTGGTCTAATCAAAATCGTAGTATTAGGGTCAATAAACAAGACGAAGTTGCTGGAGCGGAGGTTTCCGATCCCGACACCCTACCAGGCGAATGCAATACATAGTTGGCGAGGATCATTACCAACTGGAGGCAATGAACATCTACTTTGTAGTTTTCTGGCCCTAATGGTTGGACTAAGAAGCACAGCCAGTGATAACCTCCCATTTAGTGTGAGCGCCGATTATTTGCGTCATACTGCATAGGCATGAAGGTGTACCTGGATTAACCAGGCACGCCTGGGGCCACTCTATAGATAGCATTAATCTACATCGTACGTTCTCTCCCCCTGCTTCACCCCCGGCTTTCCCCTGGATAAACAGTTAGATTTAGGTAATGAGGCGTTTCCTAGGCTTGTTGGCACCCCAGGTAAAGAGTAAGCGCCAAGAGATCGGCGCTTCAGCCCCAGGGCTGCCAAGCAATTCACTGTAACAACAATATGAGATGGCCCGCCAAACCATCGCCCCCAAACTAGCCAAGCAAGTTGGGGCCTCTAAGAAGAAAACAGTAAGTTAAGCACGTGGATTATAGGCTGGAGACTCCAACAAGAAACGCCCCAATCAAACAAGCAAGCCCCAAGAATTTGTCCACGATGGTTCCAATCAGCTCCAAGACGGACTACCCTTCGAACCCGAAGCCGCCCTTAAGCGGCCCCCATCAGCCAAGCATGCAAAGGATCACAAATGATGTCACAGAGCTGCCCAACTTAGCATTTATGCTCACTTTTTAGAGGGCATATGTCGACACAAAGAAATAGTATAATGAAGCCCCCTAACTGGCCAGGGATATAGTAATTTCTCTAATATCAGACCGGTCCCCCCCCGTCGTAAAATCATACCCAGCTCATTTTTACACATCCATCGAGAACAATGATCCACCTCAAACCATCCACGCTCGCCCTTGTCCTCTCTCTATTCTGTTCTTCCACCTTTGCAAAGGATGAGGAACTCTCCTCTAGCCTTGTAGGCTGCAATGAGGTCTCATGTCCCAAGGATGGTTCCGATGACCGCTGCCCAGTAGGAAACAATAACTTCCTTGGCATTGGACTATCCCGCATCCCCGATGTTCCCTCGTCTCTTGAGGGTTTCTCGCTCGTGAAAGGCGTCAACGTGTCTGCTGCGATGGCCGGCAAGGACAATGACAAGGCTACACGCCCTTTCAAGTCGGTCTACTACCTCGGCACACCCTCGGACGTAGAGACCAAGGACGTGTCCGGCTGTGTTGTCGTCTTCCTCGATGCTCCGTCCAAGAAATTCGATGGGCGGAAACTGGAAGGCAATAGCGCGAACAGAACCGATACCCGCGCTGCGAGCGGTACCTGTTCCGATATCATTGACAAGACATGCATCGAAAAACTTACGGAGAAGGCAACGAAATCAGCCGGAGATGCTGATGGAAATTTTTGCACGGCGCTTGAGCAAGAATTGAAGAAGACTTCTTTCAATGAGTGCGATGGATTCGCGGGTAATGGTAGTGGGTTCGGGAACTTCACTGTCAAGTCGCTCGATGATCTCGATGCGCTTGAGAAATCCTCGCCCTGCTGGCCTATTCGGCCCGAGTCTGATCATTTGATGGAGATTGCGAGTGTTACTACTCTGGTAAGTGGAATTCTATTGAGACCTAACATAAACAGTCGTTAATATATACTCTGCAGAAAAACTACTCAATGCAAGCTCTCCTTGACGAGGCCTATAAGATTACCCCGGTCCTCACTGTTTTCACTGGGAAGGGGAACAGCAGCCTTGTCAATGAAACTGCTTCTCAGCTGACATGTCTGAAAGTCGTCACTATAGATGACCCTCCTGCCGATAGTGGTAAGAATTCTGCGGTGGCTGTCAAGGCAAGCGGGTTTGCTGCTGGCATTGCGGTACTAGTTGGGATCTTTGCATTGTTGTAGATATTATATTGGATGAACTGTTTCAAATAGCTAAATTGGAAAGCGTATTCAGTGATGTTACTAAGTAGATTAGTGTTGGAATATCCGGGCTCCGTATTTGGAATAAAATCGTGGTATACATACTCCCGAGGCCCGTACTGCCACATGCATATGTACAATGCAAGGGGAAGAACGCGAACGCGCCAATTTCACGCGACTGTACAAAAGGACTTTCTCTCCACCTCTACAGGATAAACCATTTACCTTGATCACTCTCAGAATCACTCTCAGATCAGTACAATATACAATAGGTCGACCTAGAGAAAACAAACCAAACACCGAACCCCCAAGACCAGCAGGCCCACTGACGCAACCGACTTCCGCATCCGAACTACGGATACGCCAACCATCAGCAACTCCAATAATCCATTTACGCCTACACGATGTTCATAACACAATCCCCCCAGACACCCTTCCGCCAAACCCACTACGCCCCAATCCACTCCTCCCCCCTCAGCAAGCATAACACAACACCACCCGCATGGACCATGTCTCCGACGCGCAACATCCACAAAAGCGCGTCGCAAAGCACAACTCCAAATCTATTCTCCAATCCCCCACCAGCCTTCAACATCCAAACTGAGCCAATCACCCGCCACACGCAGAACCACCACTCCCCAATCCCAATGCACTTCAACGCGTCCGCCTCAGCCTCAACAACACCAACCTCATCAAACCCATTCCTCATGCCCACGCAAACACCCACTTCACCCTCCTCGCCCACCCGCCAAAAGCCAAGATACGAAGCGCGTTACGCGTCAAAAATCGCGAACCCGCTTCAGGGCGCGGCGGGTCTGGCACGCTCGAAAACGCGTAAGATGTTTCTTAATCGTGTGCGCCATGAGCGTGACGACGGACGTTTTGAGGCGCGTGGCGAGCAGATGATGCACATGGAGTATATTGCTGATCGGAGGCGGTGGGAAGAGAGTATGGCGAGGGATGGGGAGGGAGTTGTTGGGGTTTTTGAGGGAGAAGTGGATGAGGATGATATGCTTCCTGGTATGTTTGTTCCTTTGGTCCTTTTGGGTTGGGTTGGTGGATATGTGGATTGGAGATTGGATGGACTCTGCACGGTGTGACGGAATTTGCTGACTTTGGGGATGAGTAGATGATGCCGATGTGCTTCACGAGTTTATCTCCCAAGAGGAAGCCATTGAAATGGCACTCCGGGAGACTCAGAGCGCAATTCCTGAGAGAGTTCACCATTTGCGGAATGATGGACCTGGTGTTCAGTTTAGTGATGATGAATACGATGATATATTCATGGGATTGTCAGATCCTCGGGTAACCCAGTCGGAATCTCAAGATATGGACATGTCTTGAGCAGGTTACCGCTACATATTTAGTGTTCATTTCTTTTTCATTTCCTTTTTTTGCGAGGCATTGCATTAGGTGGCGTTTATGGTTTGATTTAAATTGGGCGAGATGGAAATCCGGACATGTACATAAAGTAAACAAGGGTATATCAACGTGGGTTGGACATATGTACAATACAGAGACGGAGGATATATGAGTGACAAGGGAAATAAGTAAGTCTTAGCATCAAGGCCGTTTCTTCCTTTCGAGCTTCAATCATAAATTTTTCAAGATGATATCACTGCTGCGGGCAATCAGGCACTCCGCCAGCTCCACCCGCCATATCTCCCAGATCCTCCATGAGGGGATTCGAAACGAGTTCCTCGGGCGGGCTTCCAGCCGCTTGCATCTGGAGGCATAGTTAGTAAACAGAATTCAAAACAGGATCTCGATCCAAATGTAGAAGAAACAACTCACCTCCTGCATCCTCTCCCACACATACTCTCGACACTTAGAATCATCATCCGAGTACCCCTTCTCCTCGAACTTCGCCACAATCTGCTTAACAACGCGCGCTTGCGTCTCAAACCGCTCCATATCCTCAGCCGAAACCTTGCCACTGCCCTTATTCTTCTCAATCCACGGCCCGAACTTGATATCCAACTCCTTCATCGGATCATATAGCATCTCCTTGTTAGATAGCTGCTCCATCATGCCCATGAACATCTTCGACAGATCTCCATCTTCACCAGCACCCGATGCGCCCGCCTCAACAGCCTTAAGTAGTTGCGCCAGCATATCCTCAGAGATATCGTCTTCATTACTTGCCGCGGCAGTAGCTTTATCGCCGCTTTCTTTCATTCGGCCCATTGTGCGCTTGATGGCGTCGTTGAACGAGTCTGGTTGCTCTGCGCCTGCGCCTGCAGTCGCAGCTGTCTTGCCAGTGCCCTGAGTGCTAGGATCAGAGATACCGACCGCTGCTGCGGCTGCTGCGAGAGCCTCTGCTGAAGCTCCGGCTTCAGAACCGCCCTCCTCGGCCATTACATCAGCGAGGAGCTGTTTGAGGAAATCGCCTGGTGGGATCCCACTCTCTTCAAGCTGTTTTGCGAATACATCTGCACCTTGGTCGACTGTTGCTTGGAAGTTGGGGTCTAGGCCACTTCCGGCGCCCGCGCCTGATCCCATCATGTTCGCCATGTCTTGTTCGAGTTGCTTGAGGAAAGCATCTTCGTTGAAGTCTGGGGGTGCTACTCCTAATGAGGGATTGGGGTCGGTTGTAGTAGAGGGTGCCGCGAGTGGGGCAGGTTTGGGTTTATTGAAGTCGTCCAGGACGTCTGCAGATGTGAGTATTTGTGTATTATCCCGCGTAGCGGGGTGTGAGGGGAGGTGGGTATGTGGTACCATCTAGCTCATCGAAGTCTGAGTCTTCATCGTCATCTACGGGTCCTTTCTGCGATTGTGCTGATGCTGATACAGGTGCTGACGTTGGTGCTGATGTTGATGCTGGTGTGGTGTTGGTGTTTGGCGCGGGCTGAGATTCTTGTGTCGGCGCGGTCACAGTGGGAGCCTCTTCAGGGCGGTCCTCGGTAGATAAGGGAGTGGCCATACTGCGCAATTGTAATAAGGATGACTCTCAATTGAAAATACCTGGTCGGTGGCTTAATCGAGGTAAAGAGAAAGTCTGGAGATGAGGTTGACATGTGACCGGGTGTTTTGGCGGGGGAAATGCCGATCGCCGAGGGTTTACATTTTAGCCTAGGTCCCCATTCCTTTTTAGGGCAAAGGCCTTGCCGCTTTTTGCTTGGTAGAACATGTCCCTGCCCTGATATAGATATAAACCCTCAATGAAACCACAGTGACTCTCCAATCCCGTTTTCGCAAATCATCTTTGGTTGTGAAATCGACACGTGCTGCACAGAAATAATTGGACAAATTGATCGAAATTATTTGGAAGGGAAGATAAAACTAAATACATCTGAAAAACGTGCCTACAGTCCTTTTCCATTGTATGCACCGATATTGGGGCGCTTTGCCGATGACACCTTGTTGTTCCAGAAGTCTCGACCTCCGTTATTCTCTATTGGGTCACCGTGGAGCAAAGCAGGACTTCCACGGCTGAGTCGATAACCATCCACCGAATCAAGGCTGTCTTTCGCTGTGCCAGGATTGGTGAAAAGGGGATTTCCTTGAATTCCTGCTCCCTCATCGGGTATTTCAACCGTTTGGAAAATATTTTCATGCCACTCGATTGAGCTATCCTTCGGCAAAGTCGAGCCTGCGGTTCCCACCCAAATGTTGTTCGACAAGTTTGCATGAGGCGGGACTGCGATCTCGAACGCTTTGTTGGGACAGTAGATAACATTATTGTAGAATTCCATGTGGACATCCTCTCCGTTGCTGTACATCCGGCAATCGTTCTGGAAGACGTTATATCGAACAATTTGTGTCGCGCCGCCGGGGGTTCCGCAACCGTCACAGTTGAGGAAGATACCACCCGCGTTATCATGGCTATAGTTATACTCGACGGTACAAGTACCTTCATTGCCCCAATCACAATCAAACGCCTCACTGTCAATATCCGACATGAGCGAGTCATGAACCACATTGCGTCGCATCACTGCATCTTTGCATCCGAGAACCCAGATCCCAGCGAAGTTGCCGCCTGTGTATGGGTATTTTCCGTGACCGCAAAACCCGGCGATGTTGTTCTCAATCATAGGTGCTTCGCCGTAAGACACGACAACACCGTCACCACCGACATAGGAAATGTTGTTTCCGTAGACGTGGGTTCCAGGTCCCCGATTGTCCATCTGCCCGACGCGGACTTTGATACCACCGCCACCGCAGTCGAAGACTGTATTGTCGTATATCCGGACGTCGTCATAGCGGCTTGCATTCTCGGTGCCGTTCACGATAATCCCACCAGAGGCGATGAATGCATCGGACTGCGTGGCCTTGTTGGTCTCACCAGCTACATTATAAACGGTAATGTCGTGGATGGAGAGACCTTGGTGAACTGTCCCATCACTTGAAGTTGCAACGATACCGCGCCGCCAGGCAACTTCAGAGGCAGGATTGATAATTGCAATGTTGGAAACATCCCAATAATCCTGATTTGTTAAACTCACAGCCTCCGCTGCTCCAGCTCCATTGATGATAGGCAGAGGACCGTCTCCATAGCTGGTCAAGCTAATCGGGCGATGCTGATTGCCACTACCCTTTGGGGACAGGGTGCCTATGCATGTCGAGCCAGATTTGACAAATAAAGAGTCACCGGCTTTTAATACAGCTTGATTGACTTTTTGAATTGAGTTGAAAGGGTGTGCTTTGCTGCCATCACCTGTCGCGGTGCGACCACAGTCTAGGTAAATGTCACTTGCAATTGAGGGTTGGACCAGTGCTGCCAAAAGAACTATGGCACTGCCATATCGTAAAGCCCGAAGACCAGTCATGATGAAGAAGATAGTCAAGTAATGAACCCAGCTTGAAGTGGTCTCACATTCATTAATCATTAAATTCCCATTTAGCTCCGCATCTGATGATCACAACTATATCTGGATGCAAGGTCACAGTAGCTATCGCAACCCCACAGTGTATCTAGCCGGCTAGACATTTTACAATTAGGCCGGTATGTCTATTCTGCCGAGTTACAATGGCAGCTGTTATGTAGTGTTTGTTATCGGGCGAAGTCTTCCCCCGCACTCCCCAACACTACCTACAACATAGGTACTAAATACTACAATGTCGATCACTCAGCCCACGTTGCATCCAAAGACCTTGGAGGTAGTTCTGCAGAATGGCTGAAGATAGCAAAAATATATTTAATAAGGTAGAATTGATATTTCTGCCGAGATGTTAAGTAAAAGCCATAATTGCCCATCATGTTGTTCCGTACCACTATTCTATGCTTTACCGGTGCCATAGTCCCAAGCTATGGATTCACTATACCCACCGGCAGTGCTCCCTCGAAATGGGTCCATCCAGAAGCAATGATCAGTCAATCCCAGTTGGACTTCATCTGTGACAAAGTAAATAACAACGAACAGCCCTGGAAGAACGCCTACACTGCGATGCTCAGTGACATTGCCATCGCCAAGGATCTATACCCGCCTGCGATTATCCAATGCGGCCCTTACTCCGACCCCGATGTTGGATGTGATGCAGAACGTGAAGATTTAATCTCCGCATATGGAAATGCACTTGCATGGGCTATCAGTGGGACCCAGTCATATGCCCAGCAAGCCATCAAAATCATGGATACGTACTCGGCCACCGTCAAGGGTCATAATAACAGCAACGCGCCGCTACAGTCCGGCTGGGTTGGATCAATCTAGGCCAGAAATGGGGAGCTCATTCGCTATACAGATGCCGGATGGACTGAGACTGGCATTGGTCAATTCGAGTCCATGTTGCGCGACGTATACATGCCTTTGACTGTCGACGGCACAGACCACAATGTGGCTAACTGGGAGCTGGGTAAGAAGAATAATCATCTAAAATTGAAAAGTATGAGCTGATACCATGTTTTCAAGTCATGACCGAGGCCGCGATCATTATGGCAGTGTTCCTTGAAGATGCTACATCCTACAACGCCGCTATGGGATGGCACCTGAAGAGGGTCCCCGCTACAGTGTATATGAATAACGATGGGGAATACCCAGTCGCCGCCCGTGGCCAAAGCTCATCGCCAGATGGTATCATCGCGTGGTGGTTTGATGAAGACACGTTCCAGGAGGACGGTCAGGCACAAGAAACATGTCGGGATCTCGAGCACACTGGGTATTCTTTCGCATCTATGGCCCATGTGGCTGAGGCCGCTAGAATCCAGGGAACAGATCTCTATAAGACTGACTTGGGAACAAGACTGCAGAAAGGACTGGGGTTCCACTCTAATCTCGCCAACGGAGCAGCTGTGCCGTCGTGGCTGTGTGGTGGAAAGCTGAGTCTCACATTGGGTCCTATTACGGAAGTTGGTTATAATGCCCTTTCATTCAGGAACGGCGTTGATATGCCTCACACTGAAAAATTGACGATTAACCAGCGGCCTGCGAAAAATAATGGGTTGTTTGTAGCCTATGAAACCTTGACACACGCGGAGAACAACGCTTGAGAGATAACCGCAGAATAACAAATAACAGCCCTAGAGGCATTTTGCACAAATTATTGAAAGTAACTTGGTACTGGCATCACGACCGTAATACTAGTAATAATAATAATACGGTAGGTGCGCAAAAAACGCCGTGTTAGAGTGAGTGCCTGGAGGGCGTAGTATCTCAGTAGAAACCACAACGGAATTTTCAAAGTAAAGTCAGCTCTATTACAAATGATATTGGATGGCTAGCAGAATCTATCGAAATTTCCGCTCGTTCAAATAAGAAGCGCGTGAGTTACCTCTTAGGAATTTGCTGCATATATATCTGGGTATGGCTTCTAGGTATTGTTATCGCGCACATAAAAGTGCTAATTACAATTTATCACTAAGTATGTAGGGAGTACAAAATTGTCTTCATATTTATTAGTTCGGTACTATGTAGAGAGTTTCATACAGTGTTGGTCTTTATTTCTGCCAGAATATTCTGCCAAACTATATAACCTCTCAAATCAAACCTATGTCTAGCAATCTGTTCCCAAACTCCAAAAAGTAGTAGTCCGCATAAACAAGCCCATGATCCCAAGCTCGGTCCGCATGATCCCCATTGAAATTAGCAGTTGATCTTTCCAAGATCGCATCAAATCGGCGCCTATCTGCGCCTTCAACTTTCTCGACTCCAACCTTCAAGCTCTTTTCGTCGAGTTTCAAAGACAGACTGTCACGATTATACGCCAGTGCGATAGTATCCTTCACAATGGCCATCGCATACTCCAGGTATCGCCTCGCAGTCTCATGCTCCCCAATCCATAGAAGCTGTCCATACAGGATAACCATGCCGTTCGCAGCAGCCATCCCAGCAGAAACATCTCTTAATGGAGCCTGCGTCCCGTTAACAGTGGTGTATGTGATCGGGGCATCGAAATCCCAGAGCGGAACATGACGCCCGCAGCCTCCCTCTTCGACAATCTTGGGGGCAGTCTCCAAGCGATAGATGAAATAGTCCGCTAGACCCTTTGCAGCGTCTAAGAATTCCTGCTTTTTAGTCCAGGAATAAGTCTGCGCATAACCTAGGATCGCCCACGCTTGACCACGTGCCCAGGTTGACTCGTCGGCGTATCCTTGCGCCGTGAACTTCCTTTTGACTGTTCCTTTTTGTGGAGAAAAATTGACACCATGGTATGTTGAGTAAAGGCTCGCGTTGCTTGAAATTGGCTCTTTCCGAAGATGCGATGTCAGGAGAGTGGTAGCGTGCGTTGTCGCGATAGAAATAAGATGAGGGTTCCGCGTATAGTTGCCTGCGTAGAATAGAAGATCGAGATCTAAATGATTTTGTTAGCTCATGCATTAATATAGAGGCATGGACTGCTCCGTACTACACAAACTATCAATAATCACCAGAAAGTCATCTTCCAGGCTCACGAAGTTGTGATGCGCATTTGTGAAACTGTCCCAGCTCCGAATAGCCCCAATCTTCTCATCATATCTGCTAGCGAGACTATCGGCAGCATGTAGCAACACATTCAAGCTCTCTTGATTGCCAAACAGTTCCCAATCCCTCCGGAGCGCAGGTTGGACAATGAATCCAAGATCATGCGTGTCTGTCCGAGCAGACATCGGATACAATGGTGCGGACCATGTTCGGCAGAGATTAGTCAGGTGGGAAATAAGGCTGCGTTGAAAGGCTTTTGGATCGCTCGAGGTATTTGAGATATTGGAAATTGTCGTTCCCGGGTACTTTCGAAGTCGTTCGAGAAGGCAGTAGAGACTACCAGGGAAGAAACCACATGTCCAGAACTCCGCATCCCTGCATTGGTACTCTCCCCGAGTTGGGCCGGCTTGGGGAACTGTCTCTGGAAACTGAATTGGAGGATCCTGGATTATATTAGACGTGGGCAGAATAAAAGGGGAACAAGGTTATATGCTTCATACATTTTGATCCAAGAATAACTCAGCGGCACCGATGATTTTCGCGAGTGTGTTCTCGCTGAACAACGGAGATAGGCTTTCTCTTATGCGGTGGCTATTGATTATTTCGGTAGCTGTCATCCTTGCACTTTTCACCTCGACTTCTAGATCCCCGTTGCTGGGGGGTGAGCTAATGCTTTGCAGGGCCATGGCACCGATGGACACAGGTGTATAGAGAAGTTGAACCTATGGAAATAGATGCAATGTAGACCCGGTTAAGTACCAAACAATTTAGTAGTTTTAAACCCCAACAGGTTTTGCCCCCGAAAGGCAAGGCGACCACCAGGTATCATCGGCATAGCTCTCGGGTGGATCCCTCGCCCGATGCCCGAGCAAGTCGAGGAGTATTGTACGCGCACCATATTATCATTTCGGTACACCTTGAAAGGAAAATTATAGGATTTTGAGACATAAAGATCTGCACTATCTTATTTATCAATGCATAAAAGAGTCTTGGAAGCTAAGTATCCGATCCATGTCCACATATTGCGGGTCTAGCAAGAAACTCGGCAACGATTCAAATCCATGCAGACCATCTCCAAGTGACGGATTTGAATCTACCGTCGAAAATAATTCGTTAAACACCCTGTTTGTTCTAGGTTGTATTTGTTGGGATTGGTGGGCTAAGGCCGGGCGTGGTGGAATCCCTGGAGCGTGTGCGGATGAGCCATGCTCATTTAGTGCCCTCTCGCTGTGCATCGATCCAGATGATGGGGTATGCAACCTAGAGATTATCAAATCAACATGAAGTACAAAAGTTAGGAGGAGCCCCTTACGCATGAGAGAAAGGACTTTGATGATCGGAACCAGTCCGTCGGTTGTTGTCGGTGTAACGAGATTGCCTCGCGCCCACCGGTATGATACTGTGGCGCTGTCGTGCTCTATGTTCCCGGATCCATTGGCTATCGGCCGGGCTGGCGGTTGGTGGTTGGGCTCCCAGTGCGTAGTTAACCTCATCGATATAATCAGAGGCCGTAATACTGAAAGAAGTAGAACCCATCATTCCCTGTAGGGTCTGAAGTTGGATAGAGAGACCTTCGGCGAAATTCCTCGTTTCCGAGCTGAGCTTCAAACTTGGGTTCGTTGAGACCCAGCGGGTAGACATTTCTTGAAGACTGGATAGAAGGACATGATGTGCATCGGGAAGATCAGTGCGATGGATGTGCGAGTGTACTGAAAAACTAAGTGTCAGTGCTGAATCTAAGCAAACCAGGACTCAGAACCCCTCACTCATCATAACGCGGGCACTTATATATGTGCAGAACGTGAACTGCGAGTTCACCAAGCCCACAAATGGTGTATATTGTAGGTATTTCTGGACAGTGTTGGCGGTCTCTGAGGCAGCAAGTTGACAGGTTTCAGCACTCGCAGTACTTGCAGGCTTCAGTTTTTCGAGAATGTTGGCACGTGGATACGCGATGCATTGATGCAGTAGAATCATGGATGTATTATGAGTGATGTGAGCAAGGGTTAGATTGGGATCCATGTGAACAAATGCCGGCTCTCTGGAAATATTGGAGTCCTTCCACCTTCGAGGCAAAAACATTTTCCAGCTAAAAGATGTTAGTGATTAGAGTACTCAAAGAATTTCAAGCCTTATGTGAGACACACTGAATCAGTTGGAGATCTAGCTCCTTGAAGCGCGTCAACCACGCATTGAATTCTTGTCTGCTTTGAAAATTGACAGATCGTTGAAGGAAGAATTTAACGACGCGATTGAGACACTCAGTGGCTTCCACACAATAGGCAAAGGATCCAATAGTCGACACATCTACTGATCGATTTTCCGGCGCTCGACTAATAGGAGAAGCACGCTCGGATGTTGGCACCGTGTCTGTGGTTTCCTTCTCTTTATCTGCAAGAGAAATAAAGTGACTGGGCAGGAAGGACACAGATTTGCCTATATTTCCCAAAGATGCCTCCCAAATGTGAAAGAACGGAGTGGTCACTGGTTCCTCTTTGACCCAGTACAGTCCATCGCTGGGTAGTCGCACTTGAACGTCTTCGCTGGATAAGTTTGTATTCCATCTTTTCTCAGGAATATAGTTAGACAGGTAAGTCCCAAAAGACTATATAGCTTACATACCCTGTGACCGTCGAGCAAAATCTTTAGACTAGTTAGACCCCATGATTGCTGATTGAAGACAGGTGACAGGTGTGCATACCGATCAAGTAAAAACACATTCCAAAATACCCGCCGTCTTTCCTCTGTTTCCGTCCACACCTGAGCAGGTGGCAGGCAGAAGTGTGGTCTGAGGGCAGCTTCACCCGTGTCAGTCTCTTCCGGCTCGGTGTGAAGACCCAGATACACAACTGCCCGTGTGAGTGTCCCAACAACAGGCCAGGCCTTGCTTGCATTCCCATCACCGATGTGCACAAAGGCAACGATGATGAGTGCTTGGAGGTTCTCTACAGATAGTCCATCCATCCCTGATAGAACTACGAACTCTCGAGACCTTTGCAAAGCATCCGGGTATAATTCAAGCCACTCTCCTGCCAATCGCTCATTTGCGACATATCGCAGGGCACAAACCATCATGGCATGGAGTACAACTGTGAGTTTAGGTCTCTCTGTTGGGTCTTGTAATCGAGAACGAAAGAGCGTTTCGTGAATTATCGGAATAAATGGATGAGCTACAGAGAAGTAAGCATCGAGGATGTCGCTGACCAGATTATCTGGAGGGAGCTGGGCCGATGAAGTGCTGCGCGCTTGAGTGGTAGTGTCTGGACAATGTCTCTTGTTTGAGGACTGGCCATTTGACGCTGCTATGGGTGAGTTTCGTGGTGGAAGATGGTCGTCAACCTCCACTCCATGGGTTGTGGAGGGCTGTTGAGGCTGGTTTGTGGTTGAACGCTTCTCCCACCATTCCTCTATCAAGGAGAAGACAATGCCTCGAATAGCATTTCCGTCGCGCCCCACATTGAGGCTCAAAGCACCGGCGTTTATTTGTTGCTGAGCCCTAGCAGCTTCGAGTTCGGTCTCCAGTGATTCTAGTATAGCATTGGCTAGATGAACATTTGGTGCCAGTACTGATTTCCAGGTATTGACGCACCCACTCGTTGTGTCAATGTCTGGATGATGCCGATTTTCACCCCTGGTTTGTTCCGCGTATAATCATACGAACAATCCGCTCCTATCTGCGGGTAAGCGTCAATTCTGGTTAAGTCCAAGGAGTGGAGACTTGCCTAGACGGCTGCAGCGGCTGCACGACGGAAGCTCTCTCGAGCAACGCAGCTTTCGGGTTCGGCATGACTGACATGCAGGGGTTTCTGACTCTGTTTGCTGCACCGAGCTATCTCGGGCGTTTGAAGCGTCCATGATGATAAGCAAAGCTGAAGCTTTGGGGCAGCGGGGGAAATAACGCCAAACAACCGTGCCCTGGGGAAACCTGGGAGATTGCGGAGAAATAGTCCAAGCGATGTCAGTCTGTTATCGGACGAAAGAACCCCCCGATCCCACCATCACCACATAGGTATAGCTAGAATGAATGATTTATTATGATAACCCCCTCTTTGGGGCTATTCACCGTGTTTCCCATTTGCTTTGACCTTTTAAACAATTCAGACCAAACCTATTCTCGAAATACAAGAAGTTGGTACGGTAGATCAAAATATATCCTTACAACAATGCCGCCGCTTCGGGGATTCTCCGACAACAACTTTGGCGACAGGAACGATGCACTCCTTGCAACCAATGCTCTGATCGGTTCACTTGAATCCTATTTTTCGCCAGGAAATGCTCGGGTCCAACTACCAGTTTGCTCTGGTGCGCATTTTGACGAAACAGCTGCCCAGCTTGAAGGATTCGCGCGGCCAATCTGGGCAGTAGCAGCAGTTGCAAAATCTTCGGATCTACCGGATTCGAAAGTATCGGCCTATATCCACCGTCTCGTAGAAGGAATCGCTAATGGAGTCAATCCCGACCATCCCGAGTACTGGGGCACGATCGGAGACTGGGATCAACGCATGGTTGAAGCTGAGCCAATTTCGTTTGCGTTACTGATAGCGCCAAAGACTTTCTACGAGCCGTTGTCCGAGCAAGGTCGCTCCCATCTTGTTCAATGGCTGTCGGGTCTCAATGGCAAACTGATGCCCCCCAACAATTGGCGCTGGTTCCGCATATTTTCGAATCTTGCTCTTAGTCGAGTATGCGGCGTGCCTTACGACGACGTTGAAGAACACATCGAAGCCGACTTTGTCGTGCTTGACCAATTTGAGCTAGGAGATGGCTGGTCGGGTGATGGAATCTGGAGAAAGGATGGAATTCCCAATCAAGAGTTCCACGGTCGCCAGGCGGACTATTACTCGGGAAGTTTCGCTATTCAGTTCAGTCAATTGCTTTACTGTATAATCGCCGACGATTCCGATCCCAGTCGTGTCTCGCGGTATCGTCAACATGCAAAGGACTTTGCCTCTCAGTTCTGGCGGTTCTTCGATGAGGATGGCGCTGCCATTCCCTTTGGCCGCTCGCTGACGTATCGATTTGCAATGGGCGCGTTCTACGCTGCCTTTGCTCTTGCTAAATGTTACGATCCGTCAAACCGATATACATCTGCAGGTTTTGTCAAGGGAATGCTACTGCGACATCTCCGGTGGTGGGCAGAGCATTCCTCTAATATGTTTGCTGCAGATGGAACATTGACCATCGGATATCTATATCCAAACATGTTCATGTGCGAAGATTACAATTCACCCCAGTCGCCCTACTGGGCCATGAAGATATTTGTGGTTTTAGCACTAGAAGCAAGCGACGAATTCTGGACCGCAGATGAAATTCCGCATCCGCTTTCCACAGCACCGGATGACTCTTCATCTGTGGGTGTGGAGTTGTTGCCAGCGCCGTCTCAGATCCTCTGTAATCACCCTCGCGGCCAGCACCACTTTATGCTTTCTAGTGGCCAGTTCTGTGTTTGGCCTCTGAAGGCCGCGGAGGCCAAGTACAGCAAGTTTGCGTATTCCTCGGCATTCGCTTTCAGTGTCCCGACAGGTGGCTTATTAACTCAGCTTGCGCCAGACAGCACGCTCGCTATCAGTCGAGACGATGGACAGACATGGGCCACGCGATGGGAGACAATTGGCCTTCCGCTGATCAAATTACTTTCAATTCACGGAATGGAGATAAAATGCCTGCAAAGCGTCTGGAGACCATGGAAAGCCGGCGACATTGAAATCACTACTACATTGGTTCCACCTTGCGACGAGTGGCCAGATTGGCATGTTAGAATCCATCGCATTAGATGTTACAAACAGGGCCCTCTGCATTCCGAGCACCTCAGACTCGTCGAAGGGGCCTTTGCTATCGAAGCAAAACAGCCACGGCTCATGTCCCAATTGGATGAAGATTTGACTGTCTCTTCCCAGTATGGAGGAACACTTGAGACAGCTAATAGTTCGATGATTATTGGCAGTGCCGGAGTGAGTGGTTTGAAGGATCTCACTGCATCTGGTGGAATCGAGGGCAAAATCTTGAAATCAGATTCCAACACCAATTTGATGGAACCGAGGGCTTTGATCCCTACTCTTCAACGTGACAAACTTGAAGTGTATCTGGATAAAGAGGTGGTGGTAGTTACAGGAGTGTTTGCTATCGCCAATGGAAAGAAGGGGCTCTCCCGCGAGGAGCTGGTCCGGAGATGGTCTCAGCAGCCTCATCTGACTGAAAGCATTTTGAATGAATTAAAGTGAAGCAGCAAACCGATAAATTTAGATATACACAATGCTTTGGGTTCTTAAAATCCAGTGTTAACTATTCATTTCTTTATTTTCAATTTTGTATCGACTCTTGGGTTTTAGACTAATTTGAACAAACTCGAGGGTCACACATCAACTTCCAATCTTAGGGTTTGCCAGTTTTCAAGTGCATTGGCTCTATCTCACTTGATCTAACTCGGCAATTATTAGAACAATTATTGGGGCAGCCTTACTTGCCGCAGGCGGATAGACCTCTGCTCCTCACTTGGATCGATCTTCCTTCTTCTCACTAGTCATTAGCTCAATCAACACAAGATTTCTTTCCCACCTTGCCTTCTCGATAAAGTTCAATTGTGGGATACCCAGGCCTCGGAAGGATGCTTTGCCCGAGCGACGGAGGATTCCCCGCCCGAAGATGCTAGCGTTAGGGTTGACTGTGGCTGTCAATCGTGGCTATAGGCCAACCTTGTGATGAAGCAACGCTGCAATGCAATGGAATTACCCCGGATTAAATCGTTCGCTAGAAAGTCAGATGGGATAAATAGTCGATGTCTGTGGCTTTTCCGGGGTAGAGGTTGCTGATCGGCCTCATCGACAATTGACTATCTTTTCTGGACAATTATTGAGCAGAAAATATGGACTATCCTCAGTCGCACGATGACAAGCTAGTAGTCTCCAAGATCTCACTGGAGAAGACCTCTAGTCATAAAGGGATTCCCAGTCGGGAAGGCTTGATTGAGGCTCTCAAAGCTCAGAAACCAGATCCATGGGCGCCCAATCTGAGGAAATTATATGGCTTTTGTCTGATTGCTTTTCTTTGCTCGACGATGAATGGTGAGTATTCTATCATCTAGATACTGTTTACTAGAATATCCAACTGATCCTTTCCTAGGTTATGACGGATCTATCTTCGGATCCCTTCCCGCTCTTGACTCTTTCCGTGACCAGTTTGGAGTCGAGAAGAACGGTGCAAAGATCGGATATATTTCAGCCATGTACACAGTTGGAGCGATTTGCTCCTTGCCATTCAGCGGACCTGCATGCGATATCCGCGGCCGCAGATGGGGCACGTTTCTCGGCTGTATTATTGTCGTCGCTTCTACATTTGTCTCCGCCCTCTCGCACCGCGTTCCGCAGTTCGTGGCCGGTCGATTCTTCCTTGGCTTCGGAGTCAACATTGTTCGGTCAACCAGCTCCGTCTGGTGTGCTGAGGTCTGTCCGCCTGCCTATCGTGGAATCATCATGGCATTCTACAACTGCACGTACGCGGTTGGCTCACTTGTCGCCGCGGGAGTCACAAGAGCATCGGCCGGATACGCCGGTAACAAAGCGTGGCAGGTTCCTCTGTGGTGTCAAATGATCTGTCCCGGGATTGTCTTGCTGGGTGTGCTTTTCTTCCCCGAGTCGCCTCGCTGGCTGTTCTCCCATAGCCAAGAAGATAAAGCCTTGGAGTTCTTGTCGTATTACCACGGCGAGGGAAACCCGGACCATCCGCTCGTCCAATTGCAATTACAGGAGTATAGAGAGTTTATCTCGCTTTCTGGCTCTGACAAGCGCTGGTGGGACTTTAGTGATTTCTACAAGAACAAAGCCGGACGATGGCGGTTCTGGAATGCATTGATTGTTGGAATCTGGGGTCAGTGCTCAGGCAATGCAGTCGTCACGTATTACCTCCCTGCAATGCTCATCACCACCGGCATCACCGACTCAGAGCAGGTATTGAATGTCAATCTGGGTTATACCGTTGTCTCAACCGTGGCCTCTTATATCGGTGCCAGCCAGATCGAACGAATGGGCCGTCGCCCGACGATTATCTGGACTGCGGTTGCCTGTTCGATCTGCTTCGCCTGTATCACAACGGGCTCGGGGATCTTCGCCAATACGCAAGCGCAGCCAGCAGCCACTGCAGGCATCGCATTTATCTTCATTTTTGGGTTCTGCTATAACTTTGGAATGACCCCATTGCAGGCATTGTATCCGGTTGAGGCTCTTTCCTATGAAACACGAGGCAAGGGTGTTGGGTTCACATTCTCGATTGCACATTTATTCACCTTGCTCAATCAGTTCTGCTTCCCTATCGCTTTACAAAAGATTGGCTGGTATACGTATATTGTTTTCATTATTTGGGATCTGTTTGAAGCTACGGTGAGTTATTTTGTGTCGGTTGAAACTAAAAATCACACCTTGGAGGAGCTTTCGGAGATCTTTGATAGTCCTAATCCGGTCAAAGCGTCCGTTCAAAGGCCAGTTTCTACGGGGTCTGGGTAAATTGACTGTTTATAATTTGTTGGGTGTATATATTTTGTTGAGTTAGGCGAGGTACTTTATCAAGAACAATTTCTAGAACAGCCAGGTTCATGAACTTTTATTCGGCTTGACTGACGTTTTTCTTGCTTGTCAGTCCATGCTAAATTGGTACAGTTTCTAACCTATTCAAGGGATAATTAAGGAGACGTTTCCAAGGTTCCCACCTGGGCAAGGAGGTGAGTAATCCAGATATCATGTGATCCTCACTAAGCCCGAACAGGACGTTCCGTTGGAAATTTTCCTCAGAGACGCTTGGCGCCAATATTCATTCAAGTCCCTAAAATAGGCAAAGCTCCATCTGGCTGAGGAAGCCCCTTAGATTTACTGTTACTATAATAATGCGGTACTACTCCGTACATATTTAATATAAGGGTTACAACTTGAAGTAATATTTTAGTATTTTGGTATATTATATGATATATATATATATATCTATATTTTTTTGTTTTAACTTGGAGAGCTGAAAATAAAAAGGTATGCTTATGTGGCGATTAAGTACCTTTTGTATGGAGTTTCAATACAAAAGATACATAATTTACACTCGGTGAGAATATATGCCAGTGGAGTAGGTGGGCAGATAGAATGGGCAGGTTAGTCGTGGCACGATCAAGGACACTCTACAGACTCCACAGCCCATGAGATCATATAATTCCTTGGCAAAGCCCCCGCATAAGAATCTCAACCAGGTTGTTCCATGCGAGGGAACAAAAAAAATCTGCAATGCATTCCTACCAAGTCCGGGGAAGGGGGCGTCATTCTATCGGGTCTCGGGAACCAATAGAGGGTGGCGCGTGATTCGCTTCCAGGTGCCCCAATGGGTCATGGCTATAGGGTCATGTGGCATTTTCAACGGAGGGCGCCGAAGATCTAACTTGTACTTTTTATATATGGTCTCCTAGGGCCGGTATCGGCTATACTCTTTGAACAGGGTTCTCCGCGGACAACTATTTCAGCTCTGCAGTTTACATATGTTGTATGTTATGTACATATATGTAAGTACTTAGAAGGTTGTTTCTCCTAACATTACCTTGAAACAGATAAAATCCACATAGTGGGGGGTCTAATAGAATAAGGCCATTCAAACTAAACGTGGGACTCTGTGAGAAAAAGCCCCAAAAGGGAGCTAAAAGAGAACGGAAAAAAAAAAAAAAAAAAAAAAAAGTCAAAGAGTTCTCAGGTACGCGAGCCCCTCCTGACTTTTTTTTTTTTTTTTAGTCAATTGCTTTACAAGTTTTTTTTTCTTTTATCTGACTCTTTCTTTCTCATAATTTCCGTTTTCTTTTATGTCACAACTTTGAGAGATCTCCAAACCTCGCACGTCCCTTTATCTTTAGCCGCGCGTGTGTTCTCTATTTTACCCTTTTTATCCTGATCTTTTTTTATATTTTTTTTTTTCCTTTTTTTTTTCTGCCGGCCAACAGGTCCGGCAACGCGGGGAAAACTGGCTGTGTCTGTTCCGTGTGCGGAGGGCCGCCTACAGGCTTGAATAGATTATATAATGGTCTCTATGGTGGACCATAATGATATGGCCATGGACTCAATCGTGCCTAAACATGAACCTGGACCTGATGGTTCCATCAGTTCAACTGTGTCGACACCCGATCCAGAAGCTGAACCCTTGACTCAAGACGCCGCGCAGACACAAAAGAGGAAGGGAGGCAGAAAACCTGTACGTAAACATCATTTCAAATCTGGGGCCCCGCATTCCTGTCACGTCTTCGATATCGTTATCTTGATTCTATACTAACCAGCTTGAAAGATATACGCCACCTCTGAAGAGAGAAAGCAACGCAACAGGCAGGCCCAGGCGGCCTTCCGAGAACGAAGGACGGAGTATATCCGCCAGCTAGAGACCACCATCAAACGCAATGAAGAATCCCTGCAGAGTTTGCAGCAGAGTCACCGCAGTGCCGCTGACGAATGTCTAATGCTCCGATATAAAAACTCCCTGTTGGAGCGGATCCTCCTTGAAAAAGGTAAAAAAAAAAAAGCCCCTCCAGCCCAAATCTCAATCTCAACATCTCAGCTAACCCCTCCCCCCACTAGGTATCGATGTACAGGCTGAACTACGCCTGAAAACTGGGGCGCCGGGCGCTCCTCCCAAGGCAAACCCTATGCCCCCAAAGGCAGCCCCCAGCGGGGCAGGGGTCCGCCCAAACCAACGACACCCCACCGGCATCGCCTCGAAGCCCGAGGCATTCGGCATGTCACAGCGGGAAGGCGTATACGGCATCCCATCGCCACAGTTTCAAGCAACCCCTACCTCCCACGTCTCCTCGCCCTCGCACGCGAAGTCCCCCGGCTTCGGTTTCCAGGGCGCCATGTCACCCGTCGAGGGACGGCCCCAACTCCTCCCGCAACCTCGGACTTTCAGTCAGACTTCGCCGCCGGCAATCAGCATGCCACAGACCGATCCATCAGACTCCAAGCCCCAATCCCGTGGTGCGGGAATGGGACCTCGCGGTGCGCGGGTCGCAGCGGCTGCTTACTATCCTTCTCCATTCCAGAAACATTACGATCAACTTGGTAAGCCTGTCTTTTTTTTAAACTTTATTTAGTTCTTCCCCCAGCTGACCTCCCAAGCAGAACAAGAGTACGATGCCCAGGCCGATATGGTTGACGAAGATCACGATGGCTCATCTTATGTCCCTGGATTCACCCCGCAGTCCGTCGCCTCGGGCTCCCACAATATGTCCGGTTTCAACCAACAACCGGGCGATGGCACGCCCACCGATTTCGGAAATACAAACCAGCTCCTCGGTCAGTATGAACCGATGCTGGATACAGATCCGTTCGGGTTAAGTGCTAGCATGCACTTCCCTACCCCGTTCAACTACGAGCACAACTCGAGGCAATGAACGGGATTCTAAAATGTGTCTACTGCATCTTTTCTTCTTCTTCTTCTTCTTTCTTTCTTATTCTTATTCTATTGTTTTATATTCATATATCTGTCCATCTTATGTGGCAAATGATCATTTCTTCCTAAAAGTTTGATATGAGCATTTCCTGGCGTTGCGAGGTTTTGATACCAATGTTCTCTTCTGCTTTTCTTCAAAGTATATTTATATTACATCTTGTATATGAACCGAATCTTCCTATTACATCTATTAGCAAATTTAACCTGCGTCTGCATACATTTCACCTACTGAGCTCTATCCTAGAATTAGTGATATTTGTATACTTATATTCCCAACAACGGGCAGGATTTGAAGAATATTATCTGGGTGAGATGTGGTATTTATTGCGTTCTAGATTGATTTTTTTTTAGCCCTCTGAGAAGTCGATTTATTGTAGATCAAGATTCAGATTGAGATTTGGATCAGAGTTATCAGTGCTGTGTTTGCTATTGCATATGAAACCATGATTGTAGTACACTTGGTGTCTCCGTTGATGCCATGAACATTTCCAGCATTGCTGCTGCGGTTTATAGTCACGGTCTTTGGGATTAATAGGAGTGAAGTTTGATGTTGAGGTTTGGGTGTACTAGTGTGCAGGTTCGAAACCAATATAGTCGAGCATGACTCTCTGGATTGAGTATAATTGTAAGCAATTGTAAGCAACGCTGTAATCATGCCGACGGTCCAACACTGTAAAGATGCTGGGCATTCGGCATGATTACTATACAATATACGTATTTCTGGCAATGGGGCCAAATCTCATCGCACTTGGTTGGTTGTCCTTACATTTGCGGGGGTGGCTGTTTGGGGGCGATTGATCTAGCTTCATTCTCCTCCTTGTATCAGATGCTACGTATGTAGGTTGCAAAACATAGGTGCGAGAAATGGGATAACTAACTGTCAGTTAATGTTTAACTCTGTGGGCGAAATCCCGATGTGATCTTATGAGCTGAGAGCCGCAATCGAGATATCCCATCGCATTTCACCTCTAAATTTATTACACGCTGCTGCTTGTAGACAAGCCAAGGGAATGTCGATAAGATTAATATGGAGTTAAGAAATAGCTAATATGGAGTTAGGCAAAAGTCATGTCCGGGATTGGACAGGGTTGTTTAGTTCCTCGATGGCTCGATCTATAAAGGATCGCGACCTCACGTTCTGTATAACATTCACCGCACATCTTCAATTACATACTTCAAGAGATTTCGCGACTCCGCGGGCTTTACCTTCTACACTCCACATTTCATCAACCCTCCTCAACAGAACCATTCTCACCATGCACGTCTTCGTTACTGGCGCCACCGGCTTCATCGGCAGGGCAGTTGTAGACGAGCTCATAGCTGCCGGCCACACAGTCACAGGCCTAGCCCGCTCCGACGCAGCCGCCGCTGCCCTGACAGCGAAGGGCGTCAAAGTACTCCGCGGTTCCTTCCGAGACCTGGAGATCATCAAGCAAGGAGCACGCGAGGCCGACGGCGTGATCAACCTTGCATTCGACCACGACTTCAGCAAGTATGTGCAGAGCTGCGCCGAGGAGAAAGAAACCATTGAAGCTTTAGGCTCAGCCTTGGTTGGAACCAAAAAGCCTTTGGTCATTACTGCCGGCACTTTGGGGCTCTCTAGGAGTAAGCTCAGCACCGAGGACGAACCCGTTGATTACGACCAAGCAATGAGCACCCGCGCTCGGAATGAAAAGGTCGCTACCAGCCTTGCTGAGCAAAACGTGCGTGCTTGTGTCATCCGTGCGCCGCCTACTGTACACAGCGAGGAGGATCATGGGTTCGTCTATATGCTTGCTGCTCTGGCGCATTCGCAGGGTAATGCTTTCTACGTCGACGAGGGGCTGAATCGCTGGCCTGCTATTCATCGTCATGACGCTGCCCGGCTCTACCGACTTGTTCTGGAGAATGGTATTGCCGGAAGCATTTACCATGCTGTGGGCGAGGAGGGTGTCCCGATGAAAGATATTGCTGAAGCTATTGGTGAAAACCTAGGTATCCCTGCAGTCTCCAAGACTATAGAAGAAGCGGGGAAGCTTGACAGCTTTATGTCTGTGGTTATGAGCATTGATAACCCGACTTCAAGCAAGAAGACCCAGGAACTCTTTGGCTGGGAGCCAGTTGGTTGCACGATTTTGGATGATATCAAGGCTGGTGTTTATGCCCAGAAGTGAGGGGCATGGTTCATAGTTTTGTATATAATTTCGGAGCATATTTCGGGACCGGAATGCATATCCAAGGGAGAGAGAATGGCCAATGCAATTTGCTAGCTAGATGCAGCAATCCCCACCTGCACAGCTATCTAAATCTAAACATACCCATCATATTTGTGCCATGGATAGCTCCATGATTACATAGCTCAACTGCAAGGCCACAATAAAAGTACACAGATCTAGTCCACAGTCAGATCGGCATACTCCACCGGGATTATGTCAATTCTATATAAGCTAATCGATGGACCACCATATAGAGATATGCAATAAGACCATACACTCACAAGGGTGGATATGAAATATAATGCGTCTAGCGAATAAACCCTGCAAGTATGAAGAAAAGTATACTCCCCAGAACAGTCCTTGACGTAATGATTACCTAAGGTACCCTAAGCCCTAGACTGCGGGCAACCAATCATCAACGGCGGGCATATTCGCTTAGGAGCAGAAGCCGCCTTTCCTGATTAGTCACCTTACACCCTGCAACCACAAACCGTGGACCTCTCTTCACCCTGATCATTCATCATCATCAAATTGACAGGCCGGATTCCCTTGGGTTCTGCCTTGTGCCCCGTTAACTCCTCTAGACCGATTGTCTAAAGTTGAGCGCCTCCCCCGGAAGGTCTCCGAAACACAACAGGCGTCATGGCGGAGTCCGTCCGGTCGAAGGTACGCTGAAATTGGAGCTCTCCCGCGCGCTGCTAGCGACGCAATGCCGAATAGAATCGCGATTTGGAAGCGATTCGAGGAATTCGAGGAATTCTTTTTATTTTTTTAAATGTTCAATAACTAATTCGAATTGTTTTGTCTTTTATAGAACCTCTACGAGCTTCTGGGTAAATTTCCCCTCCCTTGAATCCAATTTCTCGGCTATCTTTTCCGACGACAATGAAGCTGTATTCTATTCAGAAGAATACAGCTCCATTCGAATCCATTCTTCGGTCGAATTGATCGCTAACGTTACCTATCATCAGGTAACGACCCAGAGCTCGACCCCAGCAGACCCGCTCCTCCTCCCACGAAGGCTGTCGACCGTCCCGCCGACCGCTCCGGAAAGCGTGATACCCCCAAGGAGCCCTCTGCTCGTCACACCGAGGCCAACGCTCGCCGCGGTAACCGTTCCACCGCTGGCAACGAGGCCGGTATGTGTTCATGAAGACTCGGTTTTGACGGAATCATCGGAGACTAATGAATTGGGTAGCTTTCCGTGACCGCAACGCTGGCCGTACCCACAACCGTGAGAAGCCCACCGATGAGGCTGCTCCCCCTGCCCGCCGTGGTGGCCGTGGCAACCGCGGTGACCGCCAGTCCCGCACTGGTCAGACGTAAGCGATTCCCTCGAAATGAACGAATAAAACCCCCCGCGAGAAGAATCATGTGAAAACCATGAGAGATTTCGTTTGAGGGGGGGGGGGGAAATATACAAAATTCGAAATGACACGAAACTAACCTGGTTTTTTTTCGATATTACAGCGACACCCGCAAGCAGGTCCAGCAGGGCTGGGGTGCCGAGAGCGGCGAGAAGACCCTAGACGATGAGCGCCAGGGCGAGAAGATCGCCAAGAAGGAGGAGAACGAGCCCCAGACTCCCGTCGAGCCCGAGGAGCAGGAGGAGCCCGATAACTCCAAGTCCTTCGCCGACTACCTTGCCGAGAAGGCCCAGCGCGAGACCCTCGCCGCCAAGCCCGAGCGCACCGCCAACGAGGGCGCCAAGCTCGACAAGAAGTGGGCTGCCGCCAAGGAGCTCGCCAAGCAGGAGGAAGCCGCCTACATCCAGCCTTCCCACGAGAAGACCAAGCGCGAGAAGCAGCGCAAGGAGAAGAACTTCCTTGACGTTGACCTCCGCTACGTCGAGCCTCCCCGCAGCGGCCCCGCCCCCCGCGGCCGTGGTGACCGTGCCCCCCGCGGTGACCGCCCCGCCCGTGGTGGTGAGCGCAGCGAGCGTGGCCGTGGTGCCCCCCGTGGCGACCGCGCCCCCCGTGGTGACCGCCCTGCCCGTGGTGGTGCTGCCCCCGCTGCCCGCGGTGGTGCTCCCCGCGCCAACGCCCGTGGCCCTGCCGGCCCTACCGTCGACGAGAAGAACTTCCCCAGCCTCGGCGGCAACTAAATTGCCTGACCTTGTCGGGAACTCGTGCTCCCAGATGCGGATATCCTTTATATTCCCGGCTCTTCCATCCCTTTTCTCCATCTACTAGGTGTGCAAGTTCACCCGGAGGTGGTATTTAGTGTGTCGCTTCATCTGTGATGGTTTTTATTTTCTCTTTAAAAATGGAGATTGGGGTTGAGGGGGGCCTGGGATGTGGGGGATTATCTCGTGCTCTGCTGGATGCAAAAACTGCCCAGTTTTAAGTTTTTTTCTTTTTATCTTGGGAAAAGACAAATTTCCGGGTTGGTCTTATATGTGTTGTGTGTGTGTTTACATTTGCCTTCGGTGAGCAAACGCGAATTGGATGACTGAATTCAATGGGCCCATGTAATTTGAAATCGATCCAGAAGAAGTCAACAAAAAAATAGGAACGCAAAGAAATCTTCAATTGAATTACGGGACATGTCTGCTTCTTCTATCCTTTAGATAATGAGTAACTGATAGATCTATTTACTACCTAGGTAGTAGGGTTGTGCTTCCACAGGCAGATGTACTTTGTTGATTTATACGACGGGCTTGAACAGCAATAGACCAAAATGGGGTTCGTATATAACCTCGGATTTGCCCAAGGTGCTATGGATGAGTATGGACTTAACCTTACCTAGGTATGTACTACTAATGATAACATAGCCAAAGTTACACAATTCTGGCCCGGGGTATGAATGCAAAGAAAATGAGAGACGACAACAGATCCACTGTTCCAAAGCCTCTCCATCTATGACCCCTCGCTGTGACAAAGTCTAAGCTTCTACAGCTCTCCCTCACCATATCGGTTCCACCCCGGCATTGTGAATTCTTTCGCTGCAGACTCCGCACTCTGGGTCCAAGCCGCCAAGGTCTCCTGGTCGACATCCTCGAGGAAAGACAGGCCAGACATGGCCTTTCCACCACAGGCACGCTCCAACGCAAGGAAAGCAAAATGGCCACCAATGACAGGCCGGGCGAAGAAGTTCGGGCCAGGGAAGCCCCCGTCACCCTCCGTGTTGTGCAGGTCCGTGAATGGACGATCAGTGTTGGTCTCATTGACCCAGCGGGCGACAGACTCGAGGACCTCTGTACGCACGGCCTTGGAGGCGACAGCCATTGAGAAGAACTCCCAGTCGGTCTTGGTATACAGGTGGCGGCTGTCGAGGGGCAGGCCGTACTTCTGACGTACATAGTGATACCAGACAGACTGCTTCTGGTAGATGTGGCGTGGAACAAAGCCAGGCGAATCAGAATCGGTGTCCTCTAAGTGGAAGCAGAGCTGGGCGTCGGCATAGAGGTTGTAGAGCGTTGTCCAAGAGCCATACCAGTCGTAGGCAAGCTTAGCATGGGAACCATCTCGAGACATGCCAAACTCCTCCCATTTGGTAATGTAGTTTCTAGCAACTTTCTGTGGGTGTAGTTAGTCAATCTGTCAGGAAACACAGATAAAAGATGGCTCATACCTTGAAATAAGCAGCGTCGGCATCGTGGCCAGCTACCTCGGCGATCTTGCTCATGGCGTTGATACCCACAATTCCCTTGAGAGCCAGATTGGTCTGAAGAGCCAGCCAGCCAGCAAAGTCATCAGTAGAAACTGTCCTCAAAATTAGCTTAGATAAATACGCCATCGCAAACGACAGAGAAATTGTTCTTACGTTGGTTGGCAGGCTCAAGAGAGAATTCCACCAGATATCCCGTCCACTGTTTCCAAAGACTATAGCTTCGCTTCACCCATTTCTCAGCCTGGTGCTGGCCCATACTACCGCCACCCCATTTGTTATCTTGGTGAGCAATTCCGGAGAGTACCTGTAGATTATCAAGAGGGAACAGTCCAGAAGTTTCACTTTCAGAGCTTGACGAGGGCAATCCCTGTGTCGACCAGATGGACGAGGCCGCGGTCGAGTCTTCATAGCGAAGAGAGTTCACGATAGCCAACCCCATGATGAGGATGTTACCACACTCTTCAACCGGCATATACTCATCCCTCCCATCGGGGTGTCCAGTGGCATTGGGGAAGTGGGTACCCAAATCGTGCATCGCATACTTATTGGGGTATTGCCCGCTCAGCATGTGCTCGATCAGCGGCTCCAAAAGGTACGCCAACCACCGGGGATTCGTGTACATGAAGAAGGGGAACGCGGGGAAAATGACATCGATAGTTTGGAAGTTGCCATTTGAAGAGATCTCCTTTAGGAACAGGATCGGGTCCTCCGGGGTTCCTGAAAATGTAGTGGCGCCCATGACCTGCCGGGCAGTAAGGGCAACGATCTCAACATAGTCATCAGCTCCTGACAAGTACGCGTCATCTGCCAATTGCTGCGAGTAATTAGATGCTAGAGAACTAGCTGCAGCGTAGTCCCTATAGTGGAAATTCAGGAGCTCCTCAGTTGTTGAGTACCAAGATTCCCATAAGGGTCGCATCATGGTGAGCCCGCGGGATGATGCATACTGGACAACGGGAATTTGGATAAAAGCAAGAGTGAATGTTACGTTGTCGGCGTAAGTCTTGGATGAATGACCGAGGTGGAAAGACTTGGAGAACGCAAAAACCGGCGCTTGGTCCCTAATAGCGCGGAATTTATCATCGTTGGTGTTTTGCAAAGCCCCAGAGCTAGCGAACACCCGGCGTACATGAGTCGCATCTCCAGATTGGAATTTAGTGTCCTGGATTGTGATTAGCTATAGACCAGTTCCTTTTGACGAGATGGGACTTACAGATGGTCCAGTGAAGTGAAGAGTGCCCCATTCCGCACGGTCGCGGATCTCTGTGAGATGAAGCTCGTTCTCCCTCTGCACCTGCCATCGATTAAGGGTAAGATCCTCTTTCTCGGTCTTCAAGCTATCCCAT